CTTGGATGCCTAATGAGTAAAATCACAGGAGAGTTACCTCGGAAAACCCCTCCAGGATGAAACATTCAAAAGTTTACAGTACAAATCATAAGAACAGTGCTTTCTTGATGCCCTCTCTGTATAACTAAATGGAAACAGTGCCTTTTCGGTTAAAAAATGTAAAAGCTGTGTCCTCTGAAAGCCCTTCTAGTATAAAACATGAAAATAGTGCCTTCTTGATCTACTTTTAGTTTACATATCTAAATTTAGTGCCCTCTGGAGTCCTTACAATACAAAAAAACTATATAAAAAAAATCCTTTGGATGTCTTTTAAGTACAGCAACATAAAAAGTGCTCACTAGATGCCCCTCTAATACAGAAACAGTAAAAAAGAATTTTCTAGATGTCTTTACGGCTTTGCGCTCTGGAAAACACATCCAGTGATACATCTCAAGTCTTTTAGATGCCCTTCCTTGCCCTGCCCTTCTTTTTTTTGTTTATTTATGTATTTATCTATCTTAAATAGTGCCCTCTGGGTGCTCTTCCTGTATAAAACATAAAAATAGTGCTATCTTTATCCTTTCCAGTGGAAAAAAAAAGTGCCCTCTGAATGGCCATCCAAGACAAAACAAATAGTTGCTGCAGTCCTTTCAGTACAACACCATAAAAATAGTGCCTTTAAAATGCCCTGTCAGTTTAAAAAGTAATTAAAAAGTAATAATCTGTTATTGGTAATAAGGTATAAACAGTTGATACTCTTTTTATTGTTTGAGTGTTAATACAATGGAAAATGTGCTTCAGGATGCACTGAACGCAGATTTTGAGTCTTCAATATAAATTTATATTATTTTATGTCATGGTTTGATTACCATTAAACTTCTCTCTTTCACAATGACCCTGGGAAAAATATATAATTTATGGTTCCCTTTTGACTATTTTCACTTCCTTGTCTTTTTGAGGGACCTCAAAGCTAAAACATGTTTGCATGGTGATAGCAGAAAAGGGTGCTTTTGTCTAGCTTACGACCACACATTGGAAAAGTACAGTTTGAAAATTCATATTACCATACTAATGCCTGGTTGATATGACCTGTTTTGGTCCCAACAGGCTCTTTACAAAGCAACGTGCATGAAGAAGTGTTTGCCTTTGTGACCAATCCGAGTGACTCAGCATATCACTCAAGAACTCAGCACCGAATCGGAAAATCAATAACTTAATCCTTTGTGAAAAAGTGTCTGTGACTCACAGTTTGAAATTTGTCCAACATAAACAGGTTCAATAGACTGTGGGCTGTGTTTTTTACAGGCAAAAGTTAAGTAACATTAACTTTCTTCAACAGTCAGTGGGCATTTCATGTTATCGTTTTTTTATCTTCATTTTTTAATGTTTTGTTTAATGTGTTTTGTTTTGTCCTATTCTAGTAAATTTGGTTGTTCTATTTCTTTATGTGAAATGTTCAGCAGTTTAAATGCCTGATTGAGGAAGAAACAAAAATCTTGTCCTTGCACTGTTTTTTGTTAACACTGCAATGCATGATGGGATACAATGCTTGGTTAGTTACCATGGGTTGCAGGACTGCTTTTTGTACCTAAAGTCTCTAAAAGTGGTCCAAAAATCTAGCCAGGCCTTTATAGACTCTTAGGAAACATTCAAAGCCTCGGTTCTCCACAAAGATTACACAATGTTTCACTGAATACCTAGGATTTAGAAGGTTAGTAAACACGCTAAACTTGCTAACGTGCACTAAAATATAAATCCCCATCACAACTATATTTAGTCAAACACTATTAGCAGCTCTCTACAGAGTCAAAAAGTAAAAGAATACACGTTTCTAACACGTACTCCTTTCAGTTCACATTTTTAACCAAGAGGTGATTGTCCTCTTATTTTAACAGTCAAAGTAACTCATATGGTTAATTGACTGTATTTATATTGTGATTTCTCTGGTCTTCTTAACCCTCAAAGCCATTTAAATGTCTCATCCATCACAGTTAGCAAAGACTGATTTTTCTACCAAGCACCAAATTAACACAAACTGAAAGTTCCTCACAGAAATAAGAGCATTACTTTAAAGCTCCTGTGAGGAATTGCTAACTGGTTATCAATCCAACTAAAATTAACATTAAGGCTTTTTTTATGAACAAACGAAACTATCAGAAAACACACCTTCAATTGTTGTATCATAATTTTTCATTTGTGTATTTGCAGTAAGGTCGCAGGTGTCAGACAAGGTTTATGACAACACATAGAAGGAAAAACATTTTTGTACCTTAACAAATATTTATGATGGCAATAGATTGACATCATCTATTATGAAAGTAAATGTGAAAAAAAAAAATCTGGTTATGTTGTTATTCTAACCTTGTAAAATAGGATTTTATTCTACAGGGATTTGCAAGTTTTCTTCCCCAGTGAAGCCCTTATTCCTAGCCATAAAAATACACACCAGACTATGGGCTCTATTTTGGTGCCTCGCCGGAGATCTGCCGCAAGCGCAGCGTCAATCAGATCCGCCGCGCTGACAAGGCGTTCCCAAGCACATTTTGGTATTTTGGTGAGCCGCGCAGCCCGGCGTAAGTATCCCCCCTCCCTAACTCAGCTCCTCCCAGCAGCACAAGTCGTAGACGGGGAGGAGAGAGGGCGTGTAGTAGATTTAACACAGCCGAGACCTGTTTTCATCAATCACATAAGCGCCTCTCCTTGCCTTTAAATCCGCCACCGGCGAGGCGTATTACTATTTTCATGAAGTAGTCAAAGAGATCAAGAGATGTCTGAAGACAGTTATGCCACAAGATGGCGACAGAGGGCAGCTGCTCAACAAGTGTCCTCCACACTCTCTCATATGAGCACAGATGGATTTGGTGTGTGTAATGTTGGACCCACTGGTAAGACAAAAACCCTTTTCCACAAATAAAGACACTCACATAAAGTTGCATATATTCAAACCTCACGTGACAAAGGTGGGTTGAGCGCACAGATCACAACATAAACTCCAAAAATGGCATTAAAATCGGAACCATCTGTGCGTAAATGACGCATCGCGCTCCGTGGCCTGGCTCTTTCTTTCATAGATGTTGGCATATAAAATAAATTTGGCTCACAAAACTGAATATTATAATATCCGTATGTCGGCTTAAAGTAGATCACGCATCTGAGCACTGAAACAAATCATCTGTTCAGCTGCAGCAGCAAGCAAGACGGACAGAGGACACGGAGACGTGTCCAGGTCGAGCTGTGCGAGAAATAAGAGGAAGAAAGAAAAGGAGGGAGACACATTACATATCTTGTTAACTTCATCATGTGTGTTTATTTACTAGATATTTAATTTAATTTGATGCAGTTTCAGCTGTATTGATTCGGTCAGGTTGTGTGCCCAAACGCGTGCTAAACGCGTGCCAAACGCGCTCATCAGATCAGATATAGATCAGAATATATCGATATAGATCTAAATGTATGTGCTGACTCAGATTAATAGTTGTTGATAATTATTTATTGCACTGAAATGTGCCTGACACTGTGGAAACCTGCCGGTGAGGCATCAGTGACGTATGTCGATACGCCGCCGGTCTACCAAAATACTACTAGACCAGCTGCGTTCCGCCTTGCGCTGAAAGCTGACCAGGTTTGAATCGGCGAGCTTTCAGCGCACGTTACACGCCGGTGGTGAGCACGAAAATGTCACTGCGCCAGCTGATTCTGTCAACACCTCCCCCTGCCACGCCACCACGCCCAGCTTGGCGGATCTCGGCTCGCCTCCGTGCGACTCAGTCCACGAAAATACCAAACTCGCCTTACGCCGGGCTCCACCAGACGAAAATACAACTGCGCGGGGCTCGCCGCCTCACCGGCGCGAACGAAAATAGAGCCCTATGTGTTTATTTTTGGATAATGAAATTAAATTCTGCTATAAAAATGAGTATGTGTGCTAGGGGTGATTTTTTTAGAAAGATTTTTTATTTTTTCAAACAAAAAAAAAAAAAAAAAATTCTTTTTCAAAAGGAAGTATTAGTTTCTGCCAGTTTTAGCACCCCCCTGTGGACAAAGCAGTAGTTTCATGGCTTGTCCTAAACATGCTTTAAGTGTTTTTTTGCATAAAAATCTTATCCTACTGACATTTTTTTACAGTCAAGTGTAACATTTATCATTTATAGTGAATATTGTATATGATAATTGTTAAAACAGGCTGTTTCTTTACCTGCTCTGCTGACAACCCACCCCCTCACTATTTTGAGTATGAAGTATAACAAAGTCAAAATCATCAGCCATGTTGCTGGTGGACCTTTTTTCATCATTGAGATGAGTTGCAGTCTATTTCATTGATATCAAAAAACTCCTAACAGGAGCTTTAAGCTTAGACCGTAGGGGCTGCAGTTTTTGCACATCAGTGTTGGCTGTTTTTCGACAGGGGGCTTTACCTCTTGGTTTGAACCCTAGGCATTCATTTGTTCCAGGTCTTCAGTGTTAAATTTACTGATATGTTTAAATCCCTGTAACCAACTTGGTAGAAAAAGCAGAGAATTGTCTTAAGAAATATTGCCTTGGCTACAACTTCCTACAGTTCATACAGTCATGTTGTTTGTTATAGCAACAAATAAATGGAGATATTGTTGGACGCCTAAGCTGTCCACTTGACTCTTCTTCTTTTCCCTTAATTTTAGTTGCTGCATCTATTTGCTGGAGCTCAGTAAATCCAGTTTTAATCCACAATGCAGGTCCTCCACAGTAAGAGCATTACGGGAATACACCCACACCTGTAAGCTAAGTGTGTTTGTATCACAGCCAGGAAACCAGTGCCACACCTCTGATTGTATGACTCAGATCTAACCATAAGAACCTTATCTGCCACATGGAAATCAAAGTTACGGATCAGAGAGTTATACACACTAGATATGTGGGCATCCAGTGTAGTGTATCATTTGAGGTGTCATCAGGGGTCACTCTGGGCTGCCCCCATATCAAAAATGTCATCAGGTTCAAGTGAAGCACAGTGTTTGGTGTCAAAAGGATAAAAAGGAACAGTCTGACATTTTATCTTTTTATTTGACAATACAGAACATTGTTTAAAACTGGCACATGACCAAAGTTGAACAAAAAAGTTGGCAGTTTGCTCATTTGGCCTCAGCATGTTAGTATTATCACTCACGGCTACAGTTAACATCATTTGAACAACCTGTAACTCAATTGTCTGACACATGAAATGAATGGAAGGCCAATAAATTAAAGGACAGACTTTGAATCAGAAGCTGTTTTTGTTTGTCCTCTTGGTGCTATTTACTGCTTATATTGAGGGGATACCGCACAACACGTGGGAAAGTTTTCAATGTTGGTATATCAGGAACGTCAAGGCAACTTGGATTACACTGCAGAGATAACGATAAGGCACCCTGTCACCTCTACTGATGAGCACTGAGGTCAAGAAAATGACAAACAGCAATGATTCAACACAGACGTGGACAATGCTAATACTTTTCTTCCATACATTGTGCTTATGACTGTAACACTTAAACCACTGTTATATCAGAGTTAGTATGTTTCACCTAATATGAATACACTAGAGAATATTGAATGTTTTAGGAAACAATCCAGTTTAGGAGGCCACACAGATAACAATAATATTGTGCATCTTCCAATTTGACACAACTACTGTACTTTAAGCTCAAGTTTCTATAGTTACCTAGTCTACATGTTCACGATTTCACAGTAGCAAAACTAAAACAACTTAAAGAAAAGCCCGTCACTTCACACGACACATCCAGTGCATTAAAACTGAGGCTAAGCTCTACAGTAAATTGTTCTGCAATGCACTCTGGCATGCTTGGCAATGTCTGAGATAAGCTGGAAATTTACGCCACCTAGAGGCTGCTTCATAGAACTGGCTCAATTTACAGTCCTCCACAGAGTGTGTGTGTGTGCGTGTGCGTGTGTGTGTCTGTGTGTGTGCCTTTCGAATTTTCATAAAAAGGTGCATCACGGTAAATTTAAATATCATGAAACAGTTTCATATCCCCCATCAGCTATCAAATTAAGTGTTTGCGGTAAAGGAGCCTCAACCACCTACTGAACGTGTAAGTGGACATACTCTTCAGAAATTAAAGATTTTGAATCCTTTCTTGATTAATTTTAGGAAATATTGTGACAAATCTGAGATGGTGGACTTACGACTTTGATGAACTATGCATCTGAATCATCAAAAATAAAACAGAAAGGCTTTCAACATTTTACTTGATTACATACAAATTATTTTCCAGGGATATTTGATTTGCTAAAAAGCACTTGTTTACACAATATTCTTTTAAAAATGATAAATTTGAAAATTAGGATCCATCTTGGAAAACTATGTGATTGAATGCAGAGTTATACCAGAATTGCTTTGCGTTTTAAACACTCAGGGGTATGGGGATGTCCAAGAATCAGTAAAATTATTTTTTTTCCAATGAGACAGGAGAGCTTCAACTTTTCAAACAAAATGAATGAAACTGCAAAATCTTCTATTATGCTACACATAGTCACCAATCACCAGTTGCTCTTATGCATGTATATAAGCAGCATACTCGCTCTTCACTAGTTATTACAAAGTATTAACAATGCCATATTCTGCATGACTAAATTCAACAATGGGTCTCATACTTGTTTTGTACACTTGTTGACAAATACACAAGTTATCAGTTGTTGTACAATCTTGTCTTGTTCATGTCAGAGTAGTATTTTCTGACCCAAATGTCATCCTGCTTTCCTCTGACTCTTCAGTGTCTCACTCATGGGTAAGATGTGCAGCTGCAAATGTCAAGAAAGACTGTTTCTTCAGTATGGTACACAAATAACTACACTGATTGTTGATGGAGGTCACATTAACAAATTAGTCTCAACTTGTTTTGCAACTAGTTAATCAACTTAAAAGTGGTAGAAAATTTATTTAAGAGTGAGAAACATGGGAACATTTTAGCGTTGTTTGCAGTCCCGACCCCTTAAATTGCCTTCTCAGGTTAAAAAATAAACTATACTGTGATTTGAGGTGATAATCTTGTTGTATTCTGACACCTAATAGGATCAAACTGTGTAAAAAATAATTACACATTTCGTGCACTTCAAGTTTCTTGCTTGTTAAAAGCAGGAATAAAGACAGCAGTGAGTAAAACTGCAGAGTAAAGCTCATTCAGAATAAGGCATTCAGAGGTGCTTTGTTATAACTAGTAAAAAAACACTGCAATTATTATTCATGCTACTCAACAACTAGTTCATGATGAATTAGTGTAGCTCGATATAAAGGGTTTGATAAAGAACGATAAGTGTGACAAAGCAGAGAACAAAAAGCTGACTCTGGCTGTGTCTGAGCACTTTATCCAGGGATGTTCTACTTATTCTACTGATCCTTTGAAACAAGAGGAAAAAGTCTTGGTGTCCCATCAGACAATGGCAAATTAATAATATTTGTGAAAATGGTTGCCTCTCTTGATCTGAGAAATAAACAATTTAACTCCACCCACCTCTAAAGACAGCAGTGCACAGTAACTGTGTCACAGAAAGTAGCTTAAGGTAAACTTTGTGTCATTTGCGTCTCATCTTACCCCGTAGATTCTAACATGGTTTTCTTTTCTGTTGTTTCAAATATAACACACCCTGCAGAAGGATTATTGTGATTCTGAAACCACCCACTCAACACTCAACCCCTGTGGGCTGGAGCACAAATATGTGTGCAGTATCTCTTTAAAGACTGTGACTGTGTTTCTCTGTCCACGGAAACTTGAGATGAAGAAAGTGGTTTAACCCGCTCTGTGTTGTGGGACAATTTGAACCCTGTCCTGAATAAAATGAAAATTCGGTATAATGAGGCGGTGTAACAAAAATCAAAAGCATTGCATCCCTTTCTTGATTATAATGAGCTCAAAGATTAATGGGTCCCACACGAAACATGACCAATTCAATTCCCACAGCAACTTTGGCAAAGTAAATAAAAAAAAGAAATGAAGAAATAATTCCAGTCTTGGCATGTTTTCAAGTAAAAAAAAAAAAAGAATCCTCTGGCAAAGCAAACAAAGACGTCTGAGCTGAACAGAATCACTCTGACTCCCCTGCTGGAGGCCACAATCCCACATGTTTTGAGCACATGAAAAAAAACTAAACAATAGCCTTGAAAAGGGATTCGACAACACTGTGGGGTAAGTAGATCTCTTTCAGCTACATGTAAAACTATATATATGCCCAAACTTTTGAGTTGAGTGGTATATTTAGATGTCTCTAGGCGTCAAATCTCTGCAGGATCAAACAGACAACAATGATTACACTGGTGTTGATTCAGATTCTGTTTTCCCCAAATCACAATAAGATCCCATTCATTACCCTTTCAGCTTTAACCTCTGTAGTGGACTATACGCCCTATTTGCATTGAAAATAAATGAGCAAATAAAATGATTACACTTCAAAAAGCTATTCTAATAAATTTTGATTAAAGACAAAAAAAATCTTCCATTTCTTAAAACTGGACCCAGTGCTATGCTGTACTTAGTAAATCTCCACAGTGCAGAACCAAGGGGTCTCCAGGGGTGGAGCCCTCCCCCCCTTGCTGTGTGCTGAGTTTCCAGCAGGGGGCATTGTAGGTCCCTGTGCTGATGGTGTTGAGACATGGCAGCAGTCACCATCATGAAGTTGGTCTCCATCCCTTCACATCAGCTCGTCTTCTGTGGTTCAATGTGCAAAGTGGGCCACACTCCACAGAGGAACTGAACAGAGGAAAGAAAGTTAATGAACCCACAATGACCTCAGTTACATAACAGCTACAACATCAAAGTCCTCGAGACAAGAGACATACCTTCACTTTGGGTCTGTACTTGAGGTAGGTTGTCCTGATCTGCAGGCTAAAAAAACAAACAAAAGAAGTTTATCGGCTCACCTCATTACAAAAAGGATTACCTGCACCTTTAATCTTGCACCCCTGACCTTCCAACTGAGAGACAACTGACTCTGCTACTTAGCCATAGCTGCCCCCTGGAATAGTGACTGTAATGCCAGACAGTCACCGCTAAATCAGAACACAACTAAAGCTCAGTTAATTTGATCATGGACACATTTCACCTCCAACAAACTTCAAAATAAAAGCCCCTTATTTAACACATCTTTATGGCAGTAAATGAAAGGTACACTGTGAAGAATTTAGCTGCATTTTTACAATTATGGAGAAGTAATAATTTTATACTGAATATTATATCACAATTGTTTAATTTTCAATGACTTACAAAAAGTCTTTTATATTGATCAAATTGCAGGTCCACCCTCTGGAGGCTGCCATGTTGCATTGGCTACAACTATCTACAACACTCAGAGTTTGCCACTGATTAGCTTCTTATTTCTGTTTTGAAGGAGGATATCACTCATCTCAGCTTTGTGCTCAGTCTTTTCAGAGTCCAGATACTTAAAACAATGTGAAGACAAAACATAACTGTTCACTGTGAGCCAAAACTACAATTTCATCACTTCTTTATTCTCATACCATAATGACTTTATTCTAGTAATATGAGGACCTTTTTTGTGACAATATGACTTTGATCTTGTAACATTATGACTTGATTTTCAATGGCTTTATTGTCCGTAACAAAAACTTACATTTTTATGGTTTTAATTGCTAAAGAAAAGACTTTTAAAAACTTTTTTATGAGGCCCTAATACTCTGTAATACGATAGAGGTGTTGGCTTTGTTTAGCAGTACTAAAACAACCACAAAAACTCATAATCAATATCGCAGAACTCAGCTCTAAGCTTGTGTCTGTTTTGGATCTCGTCATCTTTGTTGCTTAAATTGCTCTGGGCTCCGATGGCTTGCCTCAGTAACAGGAGAGGTTGTCCGGGAAGCGTTCCATTATAGAATCTTACCTCTAGATGTCACTAAATATCCTCATTCTACCCACTGCATCTTTTAACACAACAGTACCGGAAAGCAGGAGAGAAATAATTTAGATCACAGAGATTCTGCTAGAAACCGCAAAGCAGTGAGTTCTGAACACACAACACTTTATAAAATCCTCTTTCTCAGCTCTCAGGCACAGGTGTGAGAGTCTGTATATCACAGGCTTGTTTTAGGGGGACAAGTGAATATATGTCAACATGATTCCTCTACATCTTATGATACCAAGACATACCACCACAAAAACAAGATGAAAATTTACAATCATACTGCTCATTACCTTAATTTAACAGTAAAGATCACAACACAATTATTGAAGAAGAGAACACAATAACAAAATCAATCCAGCTGTAATGCAGAGGTGCAAAAGTATGTCCTCTTCAAGATTAAGACTAATGTGACCTTTAACCTTTGAAAACGTAAGAACTGAAATCTATCACGCACAAGTGTTTTTCCAGGAAATTATCATGTCAAACACTGACCTTGACCTGTTTAGATAATGACATCTTTTTATCTTCATGATAATAGTAGGAAACTGTGTCAGTGCTGGTAAATAAATTCTTATGCTGCTGTTAAAGATGTAAACATGAATCTGTTTGACCAAAAAAAAAATCACAGTTTTTCTGACCCGGAAGCTCCGGCGGACTGTTATTTGTAAAGCTCACCTGAGAAGTATGTGCAGGTAGGATCCCAGGCCTGTGAGGATGTGCCACCAGGCGTGGAATTGTGTAACCGCTCCAACGACAGGGGGAAGGTTATATCTGGCATTTCTGAAAAAAAAAAAATAAATAAATAAACAAAAGTTATGATCAAACTGTTTGTAATCAACTGTGAAAATATGTATTTCCTTCAGTAAGACATTATAAAGGTAAATGCTGCAGCAAAATTCTGAATAATGAAAAGCTTATCAATTACTATGAACTATATCTAACTCAGTTATGAAGTACAGTTTCTTTTCTTATCCCACTGTTAGGGCTTGAAAAATGACAGCCAAAGTGACAGACATGACCAATACTAAGATAATAATCATTCATCGCAGTTAAAGATTAACTTTAAAGACAACAGTTTTACTGTGTCTTACCTGTTGCAGGGGCCAGAGAAGACAAAAAAACCTGCTTTGGTAGTTTTAGCTACAAGCATTAATTTCAATAGAGTTGTGACAGTCAGTCACTGTTCACCATGCAATCATTAACTCATAAACCCTAGTTAATGCTGTAACTAGCTTCTCTGTGCTCAATCTGCACCTCTGCTTTACTATCACACACCTGATCCCTTTGCTCTTAGCTTGCTTTGGTGCTGATGTTCCTTCTGCCCTCTTATTTATGGATATGCTATTAAAAAAGCCTCATAGACAGGCAGATCACCTGTTGTCATATAACTGGAATAAATGTGAAACTTTCCAATATAAAAGTTGGGTTGTATACCTAAGTGCTGATGAATATGATTAAGTTATACATCAGAATTTACAAAAAGAAGATGGTAGCCTGTAGCTTGTGACGTAAATTAAACAAGGTTATTCATTTCTTAAAACGAGCCATATTGTTTTTACAGGTGAGGCACACATTTATAACATTAATTTAAAACCTGATAAACTGAGCAGCTCTACTCACAGTAAAAAAAAATGCATTTGGACGGATCTATTTTAGATTAGTTTGCCTTGAAATGGAAAAAAAAAGAAAGTAACAGGGAGATAACATCTACAAATCACTGAGTTTTGATATAATCATTTTTTCGTAACTCCAATAAACCTAAACTACTCTCTACTGTCAGGGTTTAAAAATGAACTTTGAGCACATTCCCCTAAAATCACAAAGGTCTCTGGTACTGCACTGTGACAAACTCTCACCTTAATGTCCCGCAGTAGAAATTGTCCATGTTCCAAAAGAAGAACCCTAACATGAAGATCCCCAAGGAGGTGTAGCACAGTGGTCTGAGCCATGGATACACCCTGACATTAAAACAAAAGAAAAAAAAACAGAAGCTTGTTATTCTGTTCAGTGTTAAAACTATTACCTTTCATATTTCAGATTTCATTGCTTTAATAACAGTCCCCTTGGACTAGTTACGTACCATGTAACAATGTAGATGGATCTTATCACGAGACAAGCTACGAGAGTACCATACATAACCTGGAAGAGGAAGACATAACAGAGAGGCAGAACCAGTTGTAAATTTAACCGTTGTCTTATTCTTTGTCCAAACTGAGACTTACATTTTGCCAACAAAAACTATGGTAGGTTTGTAACACTGTGTAAACATGTTAAGTTCTGCTGTAAACAAAATGTGTAAGTAGGTAATTATGTGTAAGAGAGCTGGTTCAGCATTTCCCCTGAGGCTGTAAACTTTGCAAAAAGACTCCTTCAATTGTTGTTGTTCACAACATGCTTACTGTCAGTCAAACTGTACGCAAATGTCTCCTCCTCTCTAAAGCAAACAGAAACGGTAAAAAAAAAAAACCCTGACTAAAGCAGTTCAACGTTAAACATCAGTGTTTTCCCATCATCACACACAGGATGTCAGGGCTGCAGGGTGAGTTGCTGACAGCTCATTTTTAGGTGTTGGGCTTGTGTTTAGGCTAGAATTCCTTAAGTGCTCACAGTTCATTCAAAAGGTTTTCACTGAAATATCAGGAGCCGAACTATTCACAGATATCTCTTCAGCACTGTTTGGGAAGCTTTACGTCAAGCTGCTAGTAACATAAACTCAGAAAAATAACACTGGTTAAATAGCTTGAAACATGCTGCTAAATTCTCTATTGTACATAATTGTACATAATTTGCCCCCACTATCAGCTCCGCCCCAAGGTTGAATTTGCAAAGCATCTTGTAATATTCAAGAACAAAAACACCACAAAATTCTGCTGCTCAAGTGTTCCTCTTTTATGTTTTTTCTTTATGGAGAAGAGCTGAAATCATTCCTACTCTCTACTGTGCAGAGCTGCATTGTGCACTCTAATTCTGATAGCACAACATTCTATCAAACAGATGATGAGCTGAAGAGAGAAAAGCAATTCATACCAGGTTATAACAGAGTCCAGTCAGGGCCGATGTGACACAAATTTTACAAAACATAACTACCCTACTTTCCAATATATATATATATATATATATATATATATATATATATATATATATATATACATGTATACATATATAAATATAAATATATATATATATATATATATATATACATATATATAACAAAACACAGTAAGCATGATGCAGTAAAAGGTTAGGCTTATTTGCAGATGAAGTATGCTAACTTCACTTCACAGTGACACTATAAGCCCTTCAGTTCGGTTTGTAGGGCATTTAACTATATGCACATGTTCCGTGAGTTAGATGATGCCATTTTGCTCAGGTTTACTTGACACCAAAGCCATACAAACCCTTCATGAATCTGGTCTTTAGAGGATAGTCTGCAGGGAATGCATTTATGTCAAACTGACAGCCACCAATTGTAAAGTTCTCAAATAACAACTGATATTGAATCAAGACCCAAGACATATACAGACCAGTTCGGAGTTATAAGAATATTGAGTTGTGGGATTCAACACCCTAATATTTTTTAAGTGAAAAAGTTCGGACACACTGACAAAGTTACAGAGTGGTAAATTAAACCAACTCTATGTGCTCATTTTCTTTGCTCAAACAGGAATATTATCAATCTCTTTATGTACCACCATACAGCTGCATAGTTACTAAACACAGCCAACTCTAAGAGTAAACACAGGCAGCTTTGTCACATAGTTCCTGTGTGAGAGGAGGGACTCTGGTAAAGGTAACAGTATTTGTTTGAGGTTTGAAGGGTCTCAATGGAAACAGGCGTTACCTGTGGTTTAATCCAACTCTTCAGGATTTAGAGTTTTAATCACAGTATGTGTGTTTACTTTATATACTACAGAAGCATGTGAACCAGGAGATACCATTTGACTTTGTATTTTGCATATCCGCCTTCATATGAGACACCACCTTATGTTTGAAAACCAGCAAGGACTGAAATGACTCTTGCATGCTGTGCTGGCAAGCCCAATGTTTACACTAGGTTCAAATGACTTGAGGGACACTGAGCCCTAATAGCAAACAATAAGCAATGTGAGCCAGGTGAGCAACACACACACACACACACACACACACACACACACACACACACACACACACACACACACACACACACACACACACACACACACACACACACACACACACACACACGACCCTCCCTTACCTGGTGAAAGACTGGCTCCTTCCACTGCAGGTATACCTGCAAAAGAAACACAGGAACTACTCAAGAGGATATAAAGTCCATTTTAGTTGAGGTAAAATGTTGCCTTTAGGACAAATAATTAACAAATGACCAGATACTCACCAGAGTGACTGACACACTGAAGAATAATAATAATGCAATAGGAATAAAGCCAATCTTGTTCTGTTGTTTGAAGCACTCATATCTAAAAATAAATGAAACAGCTGTTAGTCTTACATACTCGTCTTTCAAACTGTAAACAATAAAAAGCACAGAAGTTAGAGCCAGCATTTTCTGTTGCAAGAATATCTCATATTTATGTAATTACGGCCTGAAATAACAGTTATAGGATGTGTCTGTGAGGTTACACAGCCACCCACCTCTGCAGGCCTGAAGCTTTGGTTAAAAGAGTCACTGCCTCACTGCTGTAATGCTCTGTTATCTGGATCTAAACAGACGGGATCTGGTAGTGCAGTGGGGTTTGTTAGTATATTCATTTATTATTCATTAATTAAAAAAGATGAAGTTGTATGTAAGCTGTGTCTGGTTAAAGTGGCAAAATAACCACTCAGCAAAGTGATGTCTCACCCACACGAGCATGCGCGCAAGGAGGACCGCAGGCTGGTGGTGCTAGTTGTGTTTACAGCAGTTACTCTTGGCAAGTACATTGACTATCTGCTGACTTTATGATCCTGTGTTCGTTTGTGTTAAATAAATTGTACTCCACGCTTACGTAGCGTTTTCCTGCCTTCAGTCAGTCAGAATTTAAATTTCCGTTTGAACAACTGGGAGATAAGCCACCTCAGAACATCCCCGCTCTCTAGACACTGACAGGGCACAGGCTGCCAACTCAATCTAGTTCATTGTCCCAGGGAGGGTGCTGCTCCACAGACTTGGACTCAGACATGGACAAGACTCCAGACAGGAATAGAAAGTTTGGGGCAAAGTATCCAGCCTCTTTCAACTCTTCAGAGGGGAGAGCAGTTCAGATTATTTTCATAAATACAGTAACTAACAAGAATGCATATTTTAGACAGAGCTGTTTCAGATCAGCTCTCTAAAGAGATGAACACTCTGTGGGGAGCTGGACTCCCTGTAGAGTGCCAACTACAGGCTGGGGTGACCCCATGCAAAATAGCTTGGCCCTCTCATAAACCAGAACTAAAGAGATCTTTGTGCATGAGCAGATGAAGCAGCCTGGGTGTCACAAACACTCTGGCATTCATTTTCCTTTTATTTCAGGATCTGAGGTTTAGTAGCTGCATTTAGTGCTTCTTCTAAAGAGTCAGGCTACTGGCCCTGAGATGTCCTGGTTACTCCCCCTATATCGGGCTGGTGGAGTTAAGCAGAGGGGTGAGGTAGATCTAAGAGTTAAGAACAGAGCCCCTGTCACTGTATCCAACCTCAGTAATAAAGAGTCAAATCAAATTTGACTGGTCCTTCCTTTAGAATGAAGTGTGTTTAATCAGTAAGGGTGGGAGAAAAAATCGATTCAGTGTAGTATTGCAGTATTTTGACTGGTGATATATCGTATCGTCTCATTCACCAAGTATCAATTTTTCAAATTAATTGCTAATATGAAGTCAAATCTATGATAATGGAAGAAAAAAATTAACTGTTTGTCCAGTGAGGTTGGCAGAGGTGACATCATAGAGCAGGAGAAAGTTAGTGTAACAAATATATTTAAGGTTTGAAAGACGTGCTACATGAAAATAAAATACAGCATAAATAAGACAAACATAAAGAAAAGACAAATGCTAAATTAGCTTAACAGTTGAAAAAATTACATAAATCGCAATAAATCGTATTGAAAAATGTTAAAAATCCCATGTATTGTATTGTGGCCCAAGTATCGTGATAATATCACATCTAAAACCTGCCCAAATCAGCTGACACTCAAGTCAAAATGGAAGCTCCATCCAATGCTCTTCTTGTTTTAGCTTTTTATGTTTTTGTATGAAATGATGGGGCACTGTGCTCAAGGCACTCCATGTAGCAGAGCAGGGAAATCTTAGGACAGAGCGATACCACTAAATACAACTATTGTAGGAAAATAATCAAATCTCTTAAACAAATGACTGAAGCATGTCAGAGTCAGTTCATCTTACAGCCACTAGAACATGTCAAGTCCCTCATTGCACATCAAGGATTCAGTATGGATTTCACTGGTGCGACTTCAAGCTGCCATTTTGGTAAGAATTTAGTAAATAAGAAAGGTGGAGCTACTTACAGACAGTAGACAAAGACACATGTGCTGTAAATCATCGGTAACTCGTCCATTAACTGCAAATAACAAAGAGAAAATGCTGAATAGTGAGATAGTGTAGGATTACATTTTTAGCATGACTTCACATTAGGTTAAGGTAGCAGCGGTTTTACCCAATATTTATTTTACAAAATTTTTCAAAAGCAACAATAAACTAACTCTATGTATATTTAGTGTGAAGTTATGCTGCCGACATACAAAGGGTTCAAAATAAAGACTGAAGCCCACCTGCATCTTGTACTGCAACGTCATGTGGAAGCACCAGGAACCAACACCAACAACTGAGGGACACACAGAAAATAAATAAAATGAAATAATTAAAAGCCTGATTACTTTCACCATCACACAGTAAGACAGTTACCTGGGGCAAGTAATTAACACATTCAATTGGTTTCAGTTGGTCATCACTTCAAACATGGAAGCAGATGCCATGTTTGTGTGGGTATGTTTTAGAGTATAGAAAAGTAAAACATGTTTCTAACAGACTAACCTGAGAGTCCAAGAAAAGAGCAGACGTAGCGAAACTCAAGACCGTCCCGAAATGTTTGGATGGCTCCATAAATGGGGGGAAGAATCATAATCAGGTTGCTGACAGTGTTCCCTGTTGAAAAGGCAAATGAGATGAATTAGAGCCTGGGGAAATGGGTTGGACCATATGAACTTTTGAATGTCTCTGTGAAGGGTGATGTGAGAGCAGTCAGAGCTTAGGGGAACATTCTGGGTTACATATTTTTGATCATTAAAACAACCACGAGCCGTATCTTATTACAGAAACCCGATCACTGCATGAGGAGTTTGTGCACACTCTTGTGCTTCTATGTTTGCTTCCACAGTAAATAGATCTTCTGTATTTTAGTAACAGCCTCATCATACTGACATACTTGAGCATCTGTGACTTCATCATTATCTATGATGAAAAACTGGCCTAATATGTACCAGATTAAAAAATACCATGTTTCTATTATTAGTCATAACAATAAGAGGAATAATCTGATGAACACAATGATACACCTATGTTACAATGAGATAAGATTTAGTTTGATAAGATACTTTACTCCACACCATACAACATGGCATAGCTTACCACACTGTACAATATGATAAAATATAACATGATAGAATATGACAGGGTGGGGTGGGATTTGATATCGCCTGATAAATGGTAAGAAATTTTGTGAAATGATGCAATCAGTTTTGTGGTCTGAAAAGTTGCTGATGACAATTGGTAATTGTGGTAGTTTAAGTTGTTTTAATACTTTAACAGTTATAATAATACCTCAGAAATAGTCTTAAATGTAGAATTAGGTAGCAATTGAGTACAGGTTTATTTACTGGTGTGATACTATAATCATAAACTGGAACAACAATATATTTTACCAGAAGTCGATGCTACTTTGCCGTTTTCAGCAATGACTGTCGTGTTCAAATGGAGTTCTTGTTCATTTATTTGCTGCACAGAATCTTTTTAATGCTTACATGTTATTCTTTTCTTTTTTTTTTTTTGACATGTAAACCTTAGCAAATCTAAGAACAATCACACCATTTCCATATCAGCTGATTTGCTAGCTAAAATACTATAATCACTAACTGGCAGAAATATTGGTGATGAAATTCCTCCACTCTTTTGGACTGTTGTTATTCTTAGTCAAGTGATGATGATGTTAATCTGTATAAGGTGGAATTTGATGATATGGCCCTGTTTCTCAGTTTTAAGATGAAAACAGCAAAGAAAACCTGGGGTATGAAGATGAAAATCCTTCAGCAAGCTAACCAACTTCAAGATGCCTCAAGCAAAAGTTTTCAAGATCCTTATCTGTGAAAGTGGGCTACAGTTTAACAGGTGAATATGTTTGTGTAAAAAAACTCACTCCCCTGGGCCATTACTGCATACTGACTGTAGTATTGGTACACATCATCAGTCCACAGTAAAGCTAATAGAATAATGTTAAACACTTGCTAGCTTTACTCCTCCAGGGTGTGGTGATGTACAAACTCAGTCACGGAAAACAATCAAGCTCACCAGGATATAAAATACTTTGAAAAGATACTGCTGAGTCTGACAAAGTGGCCTATTTTCATATCCGACATGAAGCTCTCCTTTTATCAGCGGGTGTCAGATAATAGTCAGGGTACTCCCTTGAAGCCTTTTGATTGATAATCTGAAAATGTTTGGACTTTGGCTGCTGATAATGAATGCACCAAAAGACCACAGCACATAACTGCTGCGTGTTTCACACTTCAATGTCATCTGCAAATGAAAGGTAATGAGACTCCTTTTGGTCTACCCCTGCCTTCTACATCACCATTAACTACTTCTTTAAAAACAGAGATGCACAAAAGCATACATCAAATGAGAATTAGAGCGAAGTCTGTATGTTTTTTTACGCAAACAATGGCACATTCCAGCCATTGTAACCTGGATCACTATTCAAATGCCAAACGATTCTTCTGTGGCTGAAAACAATTACTCAGCGAGGCCAGCGTGTGTCGGTTGTGTAAACAAAAGCTTCAACTGTCAGTGTCCTGGATATGCTGGAGTCCAGCCAGTGCCAATGTTTGGAAATGTTTCACTGAAATGAATATGAATACGATAAGCTGAGAGGCGAACAAACAGCAGGCCTACAAAATGTACCAAGATAAAGACTGAAGGCGGCTCTTTAGAAAAACAAACTAAGATGTAGTTCAGGAAACATACACAGAAAATCAAAAAGCAATCATCAACTAAACTCTGACCCATTTGTTCAAGGTTTACTTTGAACTCTCTGTTGCATCACATCGTATCTGAACAACACAGACCCTGTGGTTGCAGTAGCTGGTTGGTCTTCCAACAGACTGTTTAAATCGTACACCAAACAAAAAAACACTTAAAGCTCCTGTGAGGAGTTTTTTAACTGGTCATGAAACTGACTGAATTGAATATGCTCCTTTGTTACCTACAAAAGCAAACAAGGCCATCAACAAGAAGACTGAAAATGTCTGTGCTGTAAATTTTAATGCTGGTAACTGCTGTGAGGGGGTAGGTGTCACAAAGAACAATACACAGCAATCTCTAACCCACAAATTTTAGATCAAGATGGCCCCTGCTCACACTTTCCATTATTGTGAGAGCGGCCTTCAAAGACAAAAGCTCTTGTGAAGTAGGGCTGTCACAATATTTTTAAACATTAAATATTGAAATCCTGCTAAAGAAATAAGCATACTAAGTCAACTCAACCTGGACTAGAGGAGTAGTGAAGGGTTCTTTACAATAGAGAGCTAGCTGTAGCAGCCCTCCGAGAGATGACTGAGCACTTTTAAAAAGCTCACATCTTAACATTTATTGTGAATCCAAACATGATTTTAGATATTGTGGTTTTATAATTTGTTGAACATCTGTAATCATACTTTTTGCTGTGTTTATTCAGTTCCATGACTTAGGATCTACAAGATCCACTTTGAAACAAAAGCCTAGTTGCAAGTAAAAAAAGAACCTCAGCGTAAGATGGAAATAAATATCAAATTAAAAGCATGACAAATAATCATTTGTAAGGTAATGTTTTTGTTTTTGAAGTTTTACATTTCATGAACTCATAAATTCATAAATTTGAGCCTTATCAGAAATAGATAGGAACATGTAGGGTAACTGTGATTGCTATAAAAGTTTCATAAGTTTCATAAATGTATTCCCCCTTCTCAACTTAACTGATTATGCCATTTCATTTTACAAATTGTCATAGATATAACAATAATGTCGTTATTGTGACATTTTATGCCACTCTGATATCATGACAGCTCTACTCTGAGACACAATAAATACAGTATGATCCCCCATTTGTCAAATTTTGTTTACCAAAAATAGACATACAAAGTAAATGTTACCCAACCAACCAGAAAGCAAACAAACAAAAAAATAATAATAAATAAAAACACCCTGCTTTCTTTTTTCCCCTCATCCTTGACCCTAATTTCCTACCCAAACAATAACAATTTCAGGACACAAATAGCATCCCAAACCTTATTTCTAGCCAAAGAACAAGTTACAGTTGCAGGTGTTCATTAAAAGAGCTGTCTAAATAAGTTCATGTACTGTAAAAAGGACATTGAATATCTTGCCTACATAGCCTTCTTCATTTGAAAGTAGCCTTCACACTGTTGACTATGTGGCCTTTATAGTTTGGGGTTAACAGGTCACGCTCACACTGTGGACTCCTCTGAAAATCATAAAAATCTGATAAGACAGGTGTTCTGATAATTCATTGTTAAAGCTTTCATTCTTAATGACTATGACCTCTGTACCAAGGTTATGTCAACAGGGAAGGCTAACACAATTAATGACAATTAAATTACCAAAGACATGTTATGTTAACTGAAATAGAACAAACAAATAAAGACATAGGTTATAAACAACAACAGACTGTGAAGAAAGTAACTGATTAAAGTTAAATTTCTGAGAAATTATCAAAGTTTTACCTTTGTTAACTCATACAGAAAAAGGAAGACTAAAGCCTGATAAATACCTCTATGCAACATGATTTAATTTGTACAAGCCTACACAAAGGCCTACATTTAAAACACGGTGTGTCACCTCCAAAAAGTAGCATGCAGACTACAAACATACGCTACCTGGCGGGTAGCATCAAGTGTCTTGCAGACAACATTTGCAGTGCCACCATACATCAACAGATTAGAATTTTAAAAAAAAATGCCAAATCAGAATAAATATAATCTACAGACATGCTGATCAGAATAAGTCTGCTGATCCATGAAGGATTTAGTAAGATGTGGTTTATTTCTTTCCTTTTTTTACAGCCATGTAGAAAACCATTATGGCCACTGTTTCAAAACAGAGTCACAAACAAGTTAAAGTCACAACTGTGTGAGAATAAATCAGCAAAGTGGCATAAAAAAAGAAGCAAATTATAAGTTGTAAATTTTGGAGAAACAGGAACTCAAAAAATGGTATCTGAAGATGTCCACTTCACTTTTATATATCTTAGTTATTGAACAGATGCAGTCAGTAAACAGGCAATAATACAGGCATAACAAGGGACAACAAAAACAACAAAAACAAATTTGTATCCTGCTGACTTGACAGTCAAATATATCATTTCATGTGAATAGTCATGTGGAAACATCTGTATAATTAACGCCTACAGCCTGCACCAATTTAAGGCAATTAAAAAGTACAGTATAAAAATCATCAGACTTGTTGTTACTGGTCTTGGCATTCATATAAATGTCAGCCTATTTCACTGATGTCAAAAAACTCTTCACAGGAGCTTTAATCTAAAAAATTGCTACTAATGGCTCTTAATTGCTGTAATAGTCTTGTTTGCCTCTGTGGTTCCTAAAATGGTATTACTGTTCATTTCTGCAGCAAAAGCTCCCCGCAGCAGCTTTATCCGTATCAGTTATTCAAACCTTAAATTACTTCACACTGTTTTGGCTAAATTTGTTTAAACAAATCCTGTTTCACACTAAGTAAAAGCTCAGTCCTATGCAACAGGACATTTGATCATGAGGTCTTGCTGACATGGCAGCTCAAACCATGTCTGAATCTTTAGATAAAGGCTCCTGAGAAACCAGTTTTTTATCGTTAGACAAAGCAAAGAGGCGCCTTGATAGTAACGAGGAAACATTTGATCAAGTTTCAAGTTGAGCCTGACACTGTTAAAGCTAAGAGGAAGACACAGAGGACCTGTCCATTGATTATGATAGAATAACATGTAAGGTAACGATGAGTTGTGTCTTTGTTAGTGAGATATTTACGCAAAGCAGTGACAGGTCTGTTTTCCTTTATTAGAGATCCTGTTTGTTTAACACCGTGTCAACTGGCGTTAGCTTGTAGGCTAACAGGTAAGGTGCAGGTCATTAGCTGTTCCGATAACAACGACTATAACACAGTTATTGATCCAGCTGCTGCTCCGACTTCATGTTTACGTCGTTTAGGGTCGACTGTACATTACACCGTCCGACTGTCCTCCGTCAAAGTCCTCTACAACCAAACCCATATTCACATTTTCAGCACACACGCTGCAGTTATGTTGTTACTTACAAAACTCGGCGATGTAAAAGGACACGACATAATTTTCTTCACACCAGTCAATCGTTGAGGTCACACGCCCCCAGTATCCCAGTCTGTCCATATGGGGAGCCATGATGGAAGAGGAGGAGGAGGCTGTGGGTACTAACGGATTTGTAGTCCCATCACAGCGGCGATACCAGCCCTCCTCCCCCTCCTTCTCCTCCTCCTCTTCCTCACCAGGGACGGAAAGACGGATAACAAAGTCCGGGACGAAGGCGCCGGCAGTAAATTACTGATAATTACAGCCTTCACCTGTCAGCGCCGAGTAAAGAAAAAGTCTTATTTATCCATTCACTACGGAAGCCCAAAGCGGACATGGGTGGGTGGCGTTTAAGCCAAAAATAACATTCCTTAAAAAATATGTATAGAAATTATTATTATAATTATTATTATTATTATTATTATTATTATCATCATTTTGGGGGAACAAATGTGGTATTTAAAGATTTGCAATGGATTATGAATCATTTCATAATTTTTTTGCTGAGTACTAACGTGAAATTCCTCAAAGAACTCAAAAAATTCAGGAATTTCAATGTTTTTTAGTCTTTGGGATAAAAGATAACAGTGACTTTTATTTTACTGAAATATATTACTTTTGCTTAAAAAAAAAATCATCTGTTTTCCACAAATCAGACAAGATATTATCTAAGAATTATGTGAAATTCTTATGTGAAAATTTGCTCTTGATATATTTTTTTATGATATGTGAAAGAAAAAAAAGAAAAAAACATATAAAATAATTATAATGATGCAAATGTGTGATAATTAATAAAGTGAGACTGATAAAGAGTGGGTAACCGTGGTCAAACATCCTCTACAGCTGCATGATATTAATCATCATTAGTCTTGTGATAATTAAGCATTATTAGTAGTCGTCATCATCAAGTTTAAGACTAAACCCTGTAATTGTGTTATAACTAGACATCTTTAGGGCTGCAGTTCAGAATGAGTTACATCTCCACATGTATGTCCCCTGGTGACATCAGCAAGAAGCTCTTTATGCATTAGGTGGGCCTCCCTATCACACTCTGAGATAACTTGAGCTATACTTACAAGCTGCTTCATGAAACATGAGCATAACGAAAGCTAACAGTTTTTCTGTGTGTAACAAATATAACAATCCTGGTGTTGAGTTGTGATTCTATTGACAACTCAAATGGCAAGAAAGAAGAGAGAGAGACAGATGACTAAAAAGGTTTACAGGAAAATCACAACAGTGTAACCCAAAAAAGTAGATACATGGTGAATTTGTTGCCCTGTCAGAAATAGTTTGACAGAAATGTGTCAGTTAACTTTACGATAAAATAAGGAGACAAAGTGTTAAAAAAAAGAACAATCCAACTAAGATAAATCTTCAACAATGAGACATTAGTTCAAAAATTGAAAAAAGGCTCCAAACAGAGTCCAGCTGTTTCGCTGTAACTGAATAGTGGCACTCGCTGTCTTTAACAGAAACCCACTTTTTGCTCTGCTGTTTTTGTCCCACACTTTCACAGGTGGCTACTGAAATGCAAACACCAGCCTCCCTCAGTGCCAGAATGTTCGTCAGGCCTGAATTGTTATATAAATAATGTATTTTGTTTACTGTAGGATAAACAACCTCTGCCCTGCAGTATGTCCAGGTGTCCACAAGGGGGTACCATACACCCAAAAAATGGCTGAACAAAGACTACCAATACAATGACAATACAATGTGAATCATCCTCAACTTGTTTTTGTTTGCACATGATCAGAAATGTTTTTTGTTGTTGTTGTTGAGAACTGCATTACATTTTATTATAATGAAGAATATTTTTCTTTGTAGGGGAAGACTCTTAGTTGCCCATTTTGAATCATCTTGACTCCATGTATGGTTTGTGCAAGTACTATTTGTATATGTCATGCAAATTTATGTGGGTCTTGATGATGTGTCCTTTTAAGTCATTTTCCCTGTGAAGCAGCTACTGTGCTCATGTGGATGCACACAAATATTTGGGTTAAGGTCTAAATAATGAAGACATTTTGTTTACCATGAAGTGCATTTAAACTCTGTTGCTTTACTTGGTGAACGGAAGCTCTCCTGGATTTTACCCTCACTGGAGGTTTCTCATGTTGTTTAGGTAGAAGATCCCACAGCATGCCTGACTCTCACAGACCCGCTCAAGGCTAAACTGTCTGTGTAAACACACTTTCAAACAAAGGAAGATTGATATCCTCAGTGAGCCCAAGAGTAGAGAAAGGAGAATACTACAACCAAACATCTCCAAGTAAGATGACACCGGTGTTTTATTTTATTTTATTTTATGTTTATTCAAAATAAATGCAATTTTTTTTTTTCAGTCAACAACCATTCACACTTTGAAACAGTTACATCACTCGTGCACACATTGGTGCAGGGATAGTTCATCTTAAAACAGCCATAGTTTAGTTGGTTTGCCAGTGTAGATCAGTGCATTTAGCAAAAACAACAGAAATGAGGCTTAGAGTGGAAAGCAGCGCATAACATGGGTAAAATTCCTGAAATTTACAGGCATAACATGTATTTAGTCATTTGAAGTATGTTTTTCAATGAGTTCAACAATAAGCACCATTAAATCTCTTCAAAATTAAGACGACCGGAAACATTTTATAAAGGTTAACAGTTTGACAACAGGAAAAGTTTGGTTTTTGGTGCATTTACATGTCAGGTATTTCTTGGAAAAATCATGCGCAATGTTGGTCTTTAGTCTGTGATCTGCTAAATCATAAGCCAAAGTGTGCTATCGAATAGTCTTCAAGCTAAAATGAAGGCTTGCACAATGTTTTGCTCACTGACACACATGACAAAATACTCAAACACATCTCTTCAGTCAGGTTCGAGGAATGGTTTGTGACTTTAAGGAATGCACTACAGTGGTATCAAACAAATCATTTCTCATTTCCTCCTGCACACTGCAGAAAGGTTGTGCATTCATGTACAGCCTATGGCAAGCCCTTTTCACATTCAACCAGTGAAGAAACTATAGATATAGACCGTTATCTCAAGATCTGACTTCGATTTTAGAATCAAATTTACTCTGTTCTCACTCAGAGTTGATGAATATTGATGGGTCAGGTTTGTCACAGATTTCTATTTACATACCTAGGTCTGAAATTTGGTTTTGGATTGTTGTCATTCCAAGCCAAATTATTAACTGTAAAACTTTGACTGTTCTCAGTAGTCACAATGTCACCAGTGAAACTCTGGAAATGTCCAGTTGAATGACTTATTTCATTTCACCTCCAATGATCACTGTGAACCTGCATTTGTACTAAAATAACACAAGTTCACAAGAAGATATCTAAAATTCAGCTACAAATTTGATAACTCTGTGTGTAATCAAAACTATTAAAACTGAAATTATTTGTTAGAAAACTGCAAATTTGTCTGAAAAAACACTCTAGGTATAGCCTTATTTTCAGCAGTAGCTACCTGCTGCCAAAGTAATATTTAAAAAACAACAATGAACAAACCAAATGTGGTTTAATTCTTTCATACATAACGCTAACGTTTTATGATCAGATCAGTATGAATCTGATTTGGAAATAGTTTGTCAATAGGGGAAGCAACTTGATCTGTCTTCAGGCACCCTTTACTCATGCCAATGATACAGTAACAGTCTTAATTTCGCTCAAGGGCATTTCTTAAAAATTTACAACACTCAGAGAAATGCCAAATGGACTTGACCCTCACAGGGTCTTCATCAGGGCAGAGTAAAAAAAAAAAATAGAGTCAAGTAAGGTTCATTTAACAACATGAGGTTCAAGCCAAGATGCTGAACCAACTTTAGCCTATTATAAAAGCAGAAAAACACAAATACACTTCATGATATCGAACACATTCATATAAATTCAGCTTTGTATCTTATCACTGTCTCTTGTGAGTGTACCTGAAGACAGCTCCTGTAGCTTCCCACTCAAGAGAAACACTTTGGTCTTCAAACATACCTGACTTGCACCTGGAATTTTCAAACACTCTCCTCTCGTTGGTTCTACTGATGAAATGTCAAAAGGGCTTGCCAAACAAAGTCAAGAATTTAATTGAACACTCAGCTCAGCATGAGGTTACAATTCATCCCTCATCTTTTCACCCTTTGGCCGCACCATCCTGCCGATGAACAGGATGGAGTTTGTCTTCTGGTCCTTCACCAGGAAGATGAACGGGTGGTCGGCGTAGAAGAGTTTGGGGTTTTTCAGCTTGTCTGTGCCAAAGATGCTGTTGTCTATGGCATTCCCATCAGTGCCCCACTCCACAGCCGAGGCGTGAAACACACTGGACAGGTACAGGTCCTTCTTCCCAGAGATGTTAGACAAGTCAGCTTTGGCTTTGTCTACAGCTTCTGTCAGGCCCAACTCACTCAGATGTTTCTAAAATGATACACAAAAGTTGAGTTAACATTAAAGACGGAGTCAAGAAGGGGAATTTGGACGAGTTGTGTCATCCTCCCTGTCTTGCATCTTTTACCTGCAGGTCGTGACTGACTTCCAAGCTGACTTTAGGCAAAGACATGGCGACGGCTGTCTCCTTTAGTTGACCCATCCATGTATTCAGCTGCTTCTTGGTCAGCAACTTCTCCAGTCTCTCCAGAGGTTCCACGTGGTACGGCAGGAGGAACACCATGGAGGACTTCTTATGAGCCAGAGGCATGCTCAGGATGTTCAGTTTATTGGTTTTATCTTCATAGAAGCCACACATACCTGAGGGGATGAATTCAGTACATTAAATATAAGTAACAACTGTGTGTTCTAGGAGCCTCCTTAGAGTTGGCACATATCACTGAGTTGGTTCTCTATCTCTGAAGTCCATGTCAATTTATGTTTTGAGTTGAAGTCAGAAATATAGAACACACTTGTTGATTTATCGCAACAACACGAGTGAAGGAACATCTCTTTGCTAACAAGGTTACTGAGGATATAAAAAAATGCATTACAGCAACCCAGAAGTAAAGTGAGAAAGTAGTTACCACTCTTTGGGTGACCATGAGAGCAAATAGCTCATCAAATTCAGAGTAATAGCCTTAGTGTAAAACAGCAATGAATTTGGGGATTTCATCATCTACAGTACAAAACACCAAAAGATTCAGAGAATCGACTCTGATGTACAAAAGAAACAAAGTTGGAAACAACACTGGATGGCTGGATGGCTGTGATCCCCAGGCAACACTCAGTACGTTTAAATGCACATTTAAGTCGAGCTACAGTCAAAGCTTGATTGAATGGTTTAACTGGACTATAGTCTTTGTCCCAGTTTACATGAACTGCACAAGAATCCCAGTATAGACAGAAGGATGTCCACCTCTGTGTGTCGAAACAGATAGCAAAGAAGCTAACAGGACATTACTTTAACAGCTCTGTACCATTTGTTTGCTTGGGTCATGTGCACAACATTTGGGCCAGTTTCAGTCTAACTGAGCTGTAAACATGACTAAGAAAATCTATTTCTTGTTGCATATATTAGTCCAACTTATGTGCGATTTCAACATGTTTACATGCATTTTAAAAGTCCAGTTTAAAGAAAAAAAAAATTTTTTTAAGTGCATGTAAACTTTGATCGATTGCATTAAAAAAACAGACATGACTCCGTAGTGGAAATCACCAAGAAACATTACGCAAACATAATTTAGAAATTGCAGAGACACATATCAACCACCATAGCAGAGCAAGTCGCTTTATTTACACCTTGCATATTTAAAAAGATGTTCAATTGTGTCTTGTGGTTTTGCAGGTCATAACAACAGTGCAGTCTCCACCTACCTGTGCGGTGCATCATCTCTACTGACACAGTGAAGCCACGAGACACCATGAATCCTCGGTTATCCACCATCTGATGGTGGAACTGCTCGTCCCAGTGAGCTGTGAGGAGAAATCAGATTAGTTTCAGGTACAGTATATTTAAAGAAACAGTACTACTCATGTGCCATTGATATACACACTCACGTTTGAAGAACATAGCATTGACGATCATCGCCCCATCGGTCTTTTCTACATCCTTGGTGATCTCTGGCAGTTTGCCATCAGTAGACTTGGCGGCCCACTCGTTGATGGAGTTCAGGGCGCTCTTCTTGTCCCTGAAGTTGATCTTAGAGTGGTCACAGTTGTAATGCTTTTTGCTGCTCTTCACAAAATCATCCACAAAGTTGACCGAGCTGGGTCCGTACAGGCGGTTGCTGATCTTCCAGGTGACGTTGCGGGTCTTCTGGTCACTCACCTCGGTCAGGAGCTCAGCAAGGCCAGAGTGAAGCTGCTCATCTTTAACCTTTGCTGCGTTCAGGATGGTTTTCACCTGAGAGGCTGTGGAGGCTTTGCCACCAAGAGCCACCAGACCCAAGGAGGAGGCCACTACCACTGGGGAAATGATGATGTTATCAATGCCCTTCTCCTTGGCCATGTTTTGGTAGAGACTGAAAGCTAAGTTGGCGCTGTTGTCGGCCAGGAGGGTAGCATGGTTACTCAGGACTTTGTCTGCGGACGCTGCGGTGGCAGCTGAGGCAGAGGAGGCCAGGAGGACCAGGGATACCAGTTTTATCATCCACATGATGAATTGGTGTTCTGAGGAAACAAGTCACATAAAGACAAGCATCAGTCATCTGTCTGTCATCTGCCATGGTTCATATGAACACTTGATTCTGATTGGACAGAGTGTTTCAGTATTTCCAGATGACAGAACATAAGTAATGGAAATCTGTAATTTATGTGTTTGGTAATGGTTTAGGTAAAAAGATTCCCCTGTAACAGTCCTGGTCCTGAAAGCCTGTGTGTTTGTGACTGATTATGAGAATGCTTTAAATATCCATCTCAGATGTTTTTTTATTAAACTCAGTACAGGCAAGTGCCAGCATGAGCTGCATACTTGTGTGGTTTCTCTTGACTACCCTCAGCTTTTTTCCCCAATTCTATTTTAGGTTTAAAAAAAGCTCAGCCAAGAACCTCACCAGCTGTCTCAAAAACACAAAATATCTCCTTTTAGCGAGTTATTTGTAAAAAACAATGATAATGTCTGTGTCCCTTTTTGACAGCTTGTATACTGTACTTTTTCATCAGTACATACTTTACATTCAGTACATTCTACATACATAACTACTATCTTGGTTTTTAAAGTATCTTTTTCTTTTGTGTTCTGGGGAGCACTAGATTCTTTAAATGTGCTGTATAAAAAAGTAGACTGATTGACCAATAGTGCATTGGCTTGTTCTTGTTAAGCCCCATCCCCTCTATGCTGCACTCACCCAAAAGAAAAGCGACAAAAGCTCAGCTGGATCCTGTTGGTTTTCAGTGCTTCTGTTTCACTTTTAACTCCTTTCGTGGCACATTTGGGTCAACACTGCAGGCCTCCAATGATAGTAGCAGCAGGAGTTGAGTTAACTCGAGTCATTCAAATTAGAGCTCTCTCCCTCCATAGTAAGATTACATAACAGCCACGTAGGCAACTGCAGGAAGAATCGAAGCCAAAATATTGGTCAGCTAATTCTGAGTTTCTTTAAATCTTTGCAGCACAGAAACAAGCCTGGAGGAATCTGATTGGTTCCTCATGCTAGACCTTACCACGTGCTGGCACTGAAATTCCAGCTGCTTCTCTCTGTCCACGTATACCACCTTTGTGCACAAGGCTTTGATGGAGATAGAAAGTTACAATATGACGATTTGAAAAAAGTTATCAGACTTATTAGCCATCTATCTCTGTAAGTAAAATTTACATCAAAAGCTCCAGTTTACCTGAGAGTCAGATTTTATCTTGTCAGCCTCTTCCTAAACATGCTTTTACAAGCTCAGACAGGCTTTCAGATGAGAACTGAGCCCCAGCTGACCTTTACGTGCATGAACAACATTTTTTGAGAGATTAAGCTCAGGAGACATAGTTCTATACTTTAAATATTGTCTTCAGTTGTATTTTATGACTGTTTTCATGTTTGGATCAGAATTTCTAGGAATGAAGATTTTACTTCCATGCTGATGTTGTGATTGGAACAGCATTTAAAGAAATGTAAATTTTACATCTTGAAATCATAATATGCTTGTTTAAAACTAACATTTAAAGTAGCATTGGTCACTTTAATATAAATGCATTTTTCAACATCTTCACAATGCTAAAATCTTCTTTGTGTCTGGTTATGACCTTTAAAAGGAATGACTTTTGAGTCTGCCAACTTCAAACAGCTAATTCAACCGGACATGAGACCAAATGAATGAAAAATCCTCTTAGAGCACAAAAGACACCAACATTTTGTGGATTCCTCAGAAAAAAAAAGTGTTTTGTTTAAGACAAAGTAGTGGGAAGTTTGATATATGATGTATACGCCCCATTTCATTGTTGAATCAGGTCATAAGCTGCAGCCAACTCCCTTAAAATCAGTCCTCTCGTGTATTTTTCTAACTTTGTGTGACTTACTTTTACATTTTTCAGCTTTTTCCTCACTTTTAAAACTTATCTAACATCAAGAAGTCATGCATTGTAGAAATTCACAAAGAGCTCTTTATCTGTACATCACATTTCTGACTTTGTGGCCTCTTTTCACATGCCTGGGCATTTCCCAGTAGCTACAGACTGCTCCACAGACTCTCCCTGCCCCCCAGACTCCCACTACTTTTATCTTACCTTATTAGGCTCTGCCAGTAAATCTGCAGGTCTCACTTTAATGCTGCTTGCAAATAGCTCCACCGGCGATGGTCTGCTTTATGTGAGGTTTCTGTTTTCAGTGGTCCAGGACAGAGTTGTGTGAATCTGAAGTTTCAGGAGTTTTCATGCCGGGATGTCAGGGCCTGAAAATCTCTGCACTGGAATCTTATTTCCAGGGCGGTCCCGCCCAGAGGATCAGGGGGTGGAGGAAGAGAATCCTCCCCTTTTAGTTGCCTCAAGGCAGGATTTATAGCCTAACTGGAGACAACCAGTGACCCATAATAAAGTTACCCATCATCATTTTGGGAGTGTGTTAGCAAAGGAGAGAAAAAAAGCTATTTCATCAGTGCTTTTTCTCTGCTGGTCCCATACAAAGCTGCACTGTAGCAGATAGTAGTTACTTCTGTTTGGGGATGTCCCCCTTCACAGAAATGTTGAATATTGAGACAGTTGTGATTACTTCATTCATAAACTAGTTTACATTCTTGCTCTTCTGTGACTCCACTCCAGCTTATCATCTCTCAAAACAAACAGTCAGTCATGAAAAATGTGTGGTATTCACTGTTTTGTGTTTGGACTTGGCTTCTATCTCAAACATTAGTCGATTGTTGGTGCTGACAAGTTCAGTTAACTTATGAATGTTGTGTAGCCTCTGTGTTTTGACTGCCTCTCTTTCCCTCCCCCACTCTGATGTTGCACTTCTGCCACGTAGATGTGAGACACAGCAGGAGGTAGATGAGGTCCTGTTAAGTGCTAAAGTTAACTACAGACATGTACCAAAAAAGCTCATCTTTAAGGCTGCTTTATTTCTGAAACACACTTGGAACATAACAAAATCATTGCACGATTAAGAAACGTACAAAATGTAGAGAAATGCATATTACCTCAAAGCCTTTAATAGAAATTACAATTTACTGAGTCCTGTGTTTTTTGTCCATTCTATTCTATTCTATTTTATTCTTATTTTATTTTCTAAACCATGTTTTAATTTATTTTTATTTTGTGCTTTTTACACACACACAGACACACACACACATGTATATATATATATATATATATATATATATATATATATATATATATATATATATATCAATCTGCACAATTTATAAATTTACATGTCAGATTTCTCAAGCGTGCATGAAAACAGTAAATCCCAGCATTACAAAAAAGTTCACTGTCCACCCTGCTTTCTTCAATAAAATCCTAAATGCATCATTGTAAGCTACATTTATCTTGCCTTTTTATACCTCAATGTAGTATAGAGTATATTTAGACCTCAGGGCAGTGTAAAGAGGAGTACAATATGTCCTGAAAAGAGTTATCTTAACATGGTCAGAGCACATAGAGAATCTGCACACCAAATTGTTAGCCTAACCATAAAGCATCAGGCTTTGTCTATACAAGTCATCATTGTCACACATATTATCAGTAATGGTGTGCCCAAGATATTAATTTTTGTATTCAACCTAATTAATTTCGAGTTATAGATTTTATTATACATATATGTAACATTGTTTGTGTTATATTTTGCTATATTTTGTCTATACGGTGAAATTATCCTACATAAATATGTTATTTTTGTGGGGGTATTCAGTTTTGTATTTGCACTAAAATGACCTTATTAACACTCTACTTGCTGCATTGTTCCTGTTTGTTATACGTTATGCAATACCGGTAAGATCCAGGCAGATTTCAAAGGCCCTCTATAAAAGGATATATCCTTTTTATCTATTAAGACCATATAGAAATTCTGTTGAAAAAAATAAAATAAAAAACATTGTAAAATGTTATAAAAAGTATTACAAGGTTTCTGTATTATTCTATCAAAAGGGCCCCTGATGTCAAATGCACTCCTTATAGTGATAAAGCTTGTGAAAAACAAAATCAGAGAATTTTTTTTTTTACTCAAGTTCAGAGTCAAGCTTCAAAAACTATGGATACAACAATTCCCACAATGCAGCACCAAAGTCATGTCCTCAGGCAACATGTCTGTTGCCACACTGTTATGTAACAAACGGTGCTGGCATTGTGAAGAGACTAGATTTAACACACTGAGGACAAAAATGTGGTGAACATGGCAGCACGTATGTGACGATAATAGAACTTCTCAGGCTTTTACAGCTGTGTTCATTAATCTGTGAAGGGTTTGTGGGAGTTTTGTTGCCTGGGCTAAACAGGACAGTGTGTCTTTAGCTATGTGTGCTGTGTTTGCATGATTAAAGAGATTAAAAACTACCCACATCATCAGGGAGCACCACAGAGCTTAACTTGCTCTTGTTATTTTGTTTCCTTTTGCATATTAAAGATCTGTACAGTGAGTACAGTGAGTGCAAATCTGGTGCTTCAAGGCAGTATGGGAATCCAATGTTCACATTTTTTTCCCATGAATGCTTCCCTCTTTTCTTCCTGGTGTTGTGTATGTGTGTGTGTGTGTGTCCTCCCCCTGCCTGGGAGTGGCTCAGTGTTTGGAAGTGGGTCAGACAGCAGGATGTGTGTCCGGTGTAACTCTGCATCTGTTCTCTGCAGCTGGCTGTCATATCTCTACAGCTGTTGTGATACAGTTCAGACCTGAAGGTCACTATTAAAACTGTGATCATGTAGAATACTCTCTGACTGACATTGCTCTCTGACCAACCTAAAAAAACACACATTATCATATCTTTAATACCAGGACAGTTTGGGTCCTTGAAGTCATCTGTGCACAAAGTTTCCTTTGTTGATTTTATTCTGTTCATTTGTAAGTCATGTTTTTGAGAAACAGTCTCATCCTGCTGCCTCCTCACATTCAGTGACATAGAATCTTTGCTGTGGACAATGTTAAAAAACACGGTTCCTGTAGTGTGCTGTTGATTATGTACTTCAGCTAACAGCGAACCCACAGCAGCAGGATCAGGCATTGAGACATACCATGAAGCAACAATCTGTCAATCCACTGACAGTATAGTTTACTTTTAAAGGCCATAGAGTGGCATCTGTACCTTTCAGGTTCATCTCTTAAAGTCCCACTCCCATCATTTTAAAAAAAATGTACTACTTAAATTGTTCTCAGTGGTCTTTAAATTGTGATTATGAAGTTTTTAGCAAATCACGTTTCCTGTGTCATTTTAAAGGGCTTTTCTTCTGCAGCTCCAGCAGCTCATAAACAATTTGTCACTGAGTTGTGGGCGGAGACAGTGTTGCTCTGCACCTCCTCTTCATACTCCTCTTCACGTTAGCTAGCAGCCTAATATTGCCAGTGTGGTAGAAGTAACAGGTAACACAGGAGCTATTCAGCTCTTGGACACAAATGTCTTTAGGGGCATGATGAAAGCTAATATTATAATTAGCTTTCTGATGAGCTTTGCAATCTACTAACGCACACACTTCGCCTGCGATCGTCCTCCCTACTTTTCCGAGTGTAGCCTGCATAGCAGGGCTTTGGGGGCAGAGCTTGGATTTGTGATGTAGGAAATCTCACTGAATCTGAACCTCCCGTTTGAGTCTGCCAGAGATTCCGGCAATTTGAATGCAGAAATACTCAGAAATGCAATTTTGCATTCACTTTTCACAGGATATGTCCTCTAGCATTAGAAAAATACCATATGAACATAAAGACAACAAGAAAAACATTACTTTCATTTGAGTGGGTCTTTAAGCAGCCAAAGAGGGTTTAACAGGCTTCATCATAATAAAATGAAGTTCATTGGTTTGGTATGTTCAGTGACCAACAGTGCCAAACATGTTATCAATTTGTTACAGGGTAAAGGTGCTAAATGGGCTACTGCCATCTGGGAGCAGCAATCTCCCACTTTGACTACCTTCTCTCATTTCTCAGATGAATTGAGAAGAGTTTTTATCACCCCCCTACAAGGACAGTAGGCGACTAAACACTTATTCTCTCTTTCTAAGGGATTCCAGTCACCTGCAGATTTTTCCATTAACTTTTGGATTGTAGTGTCAGAGAGTGGGTGGTGTAAGCAGGAATTGAAGAGAGTATTTTTGAGGAGTTTGTCTGATAAGCTAAAGGATGAGCTAACCTTCTGAGATGAGCCAGGTTCACTTGAAGAGTTAATTTTTTTCGTTATTTGCATTGATAACCACCTCAGAGAGAGACGCTGGTAGAGGAGTCGGAGCAGGTCAATGAGGTCTTGTAGTTTGGTTCCCACTGCTGACCTGGTGAAGCCACCCCCCAACCCTTCACCAGGTCAGTCCTGCAGCTTCTCATGAGGAGCCCATGCAACACAGTTGGGTAGGGCTAAGCTTCACCCTAGTGAGCAGCAGAGGTGGATAAATTAAAGACTATGTGTGACGGGGCTGGTTTTGTTGCTTGTTATGCATGCTGTGTTTTTATCAAGTATGTTTTCAGAGGGGTGTAGCGATATTTCCGACCTCCCCTGAAGCAGCCTCTAATCATCTGATAGGAATCCCATGTGTGCAGGTCGCAACACACTTGATCGGGGTTACCAGGTAGCAGGCTTGGAATGAGACGCAGAGACGACAGCAGGAGTTGGAAGGAGTAACCACACCAGGAGCAACAGCAAGGAGCAACAGCAAGGAGCCACCCCTAGAGCGATGAGGTCTACAGCCAGAGAGTGCAACTGCCTTGTTCATTTTGTCCAGACAGATACCTGAAAAGCGCTAGTTCACCAAGAATAGTTTAAAAAAAAAAAAAAAAAAAATTGCTGTTTCTGTCCTAGACTCACTACCTTTGGCTGCATGCTCACAATCTCTCCTCTTCTGTATAATGATCACTGACGTAGGGGATGATAGTTGCTGAGAGACTTATTTTAGAAGGGTGAAAGTCCCCTTCTCCTCCTTGTGGCTTTTTCCATATAAAAGGTTCCTGACCCCTGACTTAAACACAAATGAGACTTATTGGTATCAGTATCCACATGAAACCTTTTTTATCCCAGCTCATCACATCCCAACTGTTAAAGAGCATGTGTATGTTGGTATTCTCCTTGCTGGTTGCTCCTCTGCTTTTCTTCCTCTCCCTTAAATCCTCTCTCATCTGAGCAGTATGGAGTTCTTTGGGCATGATTGACCCTAGACCCTGGTGCAAAATATGCAAGTCTGAACTTGAATAAAAAATAGTAAGAGCTCTGCAGGTGTTCTCACACTATATTTTGTAATTGAAACATAAAACTTCTGCCTTATTTATTTATTTATTTAGGTATTTAATATTGAAATGCCACAGTAGCAACATCCTCTGCAACCTCTCCACACCCTGATATACATCACACCCAGACATGAGGGGAGGTACGAGGGACCTTTCAGTGCTGCTTGCAGCTTGAATCAAATGTATGAGTTTGCCAACAAAAAGACAAAGAAACTGAATAGTCAGTCTTAGTCAGTCTTTTCTTTGGATCTTTTTGTTGGACTTTTTTGTGTTTCTACAGCTGATTTTCATTTTGAGAGTTACAGATTAATACTGCATTATTATCTCTGTGTTTAGCCTCTGCAGTTCGTACTATCCTTCAGCAGAGATAGGCAACTGTTCAGTGGATTTAGGCGCTCTCTGCTGGTTGAAACACTTACCTACAGAAAAATCAAGTAACCACAAGAGGACAGCAGAGAACAAATAATACAATAACAGAGAGGTTTGAGATTTTATTGACGTCAGGATCACTAAGACTGCTTGGTTACCATTTTTATCATTACTATGGCACTCTTATTGTCGTCATATGACTCATAATTTCAACATTTTCATTCACATTGTGAAGAGTCTGAAGAAAGTAAACTCCTGAAGCAGATTTGGAGTAACCTTTGACTCCAGTATGACTAAAATGTCCATCATTATTCCCATGCCTCACACCTGACTCTCTATCATTCATATGAACACAGTCTAAAGACCAGCATGCATTGCATCTGTAGGAGCACCTCTAGTTGAAGGACCTTCACTGCTGCTGCTGCTAAATTGTTTGGGATTAAAGGGATCTGACGTAATTATCCCAAGCTGAGGGTTAATCTCTGACCGCTGGGCCTGGAATAGATCTCCTACAAGACCTCACTCATCTGCTCTACCTGTTTGCCAGGTGTTTGTAAAGCAAGTCTCCACAGTGTGTGTGGTGTGTGAGTTCAGATAATCATTACAACAATCTGTTACAATGAATTAAGAGTGAAGTTCAGACTCTGCTAGGACCAAGACTATGGTGATTTCAAACATGTCTTTGATTTCTTAAAACTGTAATGTTTGCTTATTTTATTTTGGCAAGGTTTTGCAAATCAATAAATTAAGTTTCTGCATCCATTTACAACAAGTTTTACCCCAATATGCTTTAACATGAGTATGTCTTTATCATACTCTTTGTTTTATTATTTACAAAGACCCAGCATGAAGATAGAATAAGATCCAGCTCCATCACACAGGACAAAACCCTGCCTTATCCCGTCTAAATCCACCATGAGCAGAGCGCTCTGCAGCATTCAGCAAACAGCCAACCAAGATTTGGGGATTGCTATTCAGTTGGCCAATCAGATTTTGAGGGAGGCCTGGTGTTAATCCTAAAAAGAGATTTTGATTTCTTTTAAATAAAAAAATAATTCAGTAATTTTCTGAAAAATTATGTTTTATCTTAGTCATATTTCAAGTCTTTCTATCTTGTGTTTTTAGTACTCAGTTTTCCTTTTTAGTCATAATTGTCATCTCACTTTAGTGTGAAGAAAGAATACCTCACTGTGTTTGATCATCTCAGCTGAACGTGTGAGTCTGACTGATATTTTCTCATAGCAAAAACTGAACAGCTCAAACATGCTTAACATGAGGGTTCATTGAGATAGTGAGACACATCAGGATGGAGTAGATGGATAATGTTCTCATGTGAACTTTATTAGTCACATTTCATAGCAGCACAACAGTAACTACACTTCCTCCTCACTTGATCACATGTCACTGAACCGTCCAATCAGAGGCAAAGATGACCAAGAAGGTAAACATAAAAACCACAGAAGTACTGTACATTCAGCTAATTTGGTCACAACCATAGATTGTATATACTATGGACAACTTGGTTCCACCTTCTGCCTGTATACGGATTTGAAGCCTGCTTCACCCAACAAGGAGGCTAACGCTGTCCATTCTATATACAGTCAAAGGTCACAACTTTGTGACGCTGTAGAAAATATTTTAAACATTTTAAACATTATGAAACAATAACTGTTATAAACTTAAATGTAAATTTTAAAAAGTGTAAAAGTTGCACACATTTTTAAACTCAATTAAAGATATGAATTCACTTAAATGTTTAATTGAAATATCTTACTATTTGGGTCTGAATAGGAGTCTGAAGAAATCATGAATCAGATTTTAGAAGAATAAGTAGGTGGCTATGTGGCGCAAATAAGCTTGACTCTGTTAAAGTAAACTATTGATTTTAGTCGCACAGAATGTTTACGCCAACTGTTGTCCATGTAGATTCTCATTTATCCAGGTCATGGTTTTCTTGAAGACTTAAAAATAGGCAACTGGACTATGTAGAGTTGAGAAGACGTTTCGCCTCTTATCCAAGAAGCTTCTTCAGTTCTTCAGCAGATATCTGCTCCTCACACTGTTTTTAAGTCTTCAAGTACGCCAACTGTTATGAAAAATTAGTGCATCAATAAATACTTAGGGCTCTATTTTCGTGCGTGCCGGTGAGGCGGCGGAGGGCGGCGAGCCCCGCGCAGTTGTATTTTCGTCTGGCGGAGCCCAGCGTAAGGCCAATTTGGTATTTTCGTGGCATGAGCCGCACGGAGGCGAGCCGAGATCCGCCAAGCTGGGCGTGGTGGCGTGGCAGGGGGAGGTGTCGACAGAATCAGCGGGCGCAGTGACATTTTCGTGCTCGCCAGCGGCGTGTAAAGTGCGCTGAAAACTCGCCGATTCAAACCTGTTCAGCTTTCAGCGCAAGGCGGAACGCAGCTGGTCTAGTAGTATTTTGGTAGACCGGCGGCGTATCGACATACGTCACTGATGCCTCACCGGCAGGTTTCCACAGTGTCAGGCACATTTCAGTGCAATAAATAATCATCAACAACTATTAATCTGAGTCAGCACATACATTTGGATATGTATAGAAATATTCTGATCTATATGTGATCTGATGAGCGCGTTTGGCACGCGTTTGGACACACAACCTGACCGAATCAACACAGCTGAAACCGCATCAAATTAAATTAAATATCTAGTAAATAAACACACATGATGAAGTTAACTCGATATGTAATTCGTCTCCCTCCTTTTCTTCCTTCCTCTTCCTCTTATTTCTCGCACAGCTCGACCTGGACACGTCTCCGTGTCCTCTGTCCGTCTTGCTGCTGCTGCAGCTAAACAGATGATTTGTTTCAGTGCTCAGATGCGTTATCTACTTTAAGCCGACATACGGATATTATAATATTCAGTTTTGTGGGCCAAATTTATTTATATGCCAACATCTATGAAAGAAAGAGCCAGGCCACGGAGCGCGATGCGTCATTTACGCACAGATGGTTCCGATTTTTATGCCATTTTTGGAGTTTATGTTGTGATCTGTGCGCTCAACCGACCTTTGTCACGTGAGGTTTGAATATATGCAACTTTATGTGAGTGTCTTTATTTGTGGAAAAGGGTGTTTGTCTTACCAGTGGGTCCAACATTACGCACACTAAATCCATCTGTGCTCATATGAGAGAGTGTGGAGGACACTTGTTGAGGAGCTGCCCTCTGTCGCCATCTCGTGGCATTACTGTCTTAAGACATCTCTTGATCTCTTTGACTACTTCATGAAAATAGTAATACGCCTCGCCTGTGGCAGATTTAAAGGCAAGGAGAGGAGCCTATGTGATTGGTGAAAACAGGTCTCGGCTGTGTTAAACCCACTAACCGCCCTTTCTCCTCCCCGTCTACGACTTATGGTGCTGGGAGGAGCTGAGTTAGGGAGGGGGATACTTCCGCCGGGCTGCGCGGCTCACCAAAATACCAAAATGTGCTTGGGAACGCCTTGTCAGCGCGGCAGATCTGACTGACGCTGCGCTTGCGGCAGGTCTCCGGCGAGGCACCAAAATAGAGCCCTTAGAGTCAGAGGGCATGTCCACCCCTTGCCACCCCTAGATCCATCCTTGAACAATATAGGATTAATTCTACTACAGTTTCTTCTGGTGGTCAGAAGTCAAGGGGGTTGGGGTCCTCTCCAAAAACATATACATTTCCTTGAATACACCAAAAAACCTTGTTAATTTGGATGAGGAGATGAGCCACGAGACAAAGTTTCTAATTTTCCAATTTGGTTTGTTCGAAAACTTCCCAGCTTCAGTATACTGCGATAATGACCTGTCAGAAAAACCCTTAAACTGCAGGAAAAAAAAAAAAGAAAAAAAAAAAGGGTTTGGATCCCAACAGGACAGAGAACAAGGAGCAAAATGTCAGATGACTCTTAATAATTGCTGAATGTCTCGTCTATTCTCTCTTTTCCTCTTCTCATCGATCTCCCCTGTCTCAGTCCTCTCATTCCTTTGCAAGTTTAATATCTGTGATGTTAAATTTATAATTGCGGACTATGTGAAACTGACTTTTGATAGATTTTTGGAAGTAGACACAAAGCCTACTGAGTCTTTAGAATTTCTAAAAATAGCCGACAGAATAAAACACAGTCTTTTCATATGAGCATGCTGTTTTACACAAGCAGAGTGATGGACTCAACTCTAAAACGGTTTTGTGTCCAAAAAGTTCCTGAAACAACAGAAATCAAGTGGTGCTAAAGACATGCTTAGGATGAATGCAAAAATGGTATTTTAATGGAGGGTAATCCTAACAGAGGGATCCTGATGAATCATTATTACCTTAATGGTTGTAATGTGGTGAGCTTCTAAAGTGATAGCAGCATGCACACAGCTTATTGTATTGTATTGTATTTACACATTGTATTTTACAGCTGAAAGTGTTAGGGAGTTAGCAGCTTAAGGTAAGCTCTTTTGAGGATTTTTTAACTGGACATGAAACAGACTAAAATAAATTGCTACCCTTTAATAAGCTACAACAGTAAATAAGCAGGAAAATGGACTGTTTCTATATGCACAATTTATAGACCCTTATAGATGTCTGAGTAAAAGAAAGAAGGTAAATTTGCTGGTGCTAAAAGACAATTTCTCATCCTGCTGCTGGACCAAAGCTTACAATGATAAAGAAACCACCAGTGTTGAGGAGGCACGTGTCAGCTGTCCACAGGGGGTGCTATAATTAACACGGATAGAAAGTTCTTCACTGGGGCTTTCTGTGTGGAGTATTTACTAGCCTGTGATTTGTAAATAAAAAAGCATGCTGAGGACACAGACTTTTTTTTTTCTTTACATTTGAACAGTGTAACAGAATTAAGATTTTTAGTACCTGTTTTTCATTTATTTTCTTCTTTATTAAATAAAAGCAAAACAGTAACGAGTTTGTTCAAAATGGAAAAAAAGAATATTGTAAATGTAGATTCCAATAAACAGTACAATAAAATAACTCATGAGACTGACTTCAGAGCACAATTTTTGTTCTCTGTGGGGAAGCTTTTTTTTTTTTTTATTATTTTTTTAAAAAAAAGCCTTTTTTATTGTTTCATTTCAGAGTGGTGTTTATTGTGAGACATTAGCCTGTAAAAACAACCAATGCTGTTGTGTTATATTCATAATTTGTAGCATAATCACCTAGTTAGTCAAATCCAAAATAGATTCATAAAAAAAAAAATCTTGAGGATTTTAAATCTATTACTTGTTCTTAAAAACTGAATAGATAACTAAAAAGAGAAGACTAAAGACTAACTCCAGGTTCATGCAACTAAGTATTTGACATGAATGCACATAAATTGTATCTATTCATGAATAATGATATGCAGTTATGTATGCTGGATAAAAGTACAATATCTTCACAAGGTTCAATCAAACATTGATCTCAGCAAGTGCTAATAATTTGTATGCAGAAATATGTCATAGATAAAGGAAGCACATTCATGTCATGAAATAGTGCCTTGTTGGTGTTGGAAAATGATACTAAAGGCTTCCTTGGACGTCTCCTTGTCGATATCAGGGATTATTTACCTTCAGAAAAACCTCAGGTGCCTCTGCAGTGACAGGGCTCCGGTTTAGCGCTGACATTTACCGTGCACACTGTAAAAAAGTACCCGTTTCTACAGCTCAGTCAGGGCTGAGGTTCGTCTGCTCTGGTCGGTTATTTCTTACAGTGTGCTCGTCTGCTCCACCCACACACAGTCGGAGGATTACAGATTTTAACTCTTCTATGAACACTGGAGGTCTGTCCCCGCTCAAGGAGAAACTGCCCTGTGTTTCAGTCAGGTAAATACATATTGGAAAAAATCTTAAAAATCTTTCAAGTGAAAACAGACTTCACACTGCTGGAGAGAATCTTATGTGCGCTGCTGCTGCGTCTATTACGGTTGCTTAAAGTTTCTTCCAAGACCTCTATGAATGATCAGAAAAGTCAAGAAGACAAGAAGAGAAGAGGAGACACAATGACACTATGGATGAAAAGAATTAATTAACAGAGAGCTGTTTCTACTTTTCGAAATAATCCAGGACATAAAGACCATTGTGAAGGTAAGTGAGTTTGTGCGCGCTTTAGTCTACCGGATTATCTTCATATAATCTGAGGAACTCTCACCTGCACTGTGCTCTGTGTTGAAATAAATTCACTGAAGTCAGGTGTTTTAATCGCTCCTTCTGTTATTTCTTTATCAGATATTACCTTTTTGACCGTTAAATAGTCCCATATTCTTTTCTTAATCTCTGTGCGCAACATAAACTGTGTTTGACACGATGGAATACACTGAAATAAGAAAAAAAAAACAGGTGCGTTGTAGGCTTGTTGATAGACAGATGTGAAGTGATTTAAACTGGTTATTAGTAACAACTGCTGCAAGACTGACAACTGGAGAATTTAAAAGTTAGTTTGGTGGTGTCAGTGACTGAAACTACATCCAAAACACACACTTTTTTCGTGGACAGAAGCAATATTCTTCTGGTTTCCAAGGACCCTGGACTCTTGAATGCTGTTTTATTTCATGTGTAATCAGTTGATTATAGGAAATTTGTTTTTGGCAAAGCATTAAGGCACAACTTGGTCACACGTGCTCATTTCACTTCTAATTAAGGTGACATCACGTGGACAAATATGCATTATATCAACAAAATGTTACCTTCCTTCATTTCCCATCATGCATGAGCATCTGGGTTATGAAAAATTTCCAGTCACATGCAGAAGATTTCCATCGATTTCATGTTATGATCGCAGATAATATCAATCTGGTTAAAGAAATATAGTGTTAGGCTATTAATATCACACGTAAATGGCAAATTTTAGATCAGACCAGGTAATTTAAGTCACTAGTGTGACAATCTGTTTGTAGCACATTGCGACCGGAAACACCTGAAGACTGAGGAACCCATGTACACGCGACAGGTGTCAACACAGTGTTTATTGCTGGACTTCACAAGATAACACTGGCTTTAAAGTAACAACAGACTCCTGCTGAAGCCCTCATGTTTAAACTACTAATTTCAAAGGTAAAAACTGCTCTTCATGTGCTTCAGTCTCCACTAAATTTAGAGAAAAAACTTCAGCGTGACTTGAAGCTACTTTTCCGAAGTAAACATAGAAGAGGATGATCATTGATGGTATTTTGTCAATATATTTTCACTGGCTACCCAGACATAAAGTTAATAAATATAAAGGTAATATCTACATTAAAATAAGATCTAGCTCTGTCATCACTAACCTAATAAAGAGAAATTATTCAGTTCTCGAAGGAAAAGTTTGTTGCTTCAACAGTTTCAGTGCAGCATGAAACTAGTTGGATATTTCTGCACTGTAGTGTCAATACTTGTATTCTGTTCACAGATCTAAGTAATACTTTTTCTCATCAAACTAAGACCCCCGTTTTTCAAATTCTAATCTCAGACGACTACAGAAGCTCAAGTTGCATACTTTGATTGCCATGTTTATTAATCCCTGTGTTTTCTTTTGTGTTTATCACATTTTTTTTCTCTAGATTTTGCAGTTTGTACTACATGGAGTGTCAATTATTGTTGATAAATGTCTAACTTTAAAGGCATAAAATTAACTTGACCATCATGGTGTTCAAAAGTTGAAGTATTGTTATATCTGAAGATCACTTGGTTTGTAAGGTCTTCATTAACATCAGTTAGGTTTCTGAGTGAACCCTTGTGCGGTTTGTTTGAGGTGTGAAAGCAAAGCAGACCATCTTGTAAAGCAGAGACAGGAAGTGGCAGAAAGCACAGTGCATCTGTCTGTGTGTCTATGACTAGCTTGGCATCAGCGTTACCATGGTGACACATTGTCTCAGGCTCTCATTTGGGCTCCACGTCTTCAATAATGATTTATTTGTCTCATGTGAAAACAAACATGCTGACAGCTCGCTGCATCACCTGCAGCTCATAGTGGGCCCCTTCTTATCAAAAACAGTTATAATCTGGACACCAAAGAAAAGCAGGACCAACATTCCAGTGTTTGGTGTTGCTCTTTTATTACTGCGGTGTCTAAGCTGATGAAAGGGGTGGATTTACTCACTGTTTAACAAGCCGTTTTCTTCTTCTCTTTACATTAAATTATTCTGTGTAAACGCAGAGGCCCATTGGTCACGTAAAACTTGAAAACATTCCTTTCTAGTGCTTTCCTTCTCTATCTGGTCCTTGGTCTTGTCTTTCCTGCAGTCTTACTTACATCCTGTGCCAGACTTCAGTCACCCTTAATAAGCCAGAAGATCCTTTGAACTAGCAGGCGATGCTTGGCTGATAAAGGTTAGAGCAGGTCTCACTTTGACAAGCAGGCGCTCATGTCCTTAGACCATCTGATGGATGTGTTTGCTCAGGGTGATTAAAAAATGTCAGAATAAACCAAATGCTCTGTTTTAGGCTCTAAAAGGAGCTTTGTCTCCAGTCCCAGCCCTCATACTTCTCTGTGTGTGGATAATGAGTGCAGGGCACTAATGGAAACTCTATTTTCAGCTAAATCCACTGAAAGATTAAGAGTCCTATTAATGCAGTCATATATAAATTTCATGAACAATGGCAGCCTGGAAAGAGGCGACAGTGACCGAGATAAAAGGCTAATAATAGGCAGATATGACGGGGGCTCTGTGTGTGGTCAGTCTTACAGGATTATTGTATTATTAAATGAGCACATAACTCAAGGTCTGCTCCAACACAGGCAGAGGTGTCTGCAGCCTGGAGGGGTTTGACCATAGACTGTATATAGAATGGACGCTGTCTGCCTCCTCAAAGCCACTGTGAGAACAGCACCCTCTGGTGACAGGCTGCAGTATAGGTCATAAATCCCACCTCCCCCAGCAATCCCTATGAAGTTGTGGATAATCGTCAGAAATTTAGCATACAGAATATAAATTTTTCTCCCCCCTGCTTGCGATGTTGACATGTAGTTACAGTAAGACTGGTTTGTGCTCAAGTCCTCTTTTTTCTGTACAGCTCCATTTTTAAAAGTTATTAGGGGGGTTCATGTTTTCTATGATTGATACCTGATACAGTCTATGGGCGTACGAAGATTGCGTAGCTTACCCGGGGGATACACTGTTTAAGCAGAGTGTCATCACAGTGGCAATTCTCCCGCCGAATGCGCACAATGCTACTGCACAAGTGGTGGAGTGCGTATAACGCTACTGTGCAATGTTGGTTCAGGAAATGGAGAAAGAACCCACGAATACCGAGAGCTTTTTGGCTTCAAATGCGCATACTAGCGGAAGGCGGAGCCAAGTAGTCCATAGTATATACAGTCTATGGGTTTGACACTGACCAGTGTACTTCTGAGAGCTGGTGATGTGATCAGTTAGGACTCATCAGGAAAGGTTAGTGGGAGGAAGTCTGCCGCCAACTTAAGGAGAGGCCAACTGAGTCCACAGGAAAGAGCTTTGTCTGCAGGCAGAGTGCAGGTGAACCTCCCTTCCTCATAAAGGTGTGAGCGTCGGTAAACTTAATATCACTTCCAGGTATTAGGTTTGATGAAAATACGGGGAGTTACTTCGCTGTACTCAGTATTTGTCTGGAGCTAAAGGAACAATTTGGAATACACTGAAAACAACAGCACCTCAATTACAATCATACATGATTCTCCAGAGGTCATATTCAGGAAGCTTCCAAGTCTGAAGAGTTGATCCTATTGAAGAAATTCTAAGAAAATTCTGAGAATATGACAGTTTCTTAGGGTTTACTCTCAAAATTTAGACTAGATCTATTTAAAGATAAAAGTGAATAAAAAAGCATTTTAGAGAGCTCTTATGATGAAAATGTTTGGAGGAGTGAGGATGACTTTTAAGAGGCTTAAGAGTTTCTAAGGCTGGGGAGGAGCTTGTAGAAAGATGGTGAAATTTCACCCCAAAGTGTGCTCCTATGAATTAATGCAACAATGCTTGAAGAATAGTGACCATAAGATATTTACCCATTTCACTCAGGATTTTGTTTTTGTTTTGGCAGAGGGTTGGATGGATGCAATCTCCGGGGTACGGTATATTAGAGAAGTGAGGTACCTCTTCCCTGACGAGATGACAGGCCCTAGTTTCACTCATGTTAGAAAGCACAAGCACAGTGAGACAATGGACCCAAATCTCTGGAAGGAGATCTCAGTGATTTCAGCTCCAGTTGGCCCTGTGTGTGTTTGAGGCTGACAGGGTCAACGCCAGGACTCTGCCAGCAGTCCTAAAACTCAGAGACAGCTCCCTCAGGCCTGGGAGCGCCTGTGTTTAATGTCAGCGGTCAAAGGTGAATGCACAATAACTTTCTTCTTTTGAAGATAGTCCTGTAGATCTGGGCTGGACCCAAACTTTCACTCACATCTCTTCTAAAAACCTGAACCAGGACACACAGCTCAGATATCTGCAACTTTTAAACCCTAAAAAAGATGAGACAATAGTTTGTGTCATGATAGTTTTTTAAGTCTTGTAAACGTTTTGTAGTAATTTACCTTTTTACTCTTTGAAAGACTCAGTTTAAAGTTGTAGCCTCAGTTTTGTTCCCACTGGTGACCTCTGATTTTTTCCTCCTTTAAGCTTACAGGCCAGTCCACCTGATGTGCTGTTATCCTAAAAACATCAGTTGATGCTAAGGCTGACCACTGACAGTTAATGAGCTGTTCACAGAGGGTTGGTGACGTCGCTCATTTGTTTGTGAAGTGGTATCTTCAAGTCTTTTGGTGGTGGTCAACAGGCCTCCTTTCAAAGCTACAGTGTGCTCACCTGTCAGCCAAGCCAGCTGTACCTCAGATTAACCAGTCTGGTACTCTTACTATCTTCAAAACAGATAGTAAAAAAAAGAATAAATTCAGGATAGTGGGTGCTGTGGAAGCCCAGAGATATTCAGACTAGCAGTATGTTTTGAACCAGTCAGTAAACATGTTTATTTTTGCTCTAAAGATGGGCATTTTTGAATAAGTGTGTATGTGGTTTCTGGTACTTCTGCAGACAGCCTCAAGTGGACACTTGGAGAACTGCAGTGTTTAGCTCTTCAGCATTGGCTTCATTTCTCCAGAGTGGAGGTTGACACATGTTTCTTATTCATTGTTGCTTACATGTTAACAATTGACACAGCAATGCCACATAAGTTTCGTGTGTACTCAAAATTTAAGAGTTTGTTACTAACATATAACATTTTTTTAAGACTGGGCACTAAAATTTATCCGATTCTGTGGTTTATTTGCCAAAGTAATTAATTGACAAATGCAGCAGACATGGTAAACTTTGCACCTGTTAAAGATCAGCATGTTGGCATTGCCACTTTGAGCATCACAGATGACTTATTAACATGTTTATATGTCCTTGTTAATAAAAAAAAAAAATCAACTTTTTGCTCCAAAAACCTTGAACTAATATATTACTGAAGTGATGACCTGGCGCAAACTCAGCTGGACACAATCAGCCCTTTCCCCTGCCATGTTGTAATTTCTCTGTAAGAGATAAGGACAAAGGAGCAGTTTGTTTTGGGTAGTGTGGCTGACTAGGAAACACGCTCTTATCTCCCTTTTTTTCAGAGCAGGAAATTGCTGCTCATCACCTCTTTTATTGAAAAGACAGACAATAAAAAGTGGTCTTTTTTTTTTTTTTTTGTTTATTTGGGAGTAAGACTAGGAGACCTCTGCTCCTTATTGTCCACTCCTTACATTTAACTAATCTCATGGCAAGGGTTGCAGTTTGGCCTAAATTGGCTCTGTTTGTTGGTGTTGCTTGCTTTATTTAAAGACTAAATGTGAATAAATATAAATGAATGTAGAGACTCAGAAACATTTATTACTGTTTTACATGTCAAAGACTTGTAGTGATATATCTGGCAGAAGTTCAGTGAACATATGAACATCATTAGAGTATCAATCAATGCTACCAATGCATAGACTCACTTCATCCATGCATGCATTCTCTCACTACTTGCTTCTTCGTTGCCCTGATCCATAACACACAGAATCTGCTGTGGCTCTCTGTTTAGCTGTGCAGGACTGCTCCAGGGTTACATTTCCATTTGTAAGCTGCAGACTAACTCTGTACATGTTTGATTCCAACATGCCATGCTTTTTACCTGCAGATGTTTGTTTTGCATTTGGAGTAAGCAATGAAAACAAATCTTTGCTGTCAGAGTCAAACTGTTGGATTTTGCTGTTGATTTTTGGTGTAATCTAGTCAACAACATTGTCAAAAGCTGGTATACTAATCATAACCTGAACAATACTAGAACCTTTACTCTGATTGGTACTGTTTATCTGCAACTCATGTCAAAGATGAATAATGTAAGGTGGCTCACTTACAAGCTACTTTTATGCACACTTAATGAGGTGATCATTATTGTTATTTACCTGTAGATTTTTGATTTTGGAAGTTCTGAACAAAAATGGTTTGGTATGAATATGTGCACCTTTATACCCCAAACGCACATATATCAGAATATCTCTCCAGAGGATGCTTTGCGGGACTGCTGAGTCACATGATGACTCAGAGCCATAGTTAGTCTGATTATAGATTCAAGATTACTGCTTGAATGCTTTCTTAATTCTTGGTTGCCATTTCACACACTGCATTGATGCTGTGACAGTTGGCTGGGATTTTACGGATACTAACACAGGTCTGAGGGCAAACAGAATGCAACCTTTAATGGAATATGTATGTATGTATGTATGTATGTATGTATGTATGTATGTATGTATGTATGTATGTACATATTTATATATGTATGTATGTATTTTTACATAGGGTTGTTTGAGGTAGTTTTTAAAGACACATAACTTGAGATGGCAGTCAGCGTGGCTTGTTTGGAGAAGATAGCTGTGATCGTTCCACAGCCGTAGAGCTGAAGTCACTGTGTGTGGATAAAACACCCCCTAAAACCTCCGTCAAAAAAAACCCTGAGCTACTGCTTCAAGTACAATTGAAACACAATCCAATCAAAAAATTCAGTTACATAAAGCTCTGGTGAGGAACTTTCAGTTTTTGTCATGATTATGTAAAAAATCTTATCCTGCTGATTATTAAAAGTCAACATCTGACTCACCTAGTCAACATTGTAAAACATTAAATCAATGTTTTAAGTATGCAAAATAACTACTAATTTTATCCGTAGTTCTAGTGTATCTTTATTCTTTACATATATTGTGTATTTGACCATATATGTTTTTTTTTCTTTTCTGTAAGTATGATGCTGGAATTTTAATTTCCTTAAAGGAACCTTCCCAAAAGGATAAACTAAATTGTATCTAATCTAATCTAGATATACAGATGTGCTGCCTAAGATCAGCAGCAGAGCTTTTTTGAATCAAGGCCTGGTGATTGTATAGGTTTGAGGACTTGTTGTACAGCGCTGTTACCATGCAGTACTCCACAGCAGAGACACGTGTCACCCCGGCTTGGCTTGCCACCCTGCGGTTAAAGTTACTTGGCCTGGACCTTTGTAAAAATCCTATTAGACTGGTCTCTTGTCTACTGTCCAAGCAGCAGCATCGACTGTATCAGCAGTGAACCCATTACAGATGAGCATGCGAACATGCTCACAGTACAGCAGAGATTACATGTTAGAGTTGCATCATGGACTTTTTATAAAGTGGACACACCTACCTGAATGTCAGTGATTAGTTTGTAGCAGATTGCTGTGGAGTTGTGGCTGCTAAACTACTCTTTGTTTGAGTCACTAGTAAAAAAAAACTTGGATTAGAGCATGGATACACACCGCTTAGTCTGTAACCTGGTCGGCAGGTCGCCACTCAATCAGTCAATCAGAGGACGCCCTGCTCTACAGGATACCCTACCTCACATAGCAGTCTGTTTAACGAGGTTTGATCATATTCAGTGAATGCATGGACTCTTCAGAGGTGTTTTAATTGTTCTTTTTGCAAATGAGTGACAAGCCTAATACTGTCATTTTACACATCTGTAAAACAAGTAAGATATGAGAGATTGTAAATTGTGCGCCTCCACTACCTCGCATTTAGACTGAGTGCTTACTCCAAGATCGTCTTTATTAAAGACACTAGCCTTTAAAGGAATATTCCTGCACAAAATTAAGTCAGGGTTAAACAGACCGTAACACCAAGTTAGACGCTCCCTCGAGAGATGAATGTTGCCGACTGCTTGCTTCTCTAGTTATACTAACTTTAGTAATGAACGCATGATAGCAATACACAGCGTCTCCATGCACACACCTCAACCAAAAAGCCATTCTATAGCCACAAATGATGCTCAGCACCTAACTTCATCAACAGTTCATATAGGGTCCCAGCCATAGTCACAGCCATCAAACATCTTTTTAGCTTGGCCTGGTTTCTTTGGCAAAGAGACTAAACACAACTCACCTTCTCTCCTCCAGCAGCCACTTGTTTGTGGGGGGAGCCCTGACGAATCGATCACAGAGTGCAGCGGATCATTTCTATGAAGTAATAATCATCATAATAATCATTTTGCATGACAGGAGCGGTAGTTCTTTTGCCTTAGCATCTCAGTCTGATTGCACTTCCATGAAGTAATTATCATAAATGTTCTTCCTTGAGCTGAGAAACTCCACTGCACTCAGTCAAGTGACTTTTTGGTCGAGGTTTGCGCATGGATCCATAGACCGCTGTATATTGCTATTGTGCAGATGTCACTAAAGTTGGTATATCTCGAGAAGCAAGAGGGTGTTTAACTCAGTATTTCAGTGTGTTTGACCCTCACTTAATTTTACGCCATATTATCCCTTTAAATGTAACTCCTATATGTTACATGTACAAAATGTATTCAAATCCCTGATCAAATCTGTGAGCCACTCTATAGAGAGATTACTTCAAAAAATGCAGGAAGAAAGAAAGTCATAAGAGATCGTCTCTGTGTCTCTCTTTAAAACGGAGCACACAAAGCCTCCAGAAACACCACCTTCTGTGCCAACACATTTTTACCTGCAGCCGAGGCAACAAGCTTTTCAATGAGGCACAAGTGGATCTCAAGGCCTCATGCTGTCAGTTTTACTCTTTCCTTTTACCAATCTACTTGGACAGGATCAAGTCATATCCACTGATAGATGCTACGTACCTCCTGATGTCTGTTTACAATTTCTGCAGAGTCATCACTCTCTCTATTGTGACTGTAAAGTGTATACTGTGTTATTATACCAGCTCTAGACATGAGTCACTATTGAACAGTGTGTTGACGTATTCTTACTGCTGTTGTCAGTCCAAACAAAGTTGCAGACTGTCAACATGTTCAGAGTGTTTTTGTGAAAATAAACCTTAGTAGCATGACATGACGTGATGATGAACAGTGTTATTGTGTGTTTTAAGACTGAGCTTATTTTGCTGCGTCATGTTCTGTTTTAACTCTTTGTTCTCCTGCAGGTTTCTCAGTCCAGTGTGGGATGTTAACGGACTGGTGGCGCGTTGAGGCTGAAGGAGCATGGTGAAACACCAACCCTTGCAGGTCTATGAGAAGCAGGTCTTTCTGTCCTTTGTCACTGGAGTCTATGGTTGGCGCTGGAAACGCTACCAACGTTCCCAAGACGACAGCTCCAGGGTAAGACTGTACCTCTTCTTGTCATACATAGTCAACTATCATTGTGACTTTGTGGTGTCCCAAGCTGCGTGCTTGTAGTTTTGCTTTTGCTTTTTTCATGTGAGACATCTCACAGGTCATCAAAAACTGATCATAGAGTAGGAATGTATGTATACACCAAACCCACAACACCATATGCATTATAACAATATTTTCCTCTCTGTGTTGTTAGACTGGGATTTACTCAGTTTTCATTTGGACTCAAAAGGAAAGACGTACTCATTAACCTGATAGTTTGATAGCTGTTATTGTTCCCTTTTACTTTATCATCAGTTTTGATAAACAAAAATAAATCATGCATTTATTTTGAAAGAGCAGATAAAGCACTTCTGCCAGGAGCAAATGGTAACACCTCTATTTAAAGGGTTAATTCATTATTTTTTGAAGTGTGGTTGCATAGAGCTGGGCAATAAATCAGATTTCAGTTTTGATAATGACTATGGCCCCCCTTGATCACAACATAATGATAAATCAGACTAATCAATATTTTGATGCCTGCTGTGTTGCCTTGTCGTGCCCTAAATGTTAAGAGTGTGGGCGCCACCCCTCCCCTCAAACAGCTCTCACCTTCATTTCATAAAGAGCTTGGATACACGTGAAACAGAGTTTGGGAGTGCGGTGAACTCGCAGCTCCTGCTTGGGTTAGAATAGGCAGCCACAGGTAGTGAAAAAGGAGCAGAGGGAAGCAGGTGTGTGTATTTGACTGTATCTGAAAAGCAAAGGGACAAAAGTAGATTTTTTTTTTTGTATAGCATCCATTAAGACAGACAGACATGCTTTAGTAAACGAATAAAAGGTAATAATAATAATAATAATAATACATTTTATTTGTTAAGCGCTTTTCACAGACTCAAAGACGCTGTACATAACTAAAATCATACATCAATATACAATAAAAATACATCAATATACAATAAAATACATCAATATCAATTAAAATCAAGTAAAATCAGGTAAAATCAACAATCGGGGGGGGGGGGGGGGGCTAAGGAAGATGAAAAGCATTTCGGAAAAGGTGAGTTTTGAGCTGGGTTTTGAATCTGGTAAGGTTGGAGCAGTTTCTGAGGTCCAGTGGGAGTGAGTTCCATAGGGTGGGGGCAGTGACTGAGAAGGCTCTGTAGGCTAAACATTTTTTTTCCTTTTGTTTTTTTAAAGACTTAAGTTGTTTTTAGTTTCAAAGAGGTTTGTGTAAGTTGTGAAAATGGATGTGATGCAGATGTCAAATCATAGGTGATTGTTTGTAATAATTGTAAAATCAATATCAGTCAAAATAATTGTGATTTTAAATCTCATCATACTCAAGCAGCCCTATCTCTGGATGAGTTACATCTCTCGTAAATGCATTAGCCACAATAGACTCTGCTCAGCTCTGCTCCTTTGATGAGAAACTGCAGGGAGAAACAGGACACAAGGTTGGCCAGTTTTCTGCAAACAGGACCAGCTCTGCTTCTTACAAGGCTCTATGAATTCAGGGATCACAGTATTTGTTTTTATTTTACAAAAAGAATAATCCTCTTTTTTTCAGTTTCCAGTTCACGTATTGGATGATCTTAAGCACTTAACTGTACAAAAGCGTAAACTGTGGTAACAAATGGCTTTTTTTTTGTTTTCACTGGAATTGATCAAAAATCAGTAAATTAAGGATTTATCCAGTGTTGAAATTGTACTCGTTGACCACAATCTGCTTAGGAAACATCGGTTGCAAATTAAAAACAGGATTTCTAAAAGCAAAAATGGGAAAAATTGAATTGTGGGCAAAAATGAAACAATCTAACACGGACTCTCTTCCTTAATGCAGCACCATCAGCTAATCACGACTGTCATGTTTATGATGCACCAGACACTGACATAATGAATCTTGATGTTTTTCATCTCAGATTTTGACATATACTTTATTTGTTCAGGAAAGTTCCTGGAGCTGAAACAAGGGCTTTCAAAACCCTTTATATCAACAAACTGTAAATTTAACAGTTCAAATATGAACAAACAGTCAGACAAAGAAACACTGTTGCATGAAGTCAATGGGCTCCATACTGTAGGAGCAAACCTGGTGATAAAAATGCCTGTCATGAAAGCACCTAGAAAATGATTGTTGTTCAACACGAACAGCAGCCATCTTTGAGCAAAGTGCATGTTTAGAATAAATCCTTGAGCTTCACACAAATCTGAGAAGTTAATAACCATGAACCGGACTGGATGTAAGTAAGCCAGGTCAAGAAAGTCAAAAAATCAGAGTGAAGAGGTACTCCTCCTCTTTAGTGAAAGGTCAAATTACTGCTGGTGCATGCCCCCGATCACTTAGTTCAATGAATTGAGAGTGGGATCACACCAATGGTGAACCCACCATCTGACAAACAGGCCACTCTTTAAATGCCAATGAAGTGAGGGAGCACAGAGGGTAAATCAAATGTGTGATAGCTGAGGACTGGCTGGGACAAACCGTTTTATCCTTTTTGGAGATGATTACATAAGATAACAGAAAAGTCCAGAAAACAGAACCAAACCTACGAGCCCTCAGTCTTATCACCCTTTCTCTATGATGAAGAGGAAGAGCACAGAAACATGGTGATTAAGATAATTGTAGGTCCTTCAGCTGTAATTATAGTGCATCTGGTAAATGCTAATACTGTTTTGGATGTACTGTAGCTTACATCTCTGTTTTTAGGCTCCTCACATGAGCAACATTTATCTCTACATGAATTATTATTATGATGCAGTCTAACTTCTTTTCTGAAGTGCCAGAACCCAAAATATTTTATAAGTATGGTATTTAGAAAAGACTACAATCTAGTGGATCTTTTGTTCCATCCGTTTGAGATTAACCTTATTGGGACTTAAAGGTTTTGTTATTGAGGAAGTTGATAATCCTGTTAGACTGTAGCTCTCAACTTGTGTGTCACTAAAGCGGATCTTAGAGCTGTTTCCGGAAAAGTTGTGGCCAAAAGTCTTCCCTCAGCCTTCATCAGTAGGATGTGTGTCCTGTGACACCGTGCAGTTGTAGCAGTATGGTTGTTCATTCAAACTTCAACGCAGTTGTCCAGCAAGCTAGTTTTTGCCTGCCATAAAATGACACATTTCACAACTATAGATTTGGATTATCACCAAGAGGGGAGTAGTGGGTCTTTAGACTGGACCAGATGAGACCCACAGATTTGGGGGATAATGTCATCCCATTTTTTTCCGCTGGATTCCAGAGCAACTTCGAGCCCAGAGCTTGGAAACTGAGTAAAATGATCCTCACAGTAAAGTGAAGAACAGACTCGGCACAGTGTTGAGCCAAAGAAAGCAGAGCCAGACACCCAGCTGTGTTCGATACCCGCTGTGCATCCACAGCAACTGATGCTGGGTGTCTTCTTTATCACAAAGAGTCAGCAGCTTGGCTATAAATTAGCTCATTTAATGACTGTGTGAGCCTGGCACTGACGATGTGCTGACCAACAGGATAAAGAGTCAACACACAGCTGCCTCCTTCCCTCTCTGAGTCTGTAAAGCTTCATAAAGTCATACGCACAGTGCTTGGACATTAAATTGCATCACATCACCGACTGACTGTTTTATGTATTCTTTTTTTGTGTCATTATCCCAACACAATCCCAGGGTGCATGCATCATCTTCATAAAAGCCTCCTGTTTGACAACACCGTAAGGGTGTTGGTCCTAGATAAAGATCATCACAGACTCTTTTATCTCTTGTGCCCACACAGTTTGCACATATATACTGTATGGCTGCATTTGTTTACAACTGCAGGTTTAGGCTTAGCCACAGGATGTAAGTCCAGGCATGGTGTTGGCTCCAATGGTTTTCAAGTTTTGTTGCATTGTTTAAAAACAATTTCTCACAATATAATGTCTGACATTTTCTTCTTTTTTAAAACTAAAGCAGAATGCATCCAAACATCAGCATTTTATTCTGCAGGTGCTGATTTTGGTCTCTGCCCACCGCTGTTACCATTTTATTGACCAAACATTAGTTGTTCAGTCACAAGAGGTCTATTGACAACTTAATTACAGAGTGGCAGCATCCACAGCATCTCCACAGGAGTGGGGCTTCATTACAACAGAAATAATCCCTTCTAGGATTTCCTGAATCAGTCTTATAAACATAGCAGTGCACTGATGAATAAATATTTTCACTTAATCCTGCTGAATGACAAATATTTCCTTTGAAGCAAAAAGAGAGAAAAAACTCAAAGGCACTCTCTTGATAACATAAAATGCCTTTATTTTAACAGCATGGTCATGTAGACCTTAAAAGCAAACTTCAACGCGTTTCGGCATCAAGCCTTCATAAGAAAGTAAAGTAAGCTAGGTTGTTGTAGGCCCTTTTAAAGGGGTGCTTCTCTAATAGGAAATTGCCACTTGGCCTTAGAAGTTTGACCTACATCTGATGACAACTAAAAATCCTTCCAAACCTTGGACGGTTTTTTGAAGACATTTTATATTATCAAGAGAGTACCTTGGAGTTTTAGCTCTCTTTTTGCTTCAATGACTTTGTGAATCCCATCCCAAAGAGCACCTGAGACAAACTCTTTTTTGAGTTCAGGTAGCACTCCTTTTCTTTTGAAATATTTTCTTTTGCTTGGAAGCATCTTTTATCGCTCTGTCTTCTTGAGTTTTTAGTCGATGAAGTTTGTGGTCCAGCTTGAAAAGGACTTGTATAATCCTCAACATTTTGAATTATTGACATCAAATACAGGCTGTACTTTGGCAAAAGGAGGATTTGTTTCAATTGAACCTCCAAGGTCAGTAGTAATTCTGTCAACAGTAGCATGCTAGCTAAGGTTTGTATCAGGGGCTAATACCATCAGCTGCTCTGTATCCCAAAAAATTCTCACTGGAAGTTCTGTGTGGAAAGTATCTATTCAATCATCCTTATCCCCAATATTTAAACATTATATACCCAACTTCATGACCCAGCTGTGTTAAATATACTTGATTAAGATTTATGTTTCAATAGTACATCATATCAAAGTAAAATTATGGGCTCTATTTTCGTGCCTCGCCGGCAGCGTGGCGCAGGTGCGATGTAAGTCATGTCCGCCGCGCCGATAAGGCATGTCCAAGCACACTTTGGGATTTTGGTGAGCGGCACAGCCCGGCGCAAGTATCCCCACTCCCTAACTCAGTTCCTCCCAGCGGCGTAAGTCGTAGGGAGGGAGGAGATAAGGCGTGGAGTGGGTTTAACACAGCTGAGACCTGTTTTTGCCAATCACATCAGCTCCTCTCCTCACCTTTAAATGTGCCCTTTAAACCCGCCACTGGCGAGGTGTATTACAATTTTTGTGAAGTATCAAGAGATGGCTGAAAACAGTAATGCCACATGATGGCGACAGAAGGCAGCCTCTCAACAAGTGTCACTGTAAGCGCTGTATTGGGCGTCCTCCAAACTCTCTCAAATAAGCACAGATGGATTTGGTGTGTGTAAAGTTGGACCCACTGGTAAGACAAACACCCTTTTCCACAAATAAAGACACTCACATAAAGTTGCATATATTTAAACCTCACGTAACAAAGGTGGATTGTGCGCACGGATCACAACATAAATTCCAATATTGGCATTAAAATCGGAACCATCTGTGCGTAAAGGACGCATTGGCTCCGTGGCCTGGCTCTTTTTTTCATTGATGTTGGCATATGAAATAAATTTGGCCCACAAAACTGAATATTATAATATTTGTTTGTAGGCTTAAAGTAAATAACTCATCTGATCACTAAAACAAATCATCTGGTCAGCCTTGATGCCGCAGCAGCAGCAAGACAGAGAGAAGACACAGAGACATGTCCAGGTGGAGCTGCGTGAGAAATAAGAGGAAGATAGAAATAGGGGGGGAGATGAATTAAATATCTTTTTAACCTCATCGTGTGTGTCTATTTACTAGATATTTAATTTAATTTGATGCGGCTTAAGCTGTGTTAATTCGGTCAGGTTGAGTGTCTGAATGCGTGCCTAATGCAGATTTGAATCGGTTAGCTTTCAGTGCACTTTCTATGTCGCCGGCGAGCACGAAAATAGCAGTGCGCCAGCTTATTCTGTCGACACTTCCCCCTGCTGCGCCACCACGCCTGGCCTCGGTGCGCCTCAGTCCATGAAATGACCAATCTGGCTGTACGCCGGGCTCCGCCAGACGAAAATATCACTGTGTGGGGTGCGCCACCCTCCGCCTCGCCACCGGCGGGCATGGAATTAGAGCCCTATATCTCAACAGCTTGGTGTTGTCGACAGAAAAATAAAACTAAAAAACATAATATAAATGAAAAGATATAAAAAGTTTTTATATTTTCCACTCTTAGCTGCCGTTGATCCCCAGCTGTTCAGTTTTTGTCTTTTTTATCAGTTCCCTCCATCCTGTCCCTGTTCTGCTGACTCTGACCTTGTCTGATGCTGGCTGTTCAGTGAAGTATTTATCAGCAGAGAGGAGAACTAAAGAGAGGCTCATCATAAGGTGGAGGAGTCAGCATATAGATCAGGATTTATGAGCGCTGTCAGATGTTGGGAACCAGTGGCTCTAATTGCAGAGATGGAGAGCTCTGAAGGCCATGAAGCACTCAGGAGACAGTGTCAGATATCACAGAGCTCCCTGAACATCAGCGAGGTGCTCAGAAAGGTTATGATATGGATTGATTGGACATTAAACGGAGGTGATGGCGCACTCAAGATAAATAGATTAAATGTATTTAGAACTGCAGACAGTAAGGGAAATCTTAAACAGTTTATCTACCATACCATTTTGCACATCCCCATTGAATGTGAATTGTCTCTTTTTTATAACTGAAATTATGGCAGATAACTTTTTGATTATGTAATTAAGGATCTAATAGCAGTAAATATCAAAGACACACCAAAACTGAGTTGTTATTTATTCAAAATGATAACTTTGTTAACACAAAGGTCACATTCCTGGGATATCTGTCACAAGTAATGATTTGATGAACCTGTCGGTCACCACCTTTCACTGACCTTGCTGCTCTTTGCTTCCTGTATCCTAATCTACTAAACCCCACTGGTCTCTTAAAGGAAGAACCGAGATAGACCAAAGAGACTAAAGCTAGGGCAGTTTGTAAACATTTGAAAACCTCGGCCCTTACGAATGTTTAAAATGACAATTTAGCCAACACGGTGGATTTGAATACTAATATTTTGCATTACTTCTTTGTAGCTCTTTTTGTCTGTTTTTTCAAATGGGGTTTGATGTATCTGAATAGTTTTCAGTCATCCCTCATCTTGAATCTTACTGAATCATGTCTTACAAACTGCATGTCGCTGATCTTTCCTCATAGTAATACTGCTGCACTGCTGACATTTTCTTTTTCATGTTCAACCATGTCTTCTACCCTCAGTTTTGTTTGAATGCTCTTGCTCGATTCATCTCCAAGTAAAAAACCCCAAAGTGTTTGAGTCTCTGCCATAAAAGGAGCTTTAATGCTTCCTTAATTATCTACTTCAGGAAAGGATACTCTGGATGCTCTTCGCCAAACAAGAGAAGAAAAAAACACCCATAATTCTTAGCACCAAATGAAGCTGTGCCTGAGTACTAGTTCAGGCAAGCCTATCAAGCTGCATTACTTTTACTCTTGCCATGCATCATTCTCACTATCACCTGACAAGTATCCTGCTAGTAGATGGTCTATTTAAAGTGGCAGTTTTCCAGTTTCTACCTCTGCCCTTTATCAGTGCTGTGCTCAGATGCTCAGCCCAAGCATCCACCTGCAGGCACTGACTGTGGGGCTTTAAGACATTAGTTAGCACTGCTTCATTTCTGCATGTAAAGTTCATCTGTGAGGAGCAATGATGTTTTGGAGCTCAGACACCAAACATAAACCTAACCTCTACTGCAATAATTGTTTTGATAAATTTCTCATGCACAAGCAGTGAGCATGTTCTCATGCATGGCTAAGTTAAAAATAATTATGTATGATTCTTCTAGATAAATATGAGCAGTGAAATTCTCAATTTGACATTTCACTTGATATGAATTCATGCACATAAAGTTTACCCAAAGCTAAGCCATTCTTTGTCAGAACATCATATTTTTGCCCATTATAGATTGAATAAATAAACAAATATGTAAAATATTTGTACAGTTAGGTGTTTTTATTTGCACTTAATAGAGCTTTATGCATAATTTAAAAGCTGATAGCAGGACAGAGCCAGTTAAGACTACAATGATATTCAGATTAGAAAATATCTGCTTAATTTAAATGTATATTAAAAGTAACTATCACAACAGAACAGGGGACTATTTCACTGTGTAAATACAGTAAAATAAGGGATTAACAATCATTAATAAAATCATGTGAGCTTGGTATTCAGAAAAACCTCACAGATGTCACAGCAGCTGAAGACGGTCCTGTCCTTACACAGATGTTCTGCTTCATAATCTGTAAAAAACAAATAAAGAGAAAATGGTTTACACGGTGTGTGTCTGTGGCAACAACAGGATAAGAACGCACTACACTTTTGTGGTCTATCTGCAGTAGATTGAAGTTGTCAGCAAATTCACTTTACATTAGTAACATGGATCTTTTGGGGCAGTTGGATCTTGTCAGCAATAAATTGTTGAACAACATAGGTGTTAAGATACAGATTAAATCTGGCCACTGACACTGGAGCGTGGCCTTGTATTTGCTAAGGCTGATGTCTTTCAACAAAATGAATATTTTTTGTTCAGATCCATTTATATATTTAGGAATGATATTAAAACTTTTTTTGAGGCAGCAATGGCTTAGGTGTGAGCCCATGTGTTCAGAGGCTACACTCCTCCTCTGGACTTGATTTAAGCCTCATTTGCTGCATGTCATTCTGTTCTTTGTCTTTCTCTCCTTGAATTTCTTGTCTTTCCCAGGCTGTTTCTTGAATCAAGACAAGATTCCCCCCAAAAAAATCATCTTAAAAAGAAAACTTCACTCTATAAAATTGTAATATCTGATTTAAAAAAGCATAGTCTCTTGTAGTGACTCAGGTAAAACCTATTACGAGTTGTTTGTTGACGACTCAGTTGCCTCATCAGTGCAGCCATTTGCTCTTTACCTGCACACACTTCTAATTATCTCACAGCCTCTTACATAAGCTGCTGGAAATGGTGAGTCCAGGCACGCTGTGTTGCAAAGCTGATCAATGCTCATCGGGATCTGTGGACCGGCCTATCATACTCCTCCCCTCCCCTCACAGAGCATTAGCTGCTAATCCTGTTAACTACTGAGGGGAAGAGTCCTTGACTGCTGCACACGCTCTCCTCTGCACCTTTGCCCCACATGGTCGGACTGTACTGGAAGGGGTTAAATACTGGTTATAATGGAGCGTTCTGTCAGCACTGTCTGCAGCACACGTGGCAGGGCATCACAGCTAAGAAGATCAGGTCAGAGCAGACAGGTGTGCTAAACAATTTATGACATTATATAAAAATGTCAAATACTCTTTGAAGCACCTCTGAGGGATTCTCAGTCTACACCAACCAAAACATTTAATCTTCGCTGATTATAGTCCTACATGTGTGTGTCATATTTTTAACACAAAGATCTATTTTCTTTAAACAAAAATGTCAGCTGCCATGAATTCTTCCTGTGGAAAAATGTAAGAAAACACGGTTTTGTTTAACTAAACTACTATAAGACACGGCAATACGTGTGCCCTGAAAGGATTAAATAACACAAATGATTCATTAATAAAGCAAGACACGGCTAGTAATGTAAATGATAAGATGGCCAGAAAATGTGGGGTTAGAGGCTCATGTTGGCTCAACTCTGATTGGTTGGTTGATCTGGGTCATGAACCAATCGGGCACCTTCAGATAAATATACTGGTGCAAGAATACTTGATTTGAAAGTGTCTGCAAACCCAGAATCTGCAGATTCAGTACCACATTTTTTTAAAGTATTTTTTGGGTGATTTAGCCTTTTTTATTGATAGTTTAAGGGTGAAATGTGGGGAAATAGAGAGAGAGAGGGGAGTGGACATGCAGTACACGGTTGGGGCTAGACTCGAACATGCGACAGCTGCTGGGACCGTGGTCCCCATACATGGGGTGCGCTAACCCACTCGGCCATCCACAATTTTAAGACTTTGTTATTTGCAGTTGCACAATCTAGAGCACTGGATTTTCAATGGGATTTGGGCGTATTCAGGGTCAAATCTCATTTCTGTTGTGTGAGAGTTGACTGGATTCAACTTCCCTGACAGCTGTTGCAGCAACACAGTGGTCTCAGTCCCAGAATTGTGACCCTGAAACTGCAGCCTCTGGCGCTGCACTATCAGAACTCACTGAGTCACATAAAAACACACTCAGAGCACTCACAATATGATGGAGTCATGGTTGGTTTTATTTTGCAGTTTAAAGCAGCCTTAATGTTCTTTCCTCTTTAACTCTTTGTTTTTGTTGTTTGTGTTTTCTTCACAGTGGGAGTGTTCGTGGTTCATCATCCTGTGCAGTTCATTCCTTCTGCTGCTCTTCTGGGCTTACTTCTGGGTGGTGGCTCAAAATGATATCAACGAGTTCAACATGTGAGTCTTTAATACAATATGTGACTGTATATTGTTTACGGATAAGAATGAACTTGTGCGCGTTTCCTGTTTTCAGCAGCAGAATGGAAACCCAATAAATAAGCATGTGATTACTGAAAATATACCAAGACTCAATACTAGTGTGTAGTAGGAAGAATTATAAAAAATGTGAAATGTAAGACTAAGTGACACCATTTCAGTTTGTTGAATACAACAACAAATGGTACAGCAATTTGTGAACAGGCAAACAAGCTTATAGCCCTGATGTGGATTAGAAACCCTTACAGTATTGTCACTAATGTAGGGTGACCATACGTCCTCTTTTACCCAGACATGTCCACTTTTTGGGGGACTGTCCAGCCCTGTCCGGGGGAGTTTATAAAGTCCTTCAAATGTCCAGGGTTTTGAATGGAAGTTTTGAGCTAACCCAAAAAACTCTCAAAATTCTCTCTACGCGACTCTGTGACTTCACCCCGTGTAGTAGTTTCCTCTTTTTGGGGATTCAGAATATGGTCACCCTAACTAATGTGATGCAGAAATAGGCACCATAACAAAAACTGGTGCTTTCAAAGTATTCATCCATATAATATTTTTTTGCTTGTGCAAACAACTGGATCTGTGATTTTGAAACATACAGTAAATGTTGACTAGGAGGTGGCTGAATATGGACCCAAAAATTGCAGGCTTACACAGGGAAGAGTTCAAGACAGAAGATACTAACAAACAGTCCAGGTCAGAGCTCAGGTAATCAGTCCACAGGGTTAACAAATCCAAAGGAGCAAAAGCAAAGGTCAAATTAAAGGACTAACTACAAATACGGCTGGACTGAGGTGACCCAAGGGGACTCACTACAAACTGGCAACAGGAGGAAGAGCACACAGGGATTAAATACTCAGACAATCAGGGGATAAGGAGACACAGGTGAACACAATAAGGACAGGGGAACATCAAGCAGGTAAACATGAGGAGCAGGAACTGGAAGACAGAGACAAGGACAAGTACCAAAATAAAACAGGAAACAGTGAAACAGCCTCACTTGGACACTCGTAGAACTGCAGTTATTGAATGTAGCATTAGTTAAACTTTCAGTGCTGGAGGTTACTGTTTGATTTTACCACCCTGCAGGTCGGTGTACAACCACTCTGGACACTGGAGTGACGAGACGATCCCTCTCCTGGCATCCACCACCATAGGATTCACCTATATCACATTCTTAATGGTAGCCTCTTCAACCCCTTCATCATCAGCAAACTTACACATTGTTTAGTTACAGTATCACTCATGGGTTCTCACTTCTCTTTCAGGTCTTGGCTTTTTTTCACATCTCTTTAGGACAGCAGCTGAACCTCTACTGGGTTCACAAGGTAATAAGATTCAAATTTTTCATGTCTGATCAGGATTTCCTTCACACACTCTTTCTGAATTAAATCTGAGTTCATTTTTGTCCTTTCCTCTGCAGATTGGAGTGTTAGCTACTCTGCTCACCACCATTTCTGGTATCGTCTCTGTCGAGGAGCTATGGAAGGACGAGTGGCACATCCTAGTAGTCTCCCTGCAGGTTGGGTTACTTCTGTTTATGTACTTTTTTTTTTTTTGTCTTTTGACTGAATAAAATGAAATAAATTTTGACTGTTAAAGAAAGATAGGTCATCAGACAACAGAACAAGGGATTAAAGTTAGGATATTTTTATGCCAACACAAAACTGAAAAAGCCTCTGAGAGAAGAAAATCTCAGTGTCTCAGGGGAATAATTTCTAGATAGAAAGAATAAAGAAGAATAATTTTTTCCGCATTTCAATCCTCCAACCATAGGTGGAACTAAATATCAAATTAATAAGGTGGGTTCATGGCAATTAATACAGTTTAATATAACAAAACATGTAGAAAAAAATAGTCTGCAGCTTTGACGATGTAAAAACAACAAACAATACACATAATCTGTCTCTAAAAGGAGCTTTATCTTTGTAAAATAACAAAGTAACACCAACTAGACCCAATAAAACACAAAAGAAAAACTGCTTTCAAAAAACAAATTCGTACAAAAATGCCAGATTACAAATTTTGACAAAGGTTTGGAGGATGAAGAGTGAAAAAGAAGTACTTCTGGTCTTCTTGAGGAGACAGATGCTGAGTAGCTGGTCGATCTGTCAGGCGCCCTCCAGTCTGACAGATCCTTCTTTTTAACCAATCATCATGCTTCACCGACTGACATCATAGATCTACAACATAGACAATACACTCTTATGAACACAAACACAGCCTGAGCAGACAACAACATTACAAGCCAGGACAGCTACTCTAACTGTGCCTTTTTTCTCATTTCATGATTTACCTTTCTTAATTTTTATTTTTATTTTTCTCACAAGTTGGCCCCAGAAGATTTATAAGATCATATCTGCGTATAAAATATAGTACAGCAACAGCTATTATCTGGTGAGCTGATCTTTCTATAATGAAGTGACATAAGGGGTAGGGGTTTCATGGTTTCACTAAATTTGACTAGGACAAAGGTTTTTCAAAAAGTGGTTAACTAGTCATTTGGCCTAAGATACAAAAGGAATTATACTAGAACACAGCGAAAATTGATGTAATGCAAATATGTCAAGCTGTCCACTGTGAGTGTTGCACTATTAAAATTAGAGTTTAGCTGCATAAATAGAAAAAAAAAACTAAAATGTGAAAACATTTGCCTTTAGCCACACCAGCCCTCCTTCTCTGTGATATTCACTTTCCACTATTTGACAAATGACAAATGTCCGGCTCGTGGATTAAGCACTCGAGAAGTCGATATGTTTGCAAACTCCTTAATAAGAGGTCAACTTAGAGCAACAACTGCGGACCAGAACAAGCAAAAGAAGAAGTGTACTGATCTGATTGTACCCAATAACTTTTTTAAAAAATTGCCAAAAAAAAAAAAATATTCCTGACATATGGATGCCTTGAAGCTGCAGACCCAGACAGCTTATATCAAGAGGAAACACCTGAGACTCTTGTTGTTTTTTTTAATGGAGGTTAAAAAAAGAAGAAAAAAAACAGGTATTAAAGGTGCAAAACAGTACAAACTTAGTCCTTTCACACTTAAAAGTGCTCTAAACAGATGTTTTTCCCCTAACTCTACATTTTCCATTTCTCTTTAGCTGTCTTAGCTAATGAAAACAGCTTTTAAAAATGTGCTCTGATGATCTTTATGTTCATCTATTCATGACATATTTCATACATTTACCATTGAATATGTGTTGAATATTTGTGTTTTGTGATCAGTCCACAGCTCCTTTCCTGCACATCGGCGCTCTGACATCATTCACAGCTATCAGCTGGTTGATAGCTGGATATGTGGTCCGCAGAGACAGATCCAGTAAGTGTTCAGTCTAAATAAAAGATTACTGTCATTATGCACACTGTCACTATCAGAGTGATGTCTACTTCTGATTTACTCGACTTACACAAAGTTTTAAAAAACTGAAAACTTATCTTAGCACCCTCAGTCTTTCTCCAGTAAAATTTCCCGTTCTACTCAGAGCCACAGACAGAGTAAAGATTTTATTTTTACATTCTTCCTCTTCTGAATTGCAGCTTTCCAGGTGATGGTGCTGATAGTCTACGCCCTCCTCCTCCTGGCTCTGTATCTGGCTCCACTCACGTTCACCTGCCCCTGCATCATGGACCGGCACAGCCTGACACATCGACCTGAGGTCATTGGCCGGCGAGGTGCTCCCATGGTGAGTTGGTGCTTTACCAGAGTTCACTGTCTGATCCTCTAATTTGGTCAAGTGAATCATGTGCTCAGGAGTCAAAGCATGGCACGGCCGGCAACAATGAAGGGGTTGATTTCCTCCTGGAGATCTGGAGAAATACACTCATAATACCTGACTGGCCAAAAAAAAATGTAAGAAAAAGCAACTTCATGATGCGCTGTTGGCCTGGTGGTTCAAGCATGTACCCAATGTGCAGAGCCTTTAGTCCTTGTTGTAGCAGTTTTGAGGTCTTCTCCCAGCCATGACCCATTGCTGCATGTTTTCCTCTATTCTCTGCACACAACGTTTCATGTCTCTCTCTTCAGCTGTCTTGTCAAACGAAACTAAAAGATTCCCCAAATGAAAATTACTTGAAAAAGTACCTTCATCTGAAGCTCTGAGACTCAAAATATGAATATCTCAGTCTCTTTCATTTCTGTACAGTCAGCTTTGAGAAGCTTGACAGATTGATGGATGGACAGACAATCAGACAGATGGATGGACAGCAGATAATTGGACATGAAAGTCATTACTGAAAATGACTGATAGGGGCGACTGTGGCTCATGCTATCTCATACTGTGTTCACAGACTGTGTGTGTGCATGCCTCAGCACTTTACTCCACACTGCAGCGTCTTGTTCAGACACAGAACATGAGTCTGCTGTTATCAGACTCAGTGAGCGTGAGAATCAACAACACACCAAACTGTCATTTCACAGCCCGCCGAGCAAATACTCTTCCACATGACTGCCGGAAAACAAATGTAGAGATGTTCGGAGCCGTGTTCTCCCAGCCTCTGAAGGCCCAGACAAACACACACTCTCACACACAACCATGTGCATACACAGTATACACTCAAACACACACAGACACACTCCTGGCTTTCTCTCTGCAGCTTTACTCAAGAGCTGGTTTCACAGATAGTCTCGCAAGTCTAATTTGATTTGAATCAGGAAAATTAGAGTTAACATTACTCTTTATCAGACTGTGAGTTGACAGTTAACAGAATTCTCCCTAAATATCTGGTACAGCTGAAATGTTTTTAAAGTTTCCACAAATCAGGCGGCATGGTGGGGCAGCGGGTAGCGCACGTGCCTCACAGCAAGAAAGTCACCGGTTTGATTCCTGGGTTGGGCAGGGCCGTGTGAAGTTTGCATGTTCTCCCTGGGCAGTCCAGCTTCCTCCCACAGACCAAATACATGCTTATTAGGTTAATTGGTGGCTCTAATTTGTCCTTAGGTGTGAGTGTGAGTGGTTGTTGGTCTCTCTATGTCGCCCCGCAATTGACTGGTGACCAATTCAGGGTGTACCCCATCTCTCGCCTGATGATAGCTGGGATAGGCTCCAGCCCACCTGCGACCCCAAAAGGGATAAGCGGTATAAAAATGGATGGATGGAGGGTTACAACAAATTAATTATTTAAAAAATAGATAGAATTACCGTTCTTAAAAATAGTTTCTTTTTCAAACTCCTTCTCCCTTGTTATGAATAAACTGACAGTCCTCGCTCATGTCTCCTCTCTGTCTCAGCTGGCTCCTGAAAACACGTTGGTGTCCTTTAACAGAGCGCTGCAGCACGGAGTCAGCTCTCTGGAGGCAGACGTCAGCATCAGGTCAGTAAACACACCGTCACTCTGTTATTTTCTAAAATATGGGATTAACTCTCAGCGTGATCTGAAGTGTGACTGACCTTTCATCAAGACTGTTGTTGATACAGAAACATGTACACAACCTGGTTTACAACACAATACAACACAATACAAGAACTTTATTTGTCCCCAAAGGAAAATTCATTCGTCTGGAATCTCATGAAGCATTCTCTCTGGTAGGACAGCTAACAAACTGTGTAAATCCAGTCAGGTGACATGGTTAAAGTCTCCTGGTATAAGTACAAGTGCTTCAGGATGTTGTGTCTGTATTCTAGCAACAGTATTATGGAGAATACATGTAAATAAGTGTTTTTATGATATGGCTGAACTCCCCTGGAACATAATATGGTCTAAGAGCGACTGCCAAAAGTTCAATATCTTGACAACACAACTTCTCCTTGACAGTTACGTGTGAAGGGTTACACCATCTCTGGTTGACAAATAAAGCCAGACCTCCTCCTTTCTTCTTGCTACTAGCTTGAGCATCTCTGTCTGACCTTATGAGAGTGAAGCCAGGTAGATTCACACTGGAGTCCCAGTTGTTCTGCACTCACGGTATGCTTTCTCAGTCTTCACCAATAACTCCAGCATGTCCCTTTTGTTGGGCAGAGAGTTGACATTTCCCATGATGACTGAGAGAAGAAAGGGTTTATATCTCCATTTCCTAGCTTTCAACTTTGCCTTTATCTTTGCACCAGCATGGCAACCAAGAAAACACCTCCACATTTATATTTGAATTGGAGGTTGTCGTCCAGATTTGCTCTGTCTTAATGAAAGAAGGTCTTCTCTTGAGTAAACTTTTCTCTCAGCAGGTACATCTATCAGCAGCTGACAAAACATGACAAAAATATGAAAAATAGGGCAAAAATTGCAGAAAAATTCCACCAAGGCTAATTTTGATATTTCCTGGGCTGATTTCTTGAGTTTTATAAACATTTCATTTCTTTTCATTCAAGCTTCAACAAAGAAAAAAAACAATTTCAGTTGTACAGAAAAACGTAACCGTCTGTTTTTCTTTTCTCCTCTCTCAGTGTGGATGGCGTTCCCTTCCTCATGCGTGACAGCACTCTGAGACGGACCACAGACGTCAGTAAAGTGTTTCCATCCAAACAATACGATGAAGCCTCTTCCTTTAACTGGACTGAGATCCGCTCTCTGAATGCAGGACAGTGGTTTCTAGAGGTAACCGTGTCACCTCATCCCACACTGATTTGCTAATTAATTGATTGATTTGATGAGTGATTGATTAAGGGATTGATTGTATTTAATTACGTGTCGTGTACACAAAGCACCTGCTCTCATGGGTTAACAAGACAACGGAATTATAGTTTCAGTGGTGGAATATTTCATCTCTGAGCCAGTGTCAAACTCTGTATTCTGACTTTTCTCTCAGGCTTTGCATATAAACTACAACAAAAACTAATGCATCACTCAGGCTTTATATAACTGTCCAAGCATAAGTAATCAGCATTAAATCAGAATATTTGGCTGAAAATGACATCCCCTTATCATCATAGACAGGACAATAAAATAAAAAAATGAATCTTATTCTCTGACTTACTCAACAAACAAACCCTGTCCTCCTCCAGAGTGACATGGACTCTGCTAATTTCTAAAGCTGATGGTGATGTCCCTGAACTAATCACAGAGGGATCTTTATCTTTTACTTCAGTTTTACTTAGCATTCTGAAATTATTCTTTATGAGATGATAAGCATGATAGTTTTGGTTTACACCATATTTCATCAGACTTATTTTTCTTTGTATGTAAGAAACAAGCTTCGCTTAGCCTCTTCAACATAACAGAGTAAACTATTATAGAAAGTAAATAATAAACCATTGAGCAAGGTTCAGGTTTCAACTCATTGGATCTATGATAATAATAAAAAAGCATCTATGTTTACATGTCTGCTCTAATCTGGAACATTTCACATTTGTGATGTTTTGAGGTTCACATCCTATATCTCTTTTTAAAATTTATAAAGCCCCAAGACAGACCTAACATCCCTGGCATACAGATTCACAACTAGTGAATTAGTGTGGTATGAACTTCATTTGATACAGATCACAGAGCTCTACCAGCTGACTGAGTCTGAACACCAACACTTACAGCATCTTTCCATCCAATATAGTTATTATCAAAGTCCTTTTGAATAACATGTCTTAATCAGAAATGGTCATTAGTCATTAAGTTAATTTTCAGGAAAATGACTCTCCCAGGTTTTGCTGGGGTCCTGTAGGAGTTACATAGGTAACGTGAGGCAATGAGTTGTTTTCCAGGAGCTTTTGTCAAGTTTAAAATAGAATCTGAAACATACATTTGCACAAGTAAATATGTTCAATGATGACTATATCATTTAACCTTCGAAAGACCTGCCACATTAGCTGTATTTATGCTTCAAGATTATAAGTTTGATTCCCTGTTGAATCAGTCCACATCATGATGAAGTATCCTGTTGTAAGGGAACTGCTCCCAGATTACTCTTGAGGGTGCAGCCACCAATAAATGAAAGAGCGTGTATGATTATATGAAATCCTGATAGACAGCCTGGCACTGTGTAAATCCCCTCTGCTGTCAGTGTTAGACAATGTGCGAGTGGGTGAAAGCTGGCATGTAGTGTAGAAGCACTTTAAAGAGCTATAGAAGTGCAGTCACTTCGCCATTTAGGGAAAATAAATACAGTGACATAGTGAATTTGAGTTTTACACAACAGACTTAAAAAATAAAATTTTGATGCATCAGTAAAAGAGGAACAGATATCAACATCGACACAGTAAATATCTCAAATGACAATTTATTTGTATAAAGTGTACCTAAAAGTTACTAATCATTCTTTATGTTGGAGATCTTCTGATGGCTGGTGTGTGCCATTTCTGTACTCAGGGTCTAATAATCTAAGAGCAGGTTGTGGCTTCTAACAACGCCAAGAAAAAAAAATCAAATAGCGCTACTGATAAAGTACAACTATACTCTCCAAATCTGTAGCTCTTTGCAGTTTGCTCTGGAAGGAGCTGCAAGTATCTTCACCCCACTGATCAGAGCTGTGCACTCTCATCCTGACAGCCCTGAAACATATCCATGTGTGATGAGCTGGCTGGAGCAGGACACTCCTTACCTGCTTGTGGTGCAGTCAATTAATAGCACATACTGTTTGTAGAGCAGCTTGTTCAGATGAAATAAACAAATTTAGAAATACAACTCTCCTGTGCATTACAGAGCAGGACAGAGTGTGCAGGGGTCGAGCCTCAGACTAGTCAGTATACTAATAATAATAATCATATAATCCGATTGTGAATCAGACCCTCAATGCATGGTTCTGTGTCCCCCTGTTTATAGAGCGACCCCTACTGGACAGCAAAAACCCTGACAAGTAGAGACAGGACAAGAATAGCCAACCAGACAGTCTGCAGTCTGGTGGAAATGCTGCGTTTGGCGTCCAGAGCCAACAGCTCCGCCGTGCTGGACATTCGCAGGCCTCCGCCAGATCACCCTCGCCACCGGAGCTGGTTCATGGACACGCTGTGGGCCGTGCAGAAAGCAGGGATCTCCAAGGAGAGGGTGAGGACTGTAGGTCAACTATAATAATACTTTGATCATTTAAAAGGTGCTGCTTGTAGTATTGAAAATGCAATATATCTACAACGGTCATCAAACCAGTGAGACAGTTTACTAAACACTACACATGGTATTATGCTATCAATATAAAACTGACATTAAAACTTCTACAAGCAGCATCTTCCTTCAAAAATATAAAACATTTCTGTCCATGGAGAGTATGAAGCTACTGTTTTCTGTCTGATCAGGGTCTTTTCTTGTTATATGTGTTTGTGCCAGGTGACGTGGACCCCTGACACGGACCGGGGGAGGGTGCGTGGACTGCAGCAGGGCACAAATGAGAAGCTGTCAATCAAAGAGATTAGGCAGAGAGGAATCACAAGCCTGAACCTTCACTACAGCGAGGCCAACCACGAAGACATAGAGTAAGAGCAGAGCCCAGAAAATCATGACGGAGATGAGAGCGAGCTTTTTATTTTTACTCTGAGCGCTATCTGAAAATCATGAATAGGAAATATCCAGCAGAACATCCCCCAGTTCACTGGGTTAATTTGCAACAGGTTTGTATCACGAATAGTATAAAAAAAAGGGCACCAGAAAACTTGATGCTCTTTGAATTAAAATAAATAACATCAAAAACACCCTTCATGTTGTTTACTAATTAAAAAATGCCACCAGAACTAACTTTCCACAGTTTGATCTGACATATGTGATCAGGTTGTTTCTAGCAATACTTTGCTATTGAGAAGTAACATAGTTGTTCTATTGACAAATCAGAATCAAGTATTTAACATTGATAATCTGTAATTAAATGAGTTTAACCTTTCAGTGTTGTAGGTCACTTGTATAACTGTTGCACAAAAGTAATATTGCATTCAGGTCATGACGTACTACTGATTATAAACATGCTGTGATTGTCTTCGGCCCCCTGCCTGTGGCCTCATGATCACATTTCAGCCATGTTCATATTCAGTACATCTCCCATACTTGTGTAATATTGCTAGACTGATATTTGAAATGTCTTCGATCCACTTTATGATAACTGTGTATAACTGATTATGCAGTAAACAGGCACATAAAACCCCACAAGCTTCCAACCAAAGTTTAAAGTTTAGACAATATGTAAAACACTGATGAAAACAAAGTTTAATTACGTGAAAATCAGTTAAAGCAATGACTGAAGTGGAAATAGTTCAAAAACAACATGTCAAATATCAGACCACATGAAAACATTAATAAAAGGAAACATTGGATATGATGTCTTTTTATTATTCCCTACAGAAGCGTATTGCATTCACCAAACAAAAAAAAAAAAAACAATCTCAGTTTTCAGGGTATTTTTCTATGTACTGTTTTACAGACAAATTTTCTTTCTTTTTTTCAGAGTAATTTTTTGTTTCTTTTCTGTTTGTCGGACTAATTTTTTTTTTCTGTTTTATAGAATATTTTTCCCCTGTTTTTTTTTTTGTTTTGTTTTTTAGACCAAGTGTTTTTCCTATTCTCTGGGATCTTGATTATTTAAAAGCTGATGTTTTGATCCCGCTCTGCTCGATTTATTGGAAGCAAACATGGCCCACTTGTTTAGTTTTGTCAAGTTTACTGTTTGGGGGGGTTTAAAGCACTGGGAGATACTCTTTTCTTTAAGTCAGACAGATGGAATCGTCATAAGTTTGTCTACTTTGCGCAGGCACCTCAGGATTCGCATACCTGTAGTCAAAGTTATCAGGGAGCTGGAGAATACGCTGATTTGGAGCAGCAGTGGTGGTTAACGTTATCTGAGATTCTCACAGGATTTTGAAGTATCTCACTTAGTCAGGAAAAACAAACAGTCTAATAAACAGAACGACAGAAAAAAATGTAATGAAAAACAGAATAAAAATTAGCCTGAAAAACTGAAAAAAAGGGAAAAAATATTGGTACAAAAAAAAAACAGAAGTAAAAAATAGTCTGAAAAACAGCAAAGAAAAAAAATACTCAAAAAAAGTTTCCTTTTTTTATTTGTAGGTGAATGGAATAGGCTTCCATGATTTCCAATCAAATATAAGATGTAAAATATTTTAAAGTACTCTTCAATGGACCTTTTGATGAGACAGAGCTTTCTAGCATATAAAGCATACACAGTTGGTCTCCATCATCATTAAAGTGAGACATACTGCACACATGAGTTTATCACATCTGTTGAATAGTTTGATGTTATCAGGAGGTTCATTGGAAGTATAAAAACATCTGAAGTGATAAATCCTGTCTGTGCTGGGACAACGGTGTCAGGGGAGCTCAGTTGTGAACAGGTCGTGTCTGTTGTGTTGACATGTATGTGTGTTTCCTCTCCTCAGGGAGTACCTGGCCAATAATGTGAGCGTGACAGTTTACCCGGTGAATGAGCCCTGGCTTTACTCCATACTGTGGTGCAGCGGGGTGCATTCTGTGTCCTCTGATGCCCCCCAAGTCCTCCGAAAGGTGCCTTACCCCATCTGGCTCATGGTAAACAGTTTCCCTCTCTAATCTGACAGCACACACACACACACACACACACGCACGCACGCACGCACGCACGCACGCACGCACGCATGCACGCACACACACACACACACACACAGACTCAGACAAGGTCAGGCAGTGAGATGAGAGGACAGCAGGAGAGAGGACAGAGACTGACGAGGGCCCAGCAAGACTTGAGGGCAAGGACGCAGAGAATATGAGGGATCTCAGCAGCAGACTTTCACTCAGTGTGGTTTTAGAGAACAAGAGAATCATGGGAAATTGTAAAAAGGACAAAACCACAAAGCAGCTGTGTTCCCTCAATCAGAGCCTTGTGAGCTTTGTGTTTGCTCACGGTGACCTCTGCTGGTTCCACTCTAAACTCACTCTCACTGTCTTTTCTTGCAGAGCCACCACGCTTTCAACTTCATCTGGATCACTTCAGATCTGGTCTCCCTCTCTGTAGTCATAGGGATCTTCTGTTATCAGAAGTAAGTGCACACTGTGATCACACACATTCATCCAAATTCATCTTCCTCTTTCCAGGATTATTCAATACATTTACTTTAAAGCATGTTCATGAAGCAGGTTCTTATACTACGCAGCAACAGCATTTATAAAACATCATTTAGTAAATGAACCAAAGTAGTTTTTATTCCTTATTCCCCCAGTGGCAGCATATGTACTCCTACCAGTAAATACGAATTAATATGACACACTTGTTGGATGTGGTTGCTGTGGAAATGATCGATTATCATTATGGCAAATCTGTGGGTACAGATTATAAACCTGAGGACGGATTTGTAATCCATGTGCCCAGAATCACCTCCTTTGTTTTCTTGACCTGGCACCTGCGGGCCTCCGTAGATGTATGTTGTGTATACAAAGTGAAGCACTGAAAGATTTCCAACAAGCATACTCTTAAACTGAGGATCCAGTTTAGGTTGTTGTTTTTAAAAACAGAGCATGGGTTGATGATCCATCTGATACTCTAGTTCTCCAGCTGGTTTGTCAACAAAATGGCAGAGCTGACTTGGATCTCCTGTCAGTAAGCACCGGAAATATTTGCAACCAACCTCTCTTTAAACAACCTAACTGTTTCTTGATGTGTTGTGGAAATACAGTGAATGTGTTTTTGTTGATCTCTTTGTTGGAGCAAACTGAAGTTAAACTGTAAGAAGCACCATTGAGAGCACATTTCTCTGCTCCTGTTTTATTTGGAGTGCGGTTGAACTTGTTGACATGTCTCCTCTGAGGCTGCAGAGTCTCTTTTCCTGCTCACTCTGCTGCTTCTCTGACATTTCCACTCTGCTCATTCTCCCTTTTTCTTTTCCTTTTTTTTTCATTCTGGACTCCTCACGTCTGCCGTCTTTATGTTTCTGCTCTGTGCTATAACCTCTCTGTGTCCTCTCTGTCCTCTCTCCCTCTTTCTTTCCCCTGACATTTCTTCTCTGTCCTGCACTCTGCCTGATCTGCATGCGTCCTTCCTCCGCTGCCCCCCGGCGTCTGTCAGCTATCATATGATCAGGTAACTGCTGCCTCTGCCTCGGCCTTTGTTGCTGCTCCTCATCTGTCCTTCTTTTGCTTTTTCTGCCCGACACCCTCAGGCTGTTTCCTTCCTCTCTGTTCTTGTTTACGTCTTGTGTATCTTTGTACATTCTCTCATATGTGTCTGTGTGTGTTTATATGTATCTGTGTGTAGACACCAAAACTACGCAGACTCTCTCTCTCTCTGTATAGCAGAGGGACCTTGTCTGTTACTTAGACTGTTCATGTTCGAGTAAGAGCTGCTGGATCCCTCTCTGTGCTTGAAGTCAGTTTGGGTTGCTTCATGTATAACTGAGCCATGTTATAATATATATTTTTTGTCATCTTCTCACTGGAATAAAATCAAAGTAAAATCATTTTCTAATGTAAATAAAGTAATTTAAAAATCATATCATCATATTACTAAAAAGAAGTTGTATTGTTACAAAAATAGTTGTAGTTAAGTCATAATATTACAAGACTAAACTCGTTATGTTGTGAGAATCAAGTGGTGATAAAGTCGTAGTTTTTGTTTGCAGTGACTTTACAGTGACAATTGTTGACTGAAGTAACAACTTTTAATATGATTTTAGGACAACTTTATTCTCATCATAAAAATCATTCTATTGCAGCTTTATCTGTGTAAGAAAGTGACTTAAACTTTTTTTCTAAATGTAAAAAATGAAGTTTAATCTTAAAAATGTGTAACATGGCCCCGATACTGTATTTCCTCTTTAGATCTAAGGATACAGTCACTCATAAAACAGTTCCAATTTCCTTTGCATCTTTTATATATGATAACATTTTTATTTGTTTTTTTTTTTAATATAATTGTATTCTTATTTTTATTAAGTGACCTTTTTACTATCTGACAGTGTCTGTCTGACCTTTTCTCATGGCCTTGTTGCATCATTGCTTTTCATTGCCCATCTGTAAAAGTTTCCAGTGGGTACAGTAATGATCTTGAATCTGGAGCATTTTATGGTAATGACTAGTCAAAATCTTAGTATACACATATATTATGCATACAACAGACAATCCAACTTCCACAGCATGAATATACTTGAATATTTGCAAAACTGCTAAGAATTTAGGAAAAAAAATTGAGCGCAGTTTTTACTTTAATTGTTCGTAAGCTTTTGTAAAATATTGTTGTGACAGGCTCCTAACCTGCCTCAACTAAAAACCTTTAACTCAGCCCCAGGTTGGAAAAAAAAGTTAGCTTTCAGGCTTTTAATCTGTCAAAGAAAAGCCACCACATGATGCTCTTTTCACCCTCCCTCATTGACTCATGTTTTAAAATCAATGTAAAGATCTCAGTGCTGACCTTTAAGGCCACCCATGGTATCTCTCCCTGCTTTGTATTTGCTCTTTTGATCACACGGTCACTAGTGTGCAGACTAGGCATATGCAGTCATATGATGATTTATACTAGGTTGAGATATTTTGGAGTCTTGTCAACATCTGTAAGGTCAGCCTCGGCATTCCCCAATTGATCTTGATGGTTGCCGGTAGAGCTAAGTTGAGTGTTGCCAGATATTGGATCATAATCTCCATCCGGTTGTTACTGATGTTTCTGTGTGACGTTACAGGTGGAAGATGAGTGGGATGCAGAACTATAACCCAGAACAGATCATGCTGAGTGCTGTGACACGTCGGACCAGCCGGGAAGTGAACGTCATGAAGGAGAAGCTCATATTCTCAGGTGCAGCTTTGATAACAGAGTCAGAACTGAAAGGCTGGAGCTTCACAGACAAAACTGGCATTAAAACTGATCTGAAATACAGTAAATTCACAAGTTAACTCTTGTGGAGGGCACACCAAAAATTTAAATGTGTTTTAAACAAGGAAGTCAAACTTTGAAAGCAGTACGTCTAAAGTTGAATGTTTTTACCACTCGGGGGCGCCAAAGTTTGACACTTTTAAATTCTTCATTCAGCAGTTACAACTAAAGCTGTACTCAAAACATGAAATAATGTTTTTTTTTTCTTTTAGTAAAGAAAGTTTTTGAAACTTTTTAATTTATTTATTTTATTTTTAAATCTTTTTTTATTTTTCCCAGAAATTAACAATGGAGTGGGCAGTGCAGAAGAGCTCTCTCTGTATCCTGAAAACGGGTTTGCCAGATATTCTCACGGAGGCCACCGTCACTGATCAGAACTCCAGGACCTCAACACTAAACACTGCAACAGGAAATCTGTCGACATTGGTTTGATTTTAGAGTTTTACTGTCTGGACATTAGCCTAAGCCTTGCAATCAAACATTACAGACACTAAAACTTCTCTTAAGTGTTGATGAAAGATCAGTCTGACTTGTCAGTAACTTTTGCAAGTTATGTGAAATACACTGTATGTCTAATCTGGTGTAACTGTGTGTTTAAATCTATTATAATCCTGATTAGACTGTCTGAGGGAGGATCTGAGACCGAGAGAAAGGACAAGAGGTTCTTTTTTAATGAAGATTTTAAAGGCTAGCTGTTAAATCAGTAAGTGTGCCAGGTATAAAGAAAAAAAAGAACTGTCAGAATGGGACAAATGGAATTTTTGTGTTTTCATTTTTTTTCTTTTCTTTTTTTTTGTTTATTCTAAATGAGTGTTATAGTCACATCGTGCACAAAAACTGTTTCAATCATTTGTATGTTTATTATCATTTGTTTAGTTTCAGGCACTAAAATTAAAATTCATTTTATTGTTTTTGCATTTTTTTAACCTCATGCCTAACACGTTGTCCTTTTTAACTCTCAGTGATGTCAACATTCATACATTTTTCAGTTAACCTTTAAAGACTTTTTCTTACATTTAGTGTCATTCATTAGCATATTGTAGCAGCGTGGACACATGGCTTTAATGTTTCTCTCCCTTATTTCTTCCTTTTTTCATCATGCAGTTTGGAAACAAAAGTTAAACTGAGGTCAAAATTTAATTTCAAGAAAAACAGTCAAAAGTTATTTGAATGAAAGATCTCTCAATCCATCCTGTTTCAATGCACATACTAAGAAGAAAATGTACCTCCTGTCTTTTTGTTCCTTGTTCCTGGCCCTTATACTCTTCTGTTCGTACCAGGTCAGCTGAAATTACGACATGTCTGAAAAAAAAAAGATTATTTTCTTCCTGAACAGGAACTTTTTAAGGACATAAATTTATGTTTCTTTGTTATCAAAAGTTTCTTTGATTTGCATTTTTTAAAATTACTCTAAAATTCCATGTAGGGGTAAAAACACTACCAGACTAGCAAATTAGCACGAGTGGCTTCTCACAAAGTTGTATTTAAGTCTCAGTAGACCAATATTTTGTATTTTTCATGTACTCTGCTGTTTTTTGTAAAGATAAAATGACCTGTGTAGTGCTCTGTATCATGAGGTGATGTGTAAATATGTGCTGTTTTTATTTTTTTCCCTCTGAGAGGATTTGAATTAATTGAATTTATAAGTTTTTCATTTATTGCTATCATGACTCATGTTTTTATATCTAGGGTGTGATGAGTGTGGGCAAATGTAAAGACTTGTTTTCTTGCTGTTTCTTTGGGTCAGGGGAATTTGAGGGTGTGTCATGGTCTGTGTTTAATTTTGTACTGCCTCTGGACTGTCATGCCCTGACTGATTTACTATTTAGTTTTATGATATGTTACAACTTTCACATGGCTGCCTTTTTGTTTGATGAACAGACTTTTAGAAAATAGAAAAACTTTTTGTGCTTTGATTTATCTACAGGGGCTTGAAATGAAGGTGTGTGTAGACCTCTGCTTGCAGACATTTGAACCATTTAATAAAATTGATGTTTTCTCTTTCAACCCTGTGCACGTTTTCTAATATGAATCAAACCCTAAAGTACTTGGTACAAAGGGTAAATACACAACAACAACAACACCTCAAAAATGGAGGAAAAAGTAGTTCATAAAGTAGAAAAAGTCCTATCAGAATGATATTGGTGAAAGGGATACTCTGGCGAGAAATTTAAGTCATGGTCAAACACACCATAACACCAAGTTAGACACCCGCTGTTGAGAGATGAATGTTGCTGACTGCTTGCTTCTCTAGTTATACCAACATCAGCAATGACAGCATGATAGCAATACACAGCTGCCTTCGTTTCCACACGCAAACCTCAACCACAAAGCCACTCTATAGCCACAAATAATGCTCTCTTCCAGCAGCCGCTTGTTTGTGGAGGGAGCCCTGACAAGTCGATAACCAAGTGCAGCAGAGTTTCGCAGCTCAAGGAAGAACATTTATGATTATTACTTCATGGAAATGCAATCAGAGTTCTTGTGTATCTTTTATGTGCACTGCAGACGCGGTCGTTCTTCTGCCTGTCAGTCTGATGAAGTAATAATCATAAATTTTCCGCTGCACTCTGTGATCTGGAACGACACTGTGTGCACAATTATTAGGCAAGTGAGTATTTTGATCATATCATCATTTTTATGCATATTTTCCAACTCCAAGCTGTATAAACTTGAATGCTTATTGGATATAAGCATATCAGGTAATGTGTATTAGTGTAATGAGGGAGGCTGGGGCCTAAGGAGATCAAAACCCTATATCAAGCAGTGGCGGCTGCTGGTCTTTCAAGGAGGGGAAGCTCATTTTTCTGGCCTACATCATAATTGTATTTGTTTATTAGTATGTAACAGAACAGAGTCGCCAAACACAACGGCAGTCATTTTTAACAAAGACAAGAGTCGCTGAGGATCGGTAAAGTCTCTGGAGCAGTTAAGAACAACGGAATGAATAACTTGGAAAATGCTCTGGTAGATGTTTTATTCTTCAAGATCGCTGATTCGCTTGTTTAGCTGTCAATCAAAAAAGGATTTCGCCTCAGACAGCTCATCCAATCATGGATGCAGAAGCTTGGAGTCCGGGAGAAAGTCGGGACCGCCCTCTCGCCATAGAACTCCAGTGAAGCTGGGCTTCCGATGGGCGGGACAAAGCCCAGCATTTATCCAATGAGCGTCTAGTTTCGCTGCTGGAACAACCCACTTTAAGCTTCCACATTGAAGTCAGCAGAAGCCCAGCGTCCGGCTGTTTAAAGCGCTGAGGCGCTGCGAGGATGAATGAGAACGAAGTTATGCCGGTTACCTGTGATTATCAGCTTCTTATCACAGTGTCTGAACAAAAGATGAAGGCTTTCTAGTGCGTATTTAGTTAATGAAATGTACACACAGCAGTACGTATTTCACCACTTTTTCTTTTTTTTGAGGGGTGACATTTTAAGGGAAGCCGAGCTTCCCTTGCAGTCTTAGAGCAATCGCCACTGATATCAAGGTGTGCATAATTATTAGGCAGCTTCTTTTCCTCAGGTAAAATGGGCCAAAAAAGAGATTTAAGTGACTCTGAAAAGTCAAAAATTGTAAAAAGTCTTTCAGAGAGATGCAGCACTACATGGATGGACTTTTTTTTGCGAGATCTCGCAAAAGTATTGCGAGAGCTCGCAAAGTTCTGTCCTACTTCGGTGAACCGGAAATAAAACAGACACACATGATGGAGGAGCGTACACATCATATGCTGCGTCCGAACTGCCCGCTCGGATACTACATGCTACTGCTACGTGCTACTGCTAGATCCTACTCCTACATACTAAACACGTTGGCCCAATTCGGACACACTAGACGAGCGGTGGGGAAAGACGACCCCCGCAGGCAGAGAGTAGGTACTGCGCCCGTGCAGACAGTGGTAACTGAAGCCCCTCATCTGCGGGCCTGGCTGTAGTACTGCAGCTGTGCAGTTTAATGATGGAATAAGTGAGCTTTACCTCCATGATGTCGCCACATATTTGCTCATAAAATGATTACTTGGGCAAATATGACACCATGACATGACAAAGAGATACAACCGCACATTTTTTAGGACAGTGTGTGAAGTTACATGAAACTTACATCTGTACTGCTGCGGTCCCGCGACATGGTGCGCGCTGTTGTGGCCAGCCGGCGTTCGCGACACATTTAAATAGGCAGAGCAGCTGGTGGCGCTAGCATCACATGCGCTTCTACAACTTTTAAGAGGACGAAGAAGAAGCCCGTGGTGCATTTTGGGTCAGTAGCATGCCCGTAGGATGCACCGAGACCAACCTACAATGTGGGCGTGTCTAGTATCTGAAGTAGTATCTGAAGTAGCGTGCTACTCGCTCCGGTGGCCAATTCGGACATGCTAGATACTACTTCGACTACTACTTCGACTACTACTTGGCAATTCGGACGCAGCTACAGACATAATAAAAGGGTAGACCCCGCTGGGGGTGCTGCGCATAGACATAATAAAGGATAGACCCCGCTGGGGGTGCTGCGCAGCGAGAAATGCGGCCGCCATCTTGGTCAGGTCAAGCTTCCCATACGCTCCGGTCAATCATATTCATTCATCAGTCATTCAGCGATGCCGGAGCACTGTGCGGCGTATTCCTGTGCCAATAGGCGGACAGCAGAGAGCAGGGCTAGAGGAATAACTTTTCACAGGTAGGATTAAACATTTTTTTCAACATTACACTTGACTGTAGAGTCATTTGTAGGCCAAAGAGGAAGACTATCGGTCAACTTCAAAAACGAAACAGCATTTGCGAACAGCTAGCTTATTCACCATAATAGCAACTTTGCTCTATTATCAACAGATTTGCATTAGATTGAAAAACTTTTGTTTGAGAGAGGTTCTAAGAAACGTTAAGAAATAAAATAGAAAGAAGAAGGGAGAAAGTGAGCTCTGTTATCTGTTTTATTAAAGATTTCTTTGTGGTGATCTCCTGTTTCATTTTGAAGATTTCCTAAGGACAAAAATTTGAGGAAGAAGTGGGAGATTGCTGTAAGGAGGGAGAAATTCACAGCAAGGCATTCCTCTGTGCTCTTCAGCCAACATTTTAAGGAGGCAGACTTTGACAGGACGGGACAGGTTGTCCGCATCCGAGATGGCGTTATTCCGTCCGTCTTCAAGTTTCCAGGTCACCTCCAAAGAGTAGGTGCATCACAATAAAGTTGTTTTATTCTATTGATTACATGGCATGAATTACTTATTGTGATTCCCTCTCTATCTATCTATCTATCTATCTATCTATCTATCTATCTATCTATCTATCTATCTATCTATCTACCTACCTATCTACCTATGTCTTTCTGTCTTGTCTTTATTTTTATTTTTTTATTTCATTTCAGGCATGTTGGGTGGTTTATAAAACACCCAGGGTATCAGACAATTTTATTTCATTATCTAGTTTGTTCCAAAGCCTCACCCGGCTGAAAGAGATAGTGAAGGACTTAATGGTGGTTCTTGCCACTTTTCCTCTTCATTTTAGCCAGAAAAAAGCAGGAACACATCTGCCTCCAGAAAATCTGAGGCGAGCCTGTCTGAGACTCCTCAGGATAACTCAGTGGCCTCAACCTCACATTCTGAATCTCAGCCTGAAGATGTGAGTATTTCAATTTTACCCATAAGCATGTCATGATGGTTTTAGAGACTGGTAGCGGATTTGACAACTGATGACTTTTAGAAATAATGCGAGCCCATCTGTGTGATACAGCTAGTAAAACATAACTCAAACAATGCTCATCTCTCCTTTTTCTAGGATCACAGCTATGTAATGCCTTCCTCCCCAACCGCTTTAAAGGCCAGACTCACCGGAGCTTTGGAAAGAGTCGATAAATTGGAGCGAGAAAAAAAGAATGCCAAGGCACGTGAAAAGAGGGCGAAGACAACCGTGAAGAGTCCTCTATCACAATTATGTGAAAAGAATCTCATTAATGAAGAGCTCAAGGACAGACTTGAGCAAATTGTTATGTAGTTTAGATGCTGTCCTGTCATGCTGTTCTTGTGTTTAAATTTTTTTGATATGTAGGCTATATATTTGTGTGTATTTTCCTGTTATTAAAATAGTGCTTCTATATGACATTATTTGTGTGTGTCCTTTATTATGTCTATGGTGCTGCGCAGCGAGAAATGCGGCCGCCATCTTGGTCAGGTCAAGCTTCCCATACGCTCCGGTCAATCATATTCATTCATTCATTCATTCAGCGATGCCGGAGCACTGTGCGGCGTATTCCTGTGCCAACAGGCGGACAGCAGAGAGCAGGGCTAGAGGAATAACTTTTCACAGGTAGGATTAAACATTTTTTTCAACATTACACTTGACTGTAGAGTCATTTGTAGGCCAAAGAGGAAGACTATCGGTCAACTTCAAAAACGAAACAGCATTTGCGAACAGCTAGCTTATTCACCATAATAGCAACTTTGCTCTATTATCAACAGATTTGCATTAGATTGAAAAACTTTTGTTTGAGAGAGGTTCTAAGAAACGTTAAGAAATAAAATAGAAAGAAGAAGGGAGAAAGTGAGCTCTGTTATCTGTTTTATTAAAGATTTCTTTGTGGTGATCTCCTGTTTCATTTTGAAGATTTCCTAAGGACAAAAATTTGAGGAAGAAGTGGGAGATTGCTGTAAGGAGGGAGAAATTCACAGCAAGGCATTCCTCTGTGCTCTTCAGCCAACATTTTAAGGAGGCAGACTTTGACAGGACGGGACAGGTTGTCCGCATCCGAGATGGCGTTATTCCGTCCGTCTTCAAGTTTCCAGGTCACCTCCAAAGAGTAGGTGCATCACAATAAAGTTGTTTTATTCTATTGATTACATGGCATGAATTACTTATTGTGATTCCCTCTCTATCTATCTATCTATCTATCTATCTATCTATCTATCTATCTATCTATCTATCTATCTATCTATCTATCTATCTATCTATCTATCTATCTACCTACCTATCTACCTATGTCTTTCTGTCTTGTCTTTATTTTTATTTTTTTATTTCATTTCAGGCATGTTGGGTGGTTTATAAAACACCCAGGGTATCAGACAATTTTATTTCATTATCTAGTTTGTTCCAAAGCCTCACCCGGCTGAAAGAGATAGTGAAGGACTTAATGGTGGTTCTTGCCACTTTTCCTCTTCATTTTAGCCAGAAAAAAGCAGGAACACATCTGCCTCCAGAAAATCTGAGGCGAGCCTGTCTGAGACTCCTCAGGATAACTCAGTGGCCTCAACCTCACATTCTGAATCTCAGCCTGAAGATGTGAGTATTTCAATTTTACCCATAAGCATGTCATGATGGTTTTAGAGACTGGTAGCGGATTTGACAACTGATGACTTTTAGAAATAATGCGAGCCCATCTGTGTGATACAGCTAGTAAAACATAACTCAAACAATGCTCATCTCTCCTTTTTCTAGGATCACAGCTATGTAATGCCTTCCTCCCCAACCGCTTTAAAGGCCAGACTCACCGGAGCTTTGGAAAGAGTCGATAAATTGGAGCGAGAAAAAAAGAATGCCAAGGCACGTGAAAAGAGGGCGAAGACAACCGTGAAGAGTCCTCTATCACAATTATGTGAAAAGAATCTCATTAATGAAGAGCTCAAGGACAGACTTGAGCAAATTGTTATGTAGTTTAGATGCTGTCCTGTCATGCTGTTCTTGTGTTTAAATTTTTTTGATATGTAGGCTATATATTTGTGTGTATTTTCCTGTTATTAAAATAGTGCTTCTATATGACATTATTTGTGTGTGTCCTTTATTATGTCTATGGTGCTGCGCAGCGAGAAATGCGGCCGCCATCTTGGTCAGGTCAAGCTTCCCATACGCTCCGGTCAATCATATTCATTCATTCATTCATTCAGCGATGCCGGAGCACTGTGCGGCGTATTCCTGTGCCAACAGGCGGACAGCAGAGAACAGGGCTCAAGGAATAACTTTTCACAGTTATGATTAAACGTTTTTTCAACATTACACTTGACTGTAGAGTCATTTGTAGGCCAAAGAGGAAGACTATCGGTCAACTCCAAAAAGGAAACAGCATTTGCGAACAGCTAGCTTATTCACAATAATAGCAACTTTGCTCGATTATCAACAGATTTGCATTAGATTGAAAAACTTTTGTTTGAGAGAGGTTCTACGAAACGTTAAGAAATAAAATAGAAAGAAGAAGGAAGAAAGTGAGCTCTGTTCTATTATCTGTTTTATTAAAGATTTCTTTGTGGTGATCTCCTGTTTCATTTTGAAGATTTCCTAAGGACAAAAATTTGAGGAAGAAGTGGGAGATTGCTGTTAGAGGGAGAAATTCGCAGCAAGTGATTCCTCTGTGCTGTGTAGCCAACAAGCAAATTGATATGTAGTTTAGATGCTGTCCTGTCATGCTGTTCTTGTGTTTAAATTCTTTTGATATGTAGGCTATATATTTGTGTGTATTTCTTTGTGTGTATTTTCCAGTTATTAAAATAGTGCTTCTATATGACATTATTTGTGTGTGTCTACAAATGGATAAATAACATTAAACTAAATAAAATATAATCAAATCAATATATATTGAATTGGCCTATTAAAACCGCCAGTTATTAATAATTATTGAGACGTAGCAGGAACCTAGCTCTAAACCTAGATATATCCTTGATTAATTGTTATACTATAATACAGCCACTGCTGCCATGTTCTAAAATATCATTTTATTCATTCTGAGTATTTGAAAACGCCAAAAAAAATATGGCCTCTATCATGCCTCTTTGAATGGCGTTTGCAGAGAAGAAAATTACGTTGTATTGAGCGAACTATGATTCATTTAATGCGCTCAGACTTCATTCCGCCGGTTAAACAGCGGTGCAGAGTGAGGCGGATGACCGGACCAAGATGGCGGCCGCATTTATCGACAGCGCCCATTCGTGGTAGCGGCCGATGCGGGGTCTATCTTTTATTATGTCTATGGTACACATCATCCGTGCTCTGTTGCTCCTTCTTCTTATTATTATTATTATTTTAGGCTACATGTTTTACTTCCGGTTCACTGAATGGAGAAAAAACTTTTGCGAGATCTCGCAAAAAGTATTGCGAGATCCCGCAACACGTTTTGCGAGATCTCGCAAAAAGTATTGCGAGATCTCGCAATACTTTTGCGAGATCTCGCAAAAAAAAAAAGTCCATCCATGTCCCTTTAGGGGCTCCGTACAGCACTCTTGAAATTGCTTAGATATTTGGGTGTGATCACAGAATCAGCAAACATTTTGATGCAAATAGTCAACAGGGTCGCAAGAAACGTGTTAAGAAAAAAGACGCAAATTAACTGCCAAAGATTTGAGAAGACTCAAACGTAAAGCTACCAGGAACCGCTTGTCCTCCAGTGCTGTCATATTCCAGAACTGCAACCTACCTGGAGTGCCCAGAGGTACAAGATGATCAGTGCTCAGAGACATGGCCAAAGTAAGGAAGGCTGAAATCTGACCACCACTGAACAAGACACAAGTTGAAACGTCAAGACTGGGCCAAGAAATATCTGAAGAGAGATTTTTCAAAGGTTTTATGGACTGATGGGATGAGAGTGACTCTTGACGGACCAGATGGATGGACCCGTGGCTGGATCAGTAATGGGCACAGAGCTCCACTTCGAATCAGACACCAGCAAGGTGGAGGCGGGGTACTGGTATGGGCTGGTATTATTAAAGATGAGCTAGCTGGACCTTTTGGGTTAAAGATGGACTTAAAATCAACTCCCAAATCCAATGCCAGTTTTGAGAAGACACTTTCTTTTAGCAGTGGTACAGACAAAAGTCTGCATCTTTCAAGAAAACCATGATTTTTATGCAGGACAATGCTCCATTGCATGCAACAAAGTACTCCACTATGTGGCTCGCCAGTAAAGGCCTTAAAAACGAAAGAATAATGACATGGCCTCCTTCCTTACCTGACCTAAACCCTGTTGAGAACTTGTGGGCCCTTCTTAAACGGGAAAATTACAGTGAAGGAAGACAGTACACCTCTCTGAACTGTGTCTGGAACAGTGTCTGGAAGGCTTTGGTTGCTGCAACACTAAAAGTTGATCGTCAACAGATCAAGAAACTGAAAGACTCCATGAATGGAAGGCTTATGACTGTTATTGAAAAGAAGGGTAGTTACATTGGTCACAGATTTTTTTTTTTTTAAATTTCAACCATTTTTATTTGTAAATTGAGTTGTTTGTTTATCATTCTCACTTTAACAAGTGAAAATAAACAAGTGAGATGGAAAATTTTTCATTTTTAATTTAGTTGCATAATAATTCTGCACACTAATAGCTGCCCCCAATAATTGTGCACACATAGATATTCTCCTAAGGAAGCCAAAATCTCACTTTTACTCCCTTAAATATTAAGGTTTGAGGTTTATTAACATTTTGGATTGACCGAGAGCACTGTAGTTGTTCAAAAATAAAATTTATCCTCAAAAATACAACTTGCCTAATGATTGTGCACACAGTGTAGAACCCAACTCAAGTACAGAAAACATGGCAGATTCTTTTCCCCAAATCATTTTCATGGGATTCCTGTGATTTTGCTCTATTATATCACCCACCAAAGAAAAAAACCACACTCACTTTGTTAAATGTAAACAATTCATAAAATCTTTATTTCTGGAAACATTGAATGTTTTACAGTCTGTCTCATGTTCAGTGTTGGAGTTGAAGATTTACAGTGGTAAAGCATGGGTATTTTTTATACAAGATAAGAAATTTCACAGCTGCAGGGAATAAAAAAAGCAGCTCTTATTTGAAAAGTAACCTACAGAGTCAAGAGTCATTGTACAGGATGGGTAACGCTCATGAAGCAGTCGTCTCAGCCTGCAGAGGGTATTGATGATAAAAGTCCTCTGTGCTGGTGTCTGGGCTGTCAGATACCATGTGGCAGCCGGAGTCTCTGGGACAGTTACCCGCTCTCGCCTTCATGTTCTCGCTAGAGGTCTCGGCTCCCTGATCGGCCTTGGTCTTGGGCTGCCAGTCAGCTGTAAAGCAGAAGAGACAGCCTGGTTAGATGTATTGTGACAAAGGAGAATGGATGAGGGCTAAGTAATCCTTTACAGTCATTATTCATGAGCATTAGAGCTCAACAGCCAATCTGTCTATCACCACTGTCCTTGTGCGTCCCGCTTTATTCTGAGAGAGCCCTTGGAGGTTATCCTGTTATCCTTAACCTCTTTAGCCGTGACCCTGATTCACTCCTAGTCTTATCTGCTTCAGGTACAATGCCACTTGTCCCTTTTCCTTTCAGGATCCAAATGTCTCAGTGAGTATTTGTCTGTTTTTATCACGTCCACATAACTGTGTGCAGCAGGATGACCTTTGGTGTGTTTTTCTCTTACTCACTGTTCATTTGCTGCAGGGAGTCGACGGCGGTGAGCAGGCGATGCCGGTGCTCTGGATCAGTCACATTCAGCTCCGTCAGGTGATTCTCTTTCAGCCTTGTCAAATCCTCCGCTGTTTGGTAGCCATGCAGCTGCATGGAGGAGGTGTACTCCTGAGAGAGAGTAGAGACATAGAATAAAGATATATGCAATAATCATACATCAAAGATGATAGCATTTAAATCACTACAAAAAAAAAGAAATAATAATAATCACCTCTAAGTTGAGACGCTTTAAAACTTCCTGGACTGTTGATTTCGGCGTTATTCTTTGGATTTGTGTCTCCTCACATGAATCAGGACTCTCCTCCATTAGCACGTCTACGTAAATGAACTTAAAGTTGCCCATTTTGCCGTTCAGCATGCCTGTCCAGATTCCCATGGGAGGCTTTGCAATGATGTCAATCACATCTCCCACCTGGACGAGAAAGTATTTTAGTTTGATTAATTCCTTTTGGCTGGAAGATGTAGAAAAACACATAGAGAAAAGAGGCCTTTGAACTCTTTATCTGTGCTGCCTGGACAGGTTATGATCCATGCTAAATACTGTTACAGAAACCCATAGGTGAGTCTGTATATGTCAGCTCTGTGATGGTTTGGCCACCTGTCCAGTGTGTATTCTGGTATCCTGCCTCTAATGACAGCTCGGATAGGTTCCAGCCCCCTGTGATCCCAAACAGAATAAGCAAAATAGGGAGTGAGATGGGACTGAATTTTTAACAGACAGCATGTCAGATACTGAGACAGAAACTTTCTGTTGTTCTTTTAAGAATTTTTTTTTTCTGCAACATGTCAAAAAGCTAAAGCAGGGGGAAAAAATAAGAAAGATGAACAATGCTAGAGAAAAAAAAAAGGAATAACAGGAGTGCCTTTGCAACAGGTCAGTATTATAACTGAGTATAAAAAAGGGACTACAGACAGGCTAAGTCTTTCAGAGGTAAAGATGGGAGGAGATCCACTACTCTGTAAGAGAGTGCGTTAGGGAATAATTTAGCACTTTCAGGGCGCTGCAGCATAAATAGTGAAGAATTTGGGGATTTCATCACCCAGAGCATATGTGGTAATTAAAGATTCAAAGAACCTGGATAAATCTCAACAACGAGGGACAAGACTTACATTGAACAGTAGAAGAAGGGGCTCAAAATCACCTTCAAAAACAAATGTCTGTGACTACAGTTCATCCCTCATCAACAACACAGGTTAAAAGGTTAAAACTATATACAGACTATCTATAAACACAGGCCGCTGTTCTGGGCCTAAGCATATGTGATGGTTTGGGGACGAATCAGTGTCCATGGCATGGGATGGTTATACATCTGGGAAGGCACCATTAATGCTCAACAATGTCCACAGGTTGATTCAAGAGTTAAGTTTCTTTAAACAGGAATAACGTCTTCCTAAATGAAAATTAAGTTAGGGAACAGTGTTCAGAATAAAAACATCATAGGGCATCAAGTCTCATATTTTAAGGGTTAGTCCGCAGACAAAGCAGCTGTATTTGATAGTAGCAGGGAGAAAAACTTGCAGCATCACATGATGGTGCCATAGTTAGTGCCATTAGTTAGATGTCATTATTTTGTGTTTTTGTAGATTGCCCCCTCTGCAGTAACACAGATAGCATAATTAAAAAGTAGCCTACCAGATGTTGAGCCGTAAAGCCTAATTTTTAGCATGATTTCTTTGCAGTGATGCAAGAGTTCATTTCACATCCTTTCACTTTTCAAATTTCTTACTTTGAGTCTGAGGGAGTCAGTGTCATACGGACTCGGCACAAAGTCAGTATGGACTCTTGCTTGGCAGCAGAACTGCCTTGTGGACAGTAGATCCTCTTCCAGCCTCAGACTGTCTCTGTTACTGGACCAGCCGGACCCACTGGTGACTCCACCTGAGGAAGAGCAGACAAACAAGAGTGTTTAATAGAGTAAAATGTAGCCTCTGTAATCAACTCTACTGTTACGTAATGACATTATTATCACACAAGTATCAAGACAGTTATACCTGACTACTGGATTATGTTTTTGATTGTGTAGTAGCTAGTGTGGCTTAACAAATTAGTGAATGTAAGATGAGTCCGAGACACTCCAGAGAGGATTGCATAGTGGCTCTGTGCCCAAAGGTGCTTACTTGAGGAGCTTTGTCCACTGTTGAGGCTGTAGAGGCTTTCCAGGGAGTCACCAGAGCGTCTATGTGCTTTGGAAAATGATCTCCCACCAGCTTTTTTCTTCTCTGATTCATCTCTGTGTGTGTTTCCATCCTGCACAGTCAACAACAACAAAAATAAAAGGCAGGTCACATTTTCATCTGGCTGGTATGATTTTGGTTCACTACTTATGTTATCTCCCACAAAAAAAAGAAAAGAAAGATAACAGACTGGAGAGCTGAGTCAGAGTCCTGCTACACTTGACTTCTCCTGTGACACAACAGCTCTGTCTACAAGTTTACATGAGGACACGCTGTGTTTCTGGCAAGCTGGATACTTAATCTTGAAGGGGTTGCCTTGCTTTTTATAGCTGAAACCTGCAGGTGGTTAGTAGTGAGCTTTAATCCCCAACTATCTGTGCTCAGCTCTCAGCTCTCAGGGGCTTCCACACCAAGGATCCTTTTTTTATGTCCATCAAATCATATTTTCCTTTTGGTCAACTGTGGATAAATTGCACTTGGTACCTCACTGATGTGCAGCCAATGAATTGATTTGAACTCAGTTGGTTTTTGCTGTTGCCAGGTAATTGCAAAAATATGAAAATTTCTGAAATGGTGGTTATTCCATAAATTAAAAACAAAAATGCACAAAATGCCAATCTAAAAATGGATTTAATAAAATGTAACAATCATTGGTTTGTAAATAGAACGCATGTTTGAGATAGTCTTTCCAAAAGTAGCTAAAACACTTTTGACCAGAACACAACGTAAGAGTCCACGTTTATACTCTGAGCTTGTTACATAGTGAACAGTGTCCAGGTGTCAGTAAGCCATCATCTCAAGACAACAGTTACATAATCTTATATAACCAAATGGCTCCATTAGGGGACAGCTGGGAATACCTGACCCCTCTAAAACCACATGACAATGCCGTTTTTTTTTTTCAACAAGAGCATATAAGAAGTGACAGACGTACAACTAAAGGTACAGGGACTCACCGCCAAAGGGAAGAAAAAAATTACCAGTGGAATTAAATAAAAAAAAACCTGGTGATCAAATGTTGTGAAAGGTACATGTGAAACACAAGGGTAATTTCAATACACATTTTTATTGCACATAAAACCCCTAAATTATGTTCAGGTGCAAAGTACATTATCCAAACCTGAAAAACTGTTTCATACAGTGATCATGATCACACATGTGAGATGCATTTGGTTTCTTCAGAGAGTAATGTCATTATACTTAATGTTTGATTAGATTATCTTTTAACTAAATGTTTTATCAGATACTAATTCATTTACATTTTAAAGATAGTATACATGAATATTCTATCACATGTTTTTTCTTAGGGAAAAGCACTTGGGGCTTTGTCATCTTAAGAAAATGTTATGAAACAATGTCACTCAAATGTGGTGTGGATTCATCTGTATTGCTTATATCCATTTTCTCTGGGTGCTGTTGAAGACTGTTGGTTTCATTTAGACTGTCAAGCTCTAATAATTAGGGCCTGTGTTCATGAAGAGCTTTTTTTTTTTTTTTTCACTCCAGCAGTGCCTACAAAACTGATGTCGCTCTCTGTTTTCGACACTCAATGGTAAAAGCTCGGTGTCAGCTGTTTTTCTTGTTGTTACATTCACGGACATCTCTGATGAGAATAGATCAACTTTTGGGACTGCCACACTCATGAATAACATTTCTCCATCACTGACCAATCAAGGTTAAGAGGGGCAGAGACTTCTGGTATCAACTCTGCCATCAACAAAGGAGGAGAGATTACTCCATTTACACTCTTTTAAAGGAACTATTTCCAGTGAAGATATGCTGCCAATACTGCATAGTCTCCACCAATTATTCTGTGTAAAAAATCAAATATATTATCATACAAGCATTTTCAGCAAGACTTTGCAGATACTACTTATGGAGGTGGCACAGGGCAACTTTTGTTATCTGACAGAAGTAGACAGAAGAAGTCAGAAAATGCCATGTGTGGACATAGGCCCTTACTGCTGGATACATACTAAAAAATTCAGGAAGTATTATGAATACTCCAATAAAAACCAACTCTAACTTTCTGTTAACCTGCAATGAAAGTTCTACCCATTCTTACACAAAATGAACCTGTCATTCACTGCTGTGCCTTCAGACTGTGGAGCTGCTGGGTCTGTGAAATGACAGATTACAGTTTGATCCTTGGTTTACAGTCTGGCAGAACAGGTGTGGGTCTGACAGCTGTTTCCTGTTTCTGACAGGTGTTGTTTCATTAGGTCCCATCACATCAAAAGCTGGGTACCATGAACTGAAAGTGGTTGATTAACATCAGTTTTGCAGAGTGCGTGACTTACACTGATGGCTGTCCGTGTTTTCTTTGGTGAGGCTTTGACAGGCTTCTTTTCTTTGTGTGAGGAAGTGTCTGTCTCTTTCCTCTCCACCCAAACTTTAGGTTCACTCTGCACCTGCTTCAAAAACAAAACACATTTTTATCAACACACTCCCCCACTACTATAAAAACATAGCTTAATGCATGTCCCCAGTCTTAAAAACACAGCTGGCCTTGTGTAGCTGTTAGAGGAGTTATATTCCTCGATAATCAAGCTGGCAGACTGAAGAGTTTAGTTCTCTTACCAAAGAGCTCCCATTATCCTGCAGCTTGGTTGAAGGTGGGGGCTGATCAAAGGCATCAAATCTGCCAAATCTGGTCAACTGTTGGGAAATAGAGATTAAAACGTGTGTTTGCTGGTGACAGATGGGCATATTATCTGCCTGCATGTTTGTGTGTGACCCCACATAAACAGCTGTGTGTTTATTCTCTGTTTATGATGGTGTGAAGTAGGTTAAACCTTTGCAGCCACGGAAAAATCATATAGATATGATGTATTTTTCAAATCCTGTCACAGTATCATGATAACTGTACATGGTCATGGTGAACTGATCTTATACTATCAACTATTTTACCTAAACGTGAGAGGTTACCCATTGAAAACAATGTCTTATACATTTGCCTTCATAACTGGTGTAAACAGTGAGATAGTTAAGAGATGATTCATTCTCTGTTCAGTCTGTTATGAGCTTCTGTTGAGCTCTCTCAGCAGTGTCGTCAGTGTCGTCAGGCCTCACTGTTTCATACTACAAAGAGCTGGATAATTATTAGGTAATGATAGTGTTGACTAACAAACATGGATGTATTTGTTTTCTGTAAGTGGTTTTCTGTTTTTTTTTTTATATATATAACTAAAGTTTATATCAGAGATTTTCTTTCACTTTATCACCATGTAAAGTCACTAAAGTCCTCTAGTGTTTGCCTTTAAATGTTCCTATCGACAAAAGCTTACAGAGATCACCCTCTGTTAGTGTCAAAATACCAAACTCCTTTGGTCTGGTTTAGAAACAAAAAAAAAAGAAAAAAGAAAAAAGAAAATGTTATGTCTTAAGTTTAAGATTTTATCAGTTTTGCTCACTGGTCTTCTGTCTGGTACTTCTTTTAGATTTTACTTTTTACCATTTTTCTTCTATTTGATTCTACTGTTTTATTGTTATTGTAACATTTTTAGAAAACAGTCTTTGTGATTTCCATTTTCTGTTCTTCTGCCTCTGAATGCTCCTATGTTAAAAAAATAAATATAAATTGTGTTTAGGCCACACAGTAAAACTATGCTTTTATTTTGAAGTATAAGCTACTTCCTGCAGCTCATAAGATGTGGATCTGAATCTAAAACAGTTACAAGAACAGTTAAATAGTAAAACTTTAGATTTATTAGTAAGCTGAAGTCCAAAGGTCTCTACACAAGTAGAGAGAACATGCTCTAACATTGTTTTTCTGTTTTTTGAATATTGTTGTCTAATCATCTCTGACAGCTGCTACAGCGAGCTACCCAACAGCTGCTGCTTCTCTTTTGTTTCTTCTTCATTTTATGACATGTGCCCACCTGTGTGACAGACGTCTCCTTTGAACTCACTCTATTACTGTCTAATTTTAGTACCGTATCAATGTTTCATTTTCCATCAATCAATACCAGTATACTGGGACAGTCCCTGTCTCGGATGATATGAAACCACAGGTCTTTCAGGTAAGACAGTGTAGTTTTACTTCAGCCACAGTGGAACAGAGTGGAGGGGAGTAGGAACTACAGTGACCATCAACCCCTGAGTGCCCATCATCATCATTTGCACTCTGCCAATTGCTTCAGATCTGTGCTGCCTTTAAATCTTGATGAAAGGCTTAGTGTTTAAGTGGAAACCAATCTGGAGCATTGTTGCCAGGCAACAACAACATGCGCATCAAATGATCAGTCGTTGTCCCTTGGCTTTCTATGTGTAAAAATAATCAAACAAAATCATGGCACATGGAAGAACAAGAGGCAGAATGATGAAGTCAGGGTAGCACTTGTCTAAGCTGTGTTTGGTCTTGTACATGGTCAGTATAAATAATAATAATAATAATAATAATAATTATTATTATTATTATTATTATTATTATTATTATTTTAACTAACATTATATTATTATTATTATTAGTAGTAGTAGTAGTAGTTTTAATGTATTTATTTATTTGTTTTTTTAATGCAATTCATTTATGTGAGTCTAGACTCCATGGGCTCAGCTACTGCTGAAAATATCAGACACATCCCAGCCAGTGAGCTCATAGCTTTTAGACAAATTGGACTCACTAGGCTGCCGTAGCTCTCTCATGTACCTGTATGACTCACATTTTATAAGTACAAATATCAGAGGCGTTAGTCCTCCTATCCATCTGCTCTGAAACAAGTCAGGGGACTTCACTAAATGTTCAGTTTTCTCAAATTTTTTGCCAGACTTTGGGTTAAAATCTGGTCCAACAACAACCCTGGTTGTTGAGATTGTTTATCTGGTCCTCTGTTTTGAAAACAAAAGAGAGTCTTACTGTGTTTTGTGAGAACTGCAGATCTGTGATGGAGGGGATGGTCTCTGGAGGAGACAGGTCCGGCTGTTTTCTGTCCAGCTCCTGTATTAAACTCTCAAAGCGATCCCACTCTGTCGCCCACGGCAGCGACAAGGTGCCGCCGCAGACCGACAGTTCATGCTGGGGTTGTTGACAGGTGTGGTAGAAAGGAGACCAGGGCTGAGGACACTCAAATGGGCTCCACCAAACCCCCTCCTCTTTTGAATCTGCTCGGGTGTTTTTGGCTTTGTGCTGCTGAAGCTGCGGTGATGAAGCAGTTTTAGACAGCGGCTTCTCTGCTCTCCTCCCCAGACCGATGCAGGTGAGTACAGGATTGTTGTTGCTGAATACATCAGCCAAATGATCTGAGGATGAAAAGAAAAAGCTGTAGAAATAAACAGATTTATCTTCAGTGGCCTAAAGGAGAGCAGGTAAAATGGTGATTGATGATCTGGGTGTTTTCTGAGATATTTTCTCTCCTGTATTTGTGACAACAGAACAGTTAGTGTAATAAAACAAGTGAAAAAACATGCAATAAACCCTTTATCATTCTTTGTTTTATCTTGATTTCTTCATTTAAAAATATACCTAAATCAATAGTTTTGATTTGCCACTTTGCACAAAGCTTGAAGAACACTGTACCAAGTTCAAGGCTTGATCCAAAGGGGCAACTGGATTTTCCTAAAGTCCTGACTCCAGTTGCCCCTCTGGATTAAGGCTGGGATTACCATGACCTGGATGAATGAGAACCCACGCAGACACTGTTTACAACTGCTGCTCACTCAAGAAGACATTCGATACCCATCTGCCTTATGTTCCTCTGTGATGTTTGACATAATAGACTGATTACACGCCAATGCCGCCCATCAACCTGGCGTGCTTGGATGAAAGGTTTTTAGTGTGTCTTCCTTGTTGTGTGGACAGTAAAAACTGAAAGATATTCATGAAAATAGACAGATTAAAAAAATCTTGTCAGAACTCCTGTTTGGATGTAGCCTAAGTTCTGGATTTGTTTCATTTTGCCAGTAAAAAAAAAGTGAAAAATAAACAAGAAAAACAGCCAGTTTGCAAAGTCAGCAGCACTTCTAAAATTGACTATAGAAAATGTTTTCTCACCACCTGTGGATTAAAATTATGCTGGCTCCATATAACATGAGATACATAAAAAAATCAACAAAACAGGGACCTCTACATTCTTTATCCTTACTTGTCTCCTGTGTTCACCACACGTACAGCTCTTCCCTGTGGACAAGGCAGCTTATCTTGTCATCTTAGTTATGCTGCTCTAGGTGGAGACGACCAGGGGTTGTGGCACACTGAGAACCTTTCCCTCCTTCTTAATCCTCTTTCTTTCTGTCATTAACTTTAAATCATCATGTCCCATTAGAGTCACGAATACACCGTCTTTCCTGAGAGTCCCTGAGCTCCATCAAGCTGTAGGTTCCTCTGGATTGCTGCTGCAGACGTTTTGCTGCCTGGACCTGCCTGCTTTCCAGCTGCTACTTCCACATGCATCAATCTCACCTCTGTCCATGTCTCTCTCTCTCTCTTTGCATCTCCCTCTCTCTCCTCTCTAAACCCAATGCAGTAGCAGCAGATGATTGTCTTTCATGAGTCTGGTTCTACTCAAGGTTTCTGCCTGTTAAAATTTTTATAGAGCATAGTCTAAAATTTATGTTGAAAATATGAAAACCTACCCTCCTCACACCAGTTAAAGGCATTAAAAATCAAGTAATAAAAATGTTGACCTTGTGATTGACGGCCTTGTTTGCTTTCATACATCCTAAAAATGCATCAAAATGAATTTCAGTCTATTTTATACACATCGAAAAACTCCTTACAGAAGCTTCCTGATCGAGCTGGATAACACCATCCTCATTACTCACCATGATTGTCTGAAACACTCTTTCCTTTCCCAGCGGCTCCCTGCTGTCCTTTCTTTGTTTGGACCAGGTTCTGTAACTTCTTGATTCTTCCTGTGCCATACACCGAATCTGTTGTGTCAGCTGCTTTTTCATCCTCCTGTAAGAAAGGCAAAGAGAGTCAATTCAACACAGAGTGACATGTTCAGCTTTTAAACCTATTTACAAAAGAATAAGGATGTTATTTTAACCATTGACTGTGAAAACATATCGCTAAGCTAACACGTGTTCAGTTAAGTGTCATAAAAAGTCTCCTAACATTACCTTACATGTAAGTGAGGACATGTAACCACTCTCATGACTGAGGTTAAGACTTCAAAACAAACCTGATTCCCTTTATGATCATGAAAGATCTCCATGCAGGAGCTTGTTGTGAGATCTGTTTTTCACTTTCTGCTGTTGGTGTAAAAGGTTTACACGACTAAGTAAAGGTTTTTAAGAGAGCACAGAGCAGACACAAGTGATCCGTAAAAAGAAGATTACTGATCACAAAGCAGATTACAGAGCACTGTGGATCTGATTTAGCTGACTTAACACTAACTCACTCAGGTTTACACTCACTTTTACTCCCTTGGGCCTCAAATCTGAGCAATACAAACACACTTGAGGACTTTTTCTCCCAGATAATTCTTCATATATCATAAAAACAGAAAAGAGACTGCACCAAAATACACAATAAAGTCTCACCTTAAACAATCTAAATATAACCTTCTGAATCACATCTATCAGTTATATAACTGAAGATGAACAATTACTGTCTCTCACATGCACCAGCACGTGCACTATCAGTCAGGTATGTCAGGTGTGTCTGTTTGGCCATCATGTGGATCCAGGATTACAAAAGGCTAAAGTCTGCCATCTGCACAGCTCTGGACAATAATCAGCATTTGCTGTGCTCAAGTGATTGTCCCCGTGTCAATAATAAGAGCTTATTCACAGACTAAAAAATATATACACCATACAAATTCTATCTATTCCATCACTCCAATCATCACTCTGCTGGAGAGTGAAACCTGCTCAGGATGGCGGGTCTGTGGTCTTACCTGAGCTGGAGGATGGGTGTGTTTTCTGTCAGATCTGAAATCCTTCAAGCTGCCGTTTCTTGTCGATGTGCTGCTGTGACAGGGAGCTTTACACTTTTCTGGACACACAAAGACACAAAACACAGATTAACAATGAACTTTAAGTCTGAATATATGCTAGTTCATAACAGGTCTGACAATGCCAGGCTATTGATCACGCTCAATAACTGATTATAGATAGATATGTATTAATCACGGATTGACCGATAGATTGGTCAGCAAAAATAACTGGCCCGATAATTGGCGTTGTGTTACAATCAGCATCATATCAGCATCATCCTTGACACTATCTCACTGTCATCTTTTCCAAATTATAAAAAAAAATGCCTTTTTACTGTCCAGCAGTGACAGCATATGAATTCCAAAACAGCTGCTAGCTAGAATTTAACATACATTCTGTATTGATGTAAAGAATAATGAAGTTTAATACTAATATCAATATTTACCTCACTTTTTTTCTAATCCTAGGTAGCAGGGCAAAAGTTATGTTGACATTTTACCTACAAATTTATTTTTGTCTATCCTTATCTATTTAAAAAAATGTTTTTTCAGTATTATTATGTTAAAAAAAAAAAACAAAAAAAAAAACAAAAGTGTGATATCAACATTGAAAATCAGCTATCAGGTCATTTGCTTACAATCAATACTAATATAGACTGTTGAAAAACTTATATTGGTCATCCACCCATTTATGGATGGTGTTCCTCCACTCTCTTGTGATGCACACGTGAATAAAAGGATTATCCAACTAAAAACAAAATATTTTGAAGCTACAACAAGCAATGGGAAGTGATGGGAAGCAAAAAAAGGAAGTTGGATTAAGCTGATCAGCAGTGGACTCAATGAAAAACTTATGTACTTCATGACATTAGGACTTTTTGATAGGCCACAGAGATGAGTTTGACCTGACACAGCATGTGGCTACATGTTGATGTTAGCTCTTGCCTTTTCATGACAAACTGAGAATATATTCTTTCTGGAGTTTAATCAATCTAACCAAAAGTCCTGTCAGTAGCTTATCATCTAGAAGACTGCAGAAGGACAGCCATATTCAATGTATGGGATCACCCACCATCATACTATTTGCAAACCTGGAACCAAGACATAATAACTGCTTCTGAGCCTGATCTCTTTCCAAACAGCCTCAGAATAACCCGATTATTTAATACTAACCTGACGTTTCACTGTCCAAAGATGTTTGTGCACAAGACCTGCATTTAAATGACAAAAAGAGTAGATTAAAAATAATAATAAAGGTAACCTACTGAAATGAGAATAATTTAATGCAGCTGATATTAGTAGAGTTAATATACAAAACTCACATACCGTCTGTTATTCCTTTTTAATGTACCTGTGCCGGGAGGTCGGACCTGAGAAAGACAAAGACAAACTGTCTATCAATAACACCAATAACATCAATAACACAGTAGTTTGAGAAAAAGTGTTCATACCTGGAAAATGATTGCAGAAAATGTCTTAACTTAGAGAGCACTGTATACACCAGAGCATTATATTCCCATTTTCATCATGAGCATTCAGATAAAAGCTTAAAACATGCCTGTTTTACCGCCCATCACGTATCTACAACCAGAGTCCAGCTGCAGTCTGGGAACTGGTTAAATTCCCACTGCAGGCTAAAGTGCTCCCTTCTGATTGTTGCACAGATTTGATTGTCTTGTTCGGTGGTTCACATTTCTTTTCAGATGTAGCCTGTATCACATTCACCTGTGCTCGTAGCAAACAGAGCTATCAAGCAGCTCTATAAGCTGATAGCTGAGTTTAACTCTTTGTAAAATAAGAAGCTACTCCCACCATGGCTACTGCTTTAGTGCGGAGTCTTCAGACTCTTTGGACCAGGCCTTACAGATTTTCATTTTTCATGTACAGTACAGTCATAATAAGTCAGTTTCAATACAACCTCTTCAAATTTGCTTATACAGAAGTGTCACCTCAAAAACCTACATGGTTTGACACTTCACCAGCCCTTTTTCACAGCAGTCCTCTGTATTTGTTTTGACTCTCTTGCTTGCACAGAACTATGAGGTTTGTCAGTCAAGAATAATATCAGATGACATGTTCCTAATATGTACAATTTTTCCCGTCATGTGTATGATCACTTGAGTTTTCTGGTCTTGGCTAAATAAAAACATTAAACACTGAGATCATGAACTTACATCATTGATGGATGGATCTGAACCACTCCATTCAGGTTTATGGCCCAGCAGAGCAGGGTTGCACGGATACCTGGGCAGGACTTCCTTCAGAGTTTGGCTGTAGGCTGGTTCATAGATGCTGTCTGTGGAGCCCTCCTGAGACATCAAACAAAACAAACAAAAAAATGAGATCAGTTATCATGATGACAGATGCTTGGCTCAAATACCACTGAGACATAACCAGATAGAACTGATTTAAGATTTAACTGAGGAAAATATAGACTCTAAAATAAATGACACTTTCACCCTCCCACACATCAGACCTGTGAATACCTTACGAGCCAACTAGTGTATTGAGATTATCAGGCAAAATCCCAGCAGACTGGAAACTAAAGGGGAGGGAATGTTTGTTGAAAGGGCTCCAAAACTGCCACAGGAGACCAGAGGATCAGGGTCAACTGAGTCAGTGATTTTTTTTTTAAAATACACCTGAACCCAGAATTAGTAAGTTTTATACGAGCATGAAATTTATCTTGGTTTTCAAGTGGAAGGAGAATGAACACAAGATACGAAACAGAAGTAAGAGAGCTGAACACTTGTACGGAGATGCATGAGAGGATGTTAGTGCAAAATTAAACATTACATATATAGAGAGGACAGGGTGCAATGTAACAGTCATTTTAAAGTCCAGTGTGTTCAATGTAATGTGGTTATTATCTCAATTTCACAGTGATGTTAAAGTGAGAGAATAACAGGCTGTGTCTGGGTGTGGGTGTGGGTGTGGGACCTTGGCTTCATTCATGAAAAACAACAAACACAAACAAACCAGGTCAACCACCAGTGGCACCATCTGTTAGCCTCTTCTTATCTATTAGCAATTGAACCTGAATATTTATTTAGTTTTTATCCTAAAAACCTTCTTAAAAAATACACATTTAATGTCTTTTAGAGTCCTTTTGAGTGAATTTTATGTTTTTGTAATGTATGATTGATTTCATGACTGGCCTGTTTTATTTCTGCTGCTTTAGAAAAACACTAAGTGACATGAATTTAAAAAAGTGCAACAACTTGTCACTTTGAATCTTTCAGATTTTTATGAGACAGTTTATCTACTTTTTGCAAATAAAAAAGGAAAACAACAAATTGGATATTTTTTTCATAAATCAAACTTTTTTCTCATTTTTATAACTTGTATATTACAAGTGATCTATTCTTTTGTATTGTTATTTGCTTACCTGCCTCACAGAATCTTGCTGTTTTATCACCATTGTTCTTTTTACTTGCACCTATTCCTGACTGTTTGCATTTCATTTTGCTTTTTTTTCTAGTTTTCTACACTTCTTTCAGCTTAATGCCTGTTGAGTTTTCTTTCTTTTTCCTAATCTGTCAAGGAAGTAAAGAAATATCTGTCCTTAAGACGTCATAGTGTTTTCAACTACAACAGGCAAATATATATAAACATGCAAAAGGATAATCGAGATTCAAGATTCTAGAGACACGCTCACTTTTTAATGAAAAATCAATCAGCTTTTCTAAAATCCTGATTCAAAGACAGTGGGGACCTTTAAACAGATAAAAGCTAAGTGGAATATTTAGCTTGCTTTCATCCTTGACTTCTTTCTACTGAACAGTTTGATTGTTGTTGCAGTAAAATTAAGTTCTTTTGAAAATTTTAGAAACGTTTAATCACAGAAATGTGTCATAAACCTATGTAACCAGCTGCTCGTCCTGAGTGAAAGAGTTGGTCGGGTCATGTTGTGGCTCTTTGTATCTCTTGACGTGTCAACAGCGTGTAAAGAGCTAAACTCTGTTTCTGTACAGAAGGAGGTAGGACTGATGCTAATATCTGTCAACAAACCCTTAAGACTGTGACACAGATACTGTAAGCTGTTCAACACCTCCACATATGTCTGTGTGTGTGTGTGTGTGTGTGTATTTAAGTACCATGTTATGGACATCTCCTCTCCCTCTCAGTTAATTTAAAAGTATTTCTGTCTTTTTTATTATTCACACCCTTTGTAGCATTTGGCACCGATTTCTGAGCTTATTTCTGACACTAATACAAGAGCTTTGTGCTGCGACCTCTGACTTAAATCTGCCATCATCTTTTTAGGTCAGCATCTTATAATGTACTTAAAGTTTTGAGTTCAGGAAGCCACTGACTTTTTGTGCTCTTTGAGCTGCTAAGTTTAGAGAGGAGGCCTAAATCTGTCACAGGGACGGAGGAAACAGTTTGGTGTTAAGAGCTACTATTAAACGTCATTATAATAAATGTAATTACACATGTACAGCCTACATGTGTGTGTAACTGAAGCCTCTATCAACAACAACAAATGTCGAGAGAGTGGCTTTGAAGAGTTGAAGAAGTTAAACTCCAACAGAGCTGCTCCACAAAAAAATAAGTTGGGCAAATTATGGCGATTTAGAAACATTTTTGCATGCTTATTAAGAAATTATTGACTGTATAATAATGAACAGCACAACAGCTCCTCAAAAGTGTAGCCAGAATCTTTAAAGCATCTTCCATGTGGACAGATGGGACATGATCAAACTTTAAAACTAAATATACACTTCAAATATATATGTTTTTCTCTAACATGATTTCTGTCCTGATGAAACTTGAAACCAGTTTGACATTACTAATATCTACTTTATATCTATAAAAAATCCTTCAGATCTACAAAGGCAGTATGATCTTGCTCAAGTTGTCTGTGATCCATCTTACTTTGTCAGAACAGGGTTTGGATCCTATTCTCTCAGGTAAACAACTTCAGTGTAAATGCTCCTGCTGGGTTTGGGTCTTTTTTAGTGATTCAGATCATTTTGCTCAGCAATAACTGACTCTTTTGGCTCCCAAACAGCTCTGCATACTGTCAACAACTGCCTTTTAGAGCAGAGTAATTCATAACCAACACGTCACTAAATGCTATGTAGATGTCTGCTGCCACACCACTAAGTTTCTGTCGCAAAGTCAGGTAATACAAAATTGACAAATATTAAGGAAAACAGAATCTAACTGAAGGTTTTGTTAATGCTTTTTTTAAACTGGAACAACATGGATAAACAACAATTCAGTGGTTAGCCTAGCTATGGTCATCAATAAGAACATGTATGGATAAACAGAACTGAAAACAAAATCAAAATTCATACTATTGAAGTGGTTCCTAACCCTAATATGTGACCCCTGAACATCATTTCACAGTCCCATTTTTATACACTGTAGCTTGAGGCCCATTCAGATTCATAATGAAACGTATTGGTTTTAAATACCTAAGCAGTTCAATGTTCCTTAAGATCAGCTCTCAAATCAAAGTCATTACTGATGCTTTTTTTGGTTCACCATCCCCCTAAACTGTGCAGTTGATCCTCTCTGTATTTAATGGCATTTAGTAGTAGTAGTAGTGGTAATAATAGTAGCAGTAGTAGGAACGGTATTAGTAGTAGTTAAGTCAGTGCAGGTAATATTATCTGGTGGTTTTAGCTTCAGACCAGGTTTGAACAACTTTTACCGTTGTTTACTTTGGAAAGGGTTTCCATGATTTCTAGAAATCTTTTTTTTTTATATATATACATATATTTTATCATGAGTTTTCAACTTGCAGAATTATACGCTGTATTTAGTCTCATTATTAGTTTTTGTATTGTAATAACTGAACATGAAGCACTTTGGTCTGCGTGTTTAAAAGGCTCCAAAAGGGCAACAAATAATCATTTTTGGATGTTTTATGAAATGTTTTTATGAAATATTACAAACAGATGTTACATTTGCAGTTATAAGTAGTTGACATCCCACAGCATCACATAAATCCAAGCCCAGCAATCCAACCAGCATCTCCAGAACTTCATGGGTCCTACAAACAGAGCAGTTTTGTCTCACTCTCAAAAGAGACCTTCCCAGATCTATGTCTACAGCTATAACATCAGCGGGATATCCCTGAGAGAGCATCCAGTCTCCACTGCCTATACCAGCCCTGTAAAAGCGTCAGGGGCTAAACAACAACTCTCTGCAGACAAACCTAGGAACAGACAGGAGATCAAAAGTTGATGTATCTTACCAGCGTGAAGCAGAACAGGTTCATCTTTGAAGGTCTGTCGAGCTGGAATGAAAACAATCTGCACACCTCAGCCTTCAGGAGCTACTTTCTCACTCCAAACCAGTGTCCTTCCACCCACGCATGCCTGTGATGCAGAAGCTCACGCTGGCCTCACGCTGCCCACAGCCCATTGGCCTAATCCTGGAGTCAAATCCCTCACATAATCCAATAGATGCAGTGAGCCATCGCTGTCCAGTGCAGAGAGGAAGACTCAAGCCACCCGTGACAAAGAGACAATCACCAATACAGGACGGCTTTGTTCGGCACGAGTCTGAAATGATTATTTTAATGACTTGATAGAGCTTTACTAATCACTCGGAGAGGTTAAACTACCGGTTGAGAAGAGACTGGTTTACTGGTGACTCCCTGTGATGAGAGGAGCAGAATATCTCATGATGTCCGTCACATGCTGTTAAATGTGTATGAATGGCACATGTCAGTGTTTACATAACAGTTTGTAATCAGCCCAGGAACACTTTTAATCCACCATTGTCTTAAAGCTGGTGCACTGACATAATCCTGGATTTGACTGATTAAGCAAAAGCAAAATATATCAATTTCTTATTTTTATTTTAATTTGTATGGTCTTAATTTGTTTGCTTGTTTTATTTTATGCTGTTGTGATATTGTTTGTAGATTTGTCTTTTACCTGCTCCCTTCTGGTCATGAGCAGTGTTACAGTTGATAAATGTCTTTTTAATCAAATCAAATTAAATGAAACATGGAGCTGAGAAATTCACCTGAAAAAAAGCGCTAAGAGGCCAGAGCAGGAGGTCAAACTGTGCACAAGCTCACAGCTATGCTGTGTGTCTGCAGCCACATCACAGCACAGCAATACACAAAAAAAGAAAAAGAAAAACTTCAAAAAGATTCAAAATTCAAACTTCAAAAATTCAAAAGATTAATTCATGAAAATATTCACTGAAGTTAAGAACATAAACTTACCAAGTTTTATTCAGAGTTTGTCTGATTATTTCAACTAAAACTGCTTTCTCTATAAAATTCAGATTTTGTCTTTTTTTTTTTCTCTGGAAGATTCTGCTTCCTGTGGCGTTTAAACCCCTACTTCTTTAACTGTACTGGCAAAAATACAGCTACCTCCCTGCTCTGCCACTTCAAACTTCCATTTAGATGGAGGACAGCTTACACTAGGGTACGTAGCTTAAGCTGCAGTTCACTTATCATTGGAAAGGGTACATTTGCATGGCTTTCAAATTCTTTTTGAAATAATGAAGATTAGCATTACATAATCTGTTAGAAAACAGTAGGTCTATGTAATGTTTTACATGTTTTGCTGAAATGGTTTAACACTGTTTGCCTAAACACAAGGGCTTCCTTGACTAGAGAGTCTAACATTAAATGAATAATCCAGTGTGTGAAGCAAAAACAGTGAATATAAAAAAAAAGGTGGAAAGTCAGAAGTGTCACAACAATTAGTATAAAATATGATAACTGGCATACTCGCTGACATCCGGGCTTATTCATTCTTTTGTCTTTTTATTTAGTTAAGCTGAAAAACAGTTTGTTGAGGAAAAAAGAGCAGTTTCTCACCTATGATTGTTAAATTGTTGTATTATTTTGTCAAACCCCCCCACAAAACAACACTATGATTATATAATATATTACTAAATCATTCATTGTCGCTGAATGGTGCTCCAGAAACAGATAGCCTTAGCTGTGTTTACCTAAGGTATGACTACAGTAAATATAATACCCCACAAATCTTCAAAAATAAAGTTCTTTATCATCTGTTCTTTTAGCTTTCTGAAGAACTTCTAGTCTTATTCACTGACAGTGGTGGTTCCAGTGAACATGCATCTAAAAATAACATTATGATAATCATCATTTATGTTAGATTTAATGTTAATCCTCTCTTCAAAGCTCCCTCCCTCTCCCCTGTTCCTCCTCAGCACGGTTGTCAACACCTTCTCCTGCAGTGCTGTCTTCTTGTCTCTCATCCAGAGATGAAGAAAACTTTCATGTTGCTGTGATCAGAGCTCTGCTGCAGATTTAGGTCAGAGAACGAGAACATCGTTTCTCTGGTTATCAAGAACAAAGATGAGACTTATATTTTTCTCCAGAGCCCCCCTGTCAGTTATCCTGCAGAGGAACGTACATTAACATCTCTGTGACTGCAACAGGGATTTATTTTTACTCTTAAAGACATTTCACAGATGTTAAAGCACAGCGTATAGCTTCAATAAAAACAGCATTTCTTTAGCTATGTAGCCTCGTTACACTGGCTCATGGTATATTTTAGGGGGGAAAAAAAGGTTAAATAGATAACTTTTAACATCCTATTCCCTAAAATTTTAATATTCTACACATTTGAATCACACTGAAACACATCACAGCTGGTACTCTGTATCCCAGTGTGATGACATATAAACAAACAGCACAACTACCATGTACTTGGGCTTCATCAACATGAACACAGATACATTTTAAAACTTGTCTTCTCTCTGTTTCTAAAAAGATCCCATTTACACCAGTGTTGCTTTTGAAATATTTTCCGGTTACATGACAACAACAACAGCAAAAAACATCCGCATGAGCATTTCGGACTAGATCATAGAAGAACATTGTGTGCATTCGTACTGAGCACCATCTTGAGCGAGCCACAAGAGGGAACAATGGTCTTTGTAATGTGTACACACTGGTTTTTGTTGCTGGTAAATGTTGGTTAATAGTACATATTTTTACCTCCGCCAAGGAGGTTATGTTTTCGGTAGTGTTGGTTTGTTTGTTTGTCTGTTAGCAACTTTACGGAGAAAGTTACAGACGGATTGACCTGAAATTTTCACCAGAGGTGTGTCTCAGCCCCAGGAGGATCCCAATAAATTTTGGTGGTAATCCAGATCGTCTTCTGGATCTAGGAATTTTTGAAGGATTCTTTATCATTGTGAGATAGGGCAAATTTGGGAATTTTTGCATTTAACTCTATAAAAATGTCTTTAATAAAAAATTACACAAAAGGATCTCAATGAGTTTTATGAGGTGTCAAAGGTTGATCCTGATCCAGACAAAATTCCGGATACTGTGATCCAGAACACACAAAAATAAGGGTGTCGTTGGAATTTTCAATACTGAAAGATAACCAATGGGCGGCACAGTGGTGTAGAGGTTAGGCACTGTCGCCACACAGCAAGAAGGTCCTGGTTCGAATCTGGGTCAGGGTATTTCTTGTTTTAGGAACATTATGAACAGTGAACATACCAGTTTAAACACAAATAAAAGTTAATAAAAGACACGTAACAGTAAAAGTTTTTGTGTGAATCACAATATAAGGGGGGACATGAGCTGCTTGGCGGAGGTCTGCGCTCTTTGAGTGCTTTTCTAGTTCTTACATGACAATGGAAGGCCCTTCATGTGTCTTTTTATGATATTAGAAATTGCGTTGAACAGTGTGAGTTAAGGTCAGTGGAAGCAGGGGGACATTATATTTGGGCACAAGCTGAACCCAGAGTGAGCAGTACAGCTATTTCAATGTAGATGCAAGAAACCATCATGGTTTTCAGGGTAGCTGAAGTTTCCTTCACTCTTTTCCGACATGCACTCTAGGAAATTTTAGGAGTTCCCACCTGGGAATTTACCTGACTCTACTGTTCACACATACATCCTAACAGTGTGAAGTCTCCCACTGTGTTATTGTCACTGGTTGCAGTAATTTATCATCATGTTTTTGAGTTGGCACCTGCGATACAGACACTTTTACAACCGTTTTTTCTTTTTTTTTTTTTTTCACTTTTTCATCAGCATGAGAAGTAACTCAACATCCACAGTATCGACACTTTCAAGAGGTGTGTCAACACAGCCCTACATCTCTGACACAAATGGAGAGAGCAGTGGTGTTATTTGTTCTGTGCTAAACCCATTAATCGACAGGGTATATTGGTGAACTGAAATACACCTTTACTATGAAAAAATTGATTATTATTAGAATACTGAAACATGCTGCCTTATTCCTACAGTAATAATTCAGAATAATAGTAACTGCTGATTCGCAAGACAGCAACATCTTTCAACCAAGCAGCAAAACTAGACAAAACACCAGCCACATGGGACACCTCGCTAAAGTATCCGGAAGATCTGCTGTAGTTCTTACATGGGCTCACTTGGACTCAACCCTGAAATGATACTACAGGGCTGGTCGGAAATATTCCAGGTGAAGACAGGCTGAAAAACGTATCTGTGTCTGTAGCACACACATATAGCTCACTTGGGTAATTTCAGGAAATATTCAGGACCTTTGTGCATGTCTGAAAGAGGCATTTGATTTATAGGGATATTCCAGATGCTGACCTTTAAATTTGAATGAATGCACCATTATTTTTGGGAATCTTGTAATCGATGCATGGCTGCCCTTGAAAAGATCAGCATGGATGCAGTGGTGATGGGGGCAGATTGATCAGAGCTGACAAAAAGGCCTCTCAGAGGTGTAATGGTGACTGTCTTTGATGAGATTCACATCACAAACAAATGGTGAGTGAGTAAAAGTAAAGTTGTGTAACTTCATGTTAGATGATTGCCTTTGAACTGAAACGAAGTTGAAGCTAATAGCTAACATAAAAGACTTGTGCCTGTCAAGCTTGTGCTATGTAGTTTACTTCTTGCTGGTGGTGCACACTGACTATGTCAGAGTTTGGCTCCTCTGATTGACTGTAAAGGAGTAAGAAAGACAAAAGTGCATCCTATCACCCCCAGAGTTTCTTTTTTAAGGCTCTACCCTTTTTAAACACTGTCTGCACAGTGTTACTCAGATGGATGTCAAATATATCATATGGAAATGTGAAAAAAGTCTATCTGGTGTGTCAGGTTGGACCAGCAGAAGTGAGGTCTGATCTTCTGGCTACAGAGAAGTTGAGAGCTTTGTATGTCAGGAGGGTAGTGTTAGTGGTTATTTGTTAGAGTCACCTCTGGGCAACCTTTCACAGCAGGCTCATTTCAGCTCATCTGGCCTCAGTCACAATCCTGTAAGAAGCTAA